GAAACGAGGCCGCCTTAACCAGACCACGAAGCATCATTACAGAGGCGTAAGAAGCTGGAATGATCTGGAGTGAAGTGAAGAAGAAGAACTGTCCACGATCGATCAGGGTTATGTTCTACGCTGAATGCCCTCTACTCCACATAGTAATACATCATACATGGGACAAATACGCCATAAAATATCTGCGATCTATTATTATCAATATGGGTTGCATATCCGACGGTAAACTTCGGACGGACATGAAAAGAAAAAAAACTACGGTTTGCACTCCGGGAGTGCCGGCAGAAGTGAAAACTTAAATATTAACGTTGTGCATTTTTGATATTTTGGAATGGTTAGGGAATATTAATGCTTTAATTATCAGTATAAAAGTACTTTCTATCATTTATGTGGAAGAATACAATATTTATTTATTGCGCTATCGTACACAATTCACACATCCGTCTTACGAAACCTACACAAAATAATTAAAATGAGTATTAAATAATTCAATTAGGAAAATTCACTAATTTTTAAGTTGCCATTTTTTATTCGCGTCAGTCTGACCAAATCGTTAATAATAAAGCTTTAGACGTTTCGCAAAATTATACCTTGAGATATTGACTTAAGGTCCAATTCCACATGCATCAATGTATATGAGGAAAGAGACCAATGAAAAACACTTTTTTAACGGATTTGAAGTTATGATTTATTATAAATTTACAAGTCTGTGAACACACACTAGATAGGCCCAATCACTACATACGCTTTGACCAACCGAAAGTACTTGCGAAAGAAAAAAGATTCTTCCCAAGATTGGTACGCGAAGCCATTGATAATAAAAAAACACCCCAATTTCAATAGAGAAGACGGCCTAAAATTGTCAAACACCTGGGATCCAATAAAATCCAAATTAAAATATCAAGATAAACAATTCGAAAATAGAGGACACCGTGAGCCATTTCTGGCAAAACCCTACATCTTTTAGTCGATACCAACTCCGGGGAAATAAATACAGATAACAAAACATTTTTCTACAGCCTAGCAATTCTGTAACTCACTTTTCGAACTCACTCAGCGGTTTTCGCATCAGCGGTCGCTCTCAAATCAGTCGTGAAGCAGTCATTTTATGATTTTGCATTCTGATAAACAATAAACTACAAGCTCCCACCTTTTCAGAATAGCAAATCATAAAATGACTGCTTCACGACTGATTTGAGAGCGACCGCCGATGCGAAAACCGCTGTGTGAGTTCGAAAAGTGAGTTACAGAATCGCAGGGCAGCTGTGTTACTTTTTGACATTTAACACCTTTTGTCTTTAGTCACCGTGACCACGCACGCTGTAAAGCACGCGAAACGTCGGTTAAATTAAATTTAAAATTATGTAAAATAATTGTAAATTTATAATAAATCATAACTTCAAATCCGTTATAAAAGTGTTTTTCTGTCTAAAAGTTATGTCAATGAAAGACAATACTAAGAGACAAATGAATTAAAACCGTAACTATATAGCACGAAGTTTCTTAATCCTTTAAAAAAACATCCGTCTTACGAATTTTTTTACCCATTCCAAAAAAAAGTGTACAACGCCGCAGGCCGCTAAAGAAGTTTTCACTTCAAAAATATCAACCAAGCGAGCAAATTACCACTCTTGGACAACAAATTTAAATATATTTATTTATTTATATAAGATTGCCAACGCTCGGCACGCTGATACATTGGTATAGTGGAAAAATAAAATACAATATTTAAGGTAACAAGTACTAATAGGCAAACATAACAAACACGAAGACACGAGTCACGAGTTATTATAAAAACTAAAGAAATATTTAACTAACAGCTCTTATTAATCGCCGAACTCGATAAAAATTACGCATGTGTCTTAAACATATATATCTATTACCACGTCACGGAGGTGGACCAATTTTTATACATTTTTGTTTTTGTCCAGTAATCGAGATAAGGTGATGACGTAATGCTTTTTGCACTTATTCATATTAAAGGCAGACTTATTACCTGTAATAAATCAATATCGTTAGTTGAAAATATATATTAATTCTTTGTTTTATGTACTTGTATACGGAGGTTTTACTCTGTAAAAAACTTGACTTGTTTGAGGGTTTACTTAAGATAAATAAACTACCATGTATGAAATATTATAGCTATTTTTTTTTTAATTATTTGGGGGGTTATCGTTGGCTTTAGGTAGGTTTTATATTCCTGTTCATCATTGTTAATGTTTTTAATGGCTGGTTAAACTCTTTTTTAGCCTAAAACCTTTTATCCTTCACACAGCTATGTGAACCTTAAAAGTTGTACTTAATAATTCAAGTCTACATTGAATATGACGAACGATCTAGATTCGCGGTCAATGTCGTGACATTTTGATAACGTTATCTCTTCTGTTTATATTCAATACGTATCGTACCGGAAAACATATTGAAGGATTTATTATACTCGACACAAACATGAACTCTCTATTGTTTTCGTCACAGATTATTTCGTTCCACCATTTACCCAAAATAAACCGTCGTAAAAGTTATTACCGGTCACTAATATAAAAAATATGACTAAAAATATAGGGAGCATCTGGCGTATGATACTGAAATTTCCTGTCGAATATTTTTCCCAAAGCCAATTTAGAAAATATTGTTCGCTAATATAATTGCATTTAATATGTATTACTGCATCTTAGGACAATAGTATATAAGCGAAATAATTAAATGTCAATTGCTATGTAATGAATGAATGCAATGTAACAGTTGAAGAGAGTGCCTACGTCTGGCTATACTCTCGGGGCGTAACTACGACGATTTAGGAATATCGTCACGCTTATAAAACAAAGAAAGCCTGCGCTCAGGCCCGCTCGCTTGCCCGCTGGCAAAATGTACAGCTTTGGCTCATTAGGTCTATATGTAATCTATAAATAAAAATATTCGTATGGCGCTAAAATCACGGGAGTTGTTTTTTTTATTAAATCTAGCAACTAACAGCGAAATATTTTACACTGCTAAGCAATAGAATAAAAATAAATCAATGGCGCTACAACCATTTTGTCTGTCAGAAACGCCGTCGGCTTTTTGGGTCTACGGCAAGCCGGTTTCCTCACGATGTCTTCCTTCACCGTTCGAGCGAATGTTAAATGCGCACATAGAATGAAAGTCTATTGGTGCATAGCCGGGGATCGACTATACAACCTTAGGTATGAGAATCGCACGCTAAAGCCACTAGGCCAACACTGCTAACCAATAACACAAGTAAATAGAAAATATTCTAAGAGCCATTGTGTCTTAATATTTTTTTTTATATAATACCTATTGTTTAAATAACATTATTCATAATTACCAGCATTATGGGGTCGAAGGTCAACACAGTGGACAACTACGAGTCGGAGGTCAAATTTTGCGGATTTTTATTCAAAGCATGACCATTAAGTAATAAAGTAGAATAGTTATACTTACCTATCCTTCAAAAACTTATTTAGGCAAAGCGTGACAGCATAACAACTGAACTAAGTACACACATAAATCATGTAATAAAATACACAATATCTTTATATATATAATATTATATAATTCTAATAAATGTACACTACTATCTACTACATGTGTCTGTACTGAACTCTTTTTAAACGGCTGGACCGATTTGAATGAATTTTTGAAGTGAAACTTCTTTAGGCGCATGAGGGTAAAATTTTTAAGTCACGATGATGTGCAGCGTTTTTGTCGAAGAAAAGGTAGAGAGCGATTGAGACCGATTGAGAGAGAGTGAGAAGGGTGAATTACCTTATAGAAATTCTATTTTTAAAATTAAAATTTCGCAAAGAGAATTTATAAAATATTACTATTTTATACAAAATAATTTATTGAAATCTCAAATGATGAATTGTAAATTAAAATGCCACGTGTTTTTATTATCGAAGAAATAAATTAAAAAAATTAATTAATTATTTGTAATAATTTTCGACAATTAACACAATTCCTAACATATCTTCCTTTTTCCGTCCCTCTAAGTCTCGGAAATCTAAAGTTAAGATTTGTATAAATATGAACAAGACTTAAAAATAAGTTTGCCAAAGAAGTTTCACTTCTGACATGAATTGCGCCCTGGGGGCTTAATCAAGATGTCTTAACAGTAGTGTATGTAAAAAGTAGAAAACTAAATTAGTATGAAAATGACAGTTCGTGTCGACAAATTTTCAAATAAATTTAGTTTTCTGGATGGTTTAGATTTACAAATTAACCAGGCAGATGGCGCTGCAGTCGGTACTTTCATATACTTTGTTTATTTTCCGAATCGCTTGAAATATCATGCAGGACAACGTCTGTCGGGCCCGCTAGTAGACTGGATATTCCGTGGGGTAGGATCACTAATTCAGCAATTTATTTCAAATAGTTTCATTATTTGTTTTTATCACCCCATATTAATTTAAAAGTAGCCTCAAGTCAACCTGACAGAACATCGTACAACTAGTTAAGGACCATATTATAAATTATCTATGAATATAACCGCGAGAAAATTTAAAACGATATTTTCAATTTGACTGTGATTCGCGAACAGCGTAATCACGAGTGAAATTAAAATTCCGATTCCATTTATATATCAAACTACGATGGTCTGAATTTGGAATGTTATACCAATATCATAAATAAAACGAGAAAAAAGAATATTACATATTTCTATCTACAGTAGACTACGATATGGAATTTAATGTTGTAGTTGTAAATGATAAGGCACAAATAATGAGTTTATCGACTTTTGATGATAAGGCTGCAAAGTTTCAAGTTCTTTCGAATTTCTCCGTCTTGAAATTCATTATCAATGCGAAATTTGGCGTTGACACTTACATACTACATTCACCTTATATTGACATTGACAGCTGACAAAGGCTTGTAAAGTGTAAACTTCAATAACTAAAAATCACAATTGAGCGAAAAGATGAAATCATAGGTCAACAAAAAACTGGAATTCCGAATGTTCAATTCTTTATAAATAAAAGCAAGTGATAGAAGATGAAATTATGGCTGATCGTCTCCGTAGATTCGCACAACAGGTCAAAGACAAGGTTCAAATTGCACAAATGAATGTAAATAGCCGGGAAAGAGTAGATCAGCTGGTAACCAAGTATGTACCTGCTGAAAGGGTTTCTGCTATGGCTAATAGATTTAAACAAGACGCAGTCGTAAACAAAGTGAAGGAAATTGTAAATAGATATGAGAAATTCACTGGTATCGACGAAATTATGGCGATTCAGAACACAGTCGTGGAAGCACAGGTTTGTTCATATCATTTTCTATATTTAAAGTTATACTCGTAATTTATCAGTATCAGAAAGAAATCCGTAGTCATTTATTAACACTAACTTTATGGGTAAATTAAAAATTATTATTTTGATTTTATAATTTTAATGGAATCATAGAATATGTCAGTTGTAAATCATATTTTTCTTTAACCATCATAAATCATAATTGTAGTATAAATTACAGTTTAGCTTAAGTATACGCGCAGTTATGTAATTATTTTATTTTAGGTCTTATTTTATATACATAACAGTCAGATCACTGATAATCTTAATGCAATATATTTCTGTAAATAGTAGTAATAAATAAATGTGTTTATTTCATTATAAAATGTATTTAATCAATCTTTAAAATTTCAATTAAACATTAATATTTTATTGCTGTAAATACTCACTTATTCCACATAATTGAAATGAATACCAACCTGATCATAGGTTTCAGGCTGCTTTATTTGTATGAAATATTTTTCACAAATGGCATTATAAAGTATGGATATACAAGGTGGGTAAAATAAAAAAACACATTACTAATGATATGAAATCCTGTTTTTTTAATCATCTTATTACTTATAATATGAGATCTTACTTCAATGTATTACAATATATATTATATTGTTAAACCTAAGGTGTAAAAAGCATTTATAAAATTAAAATATTTTTTGATACAATATTACAGGAAAAATTCATGACAGCCCAAGACAGACGTCGTGAACTTGGGCGTGAGCTGGCACTTATTGAAGCAAGATTAAAGGAACTTCATGCTGAAATGCAAAACACTATGAAGGGTGATGAGAAATACTTACATTTGTGCACTGAGGAACATAAGGTAAAATGACCACAACAGCCTCACCACCCAGACTGCAACAAAGGACACCCTTCATCTGAATCCTTTTAATAGGGGTTTAAAAAGGTTGTCAGCAGAGGTGTCAAGTGGTTCTTTTTTACAATAGGATTGTAAAATCTTAATGAGTTAGGAAAAATAATCATACAATTCAATTAATTCTTAGAAGCTGAAATATTTATGTATCAGTATCAGCTGCTAAATTTAATCTTTATATGGGCTGTCATATAACAGTTAAAAAAATTCTTACAAGTATTAAGTAAATTCTCTTTACCTTACAGCTCATTATCCAAGAGCGTGCCGCCCGCACTCTCTTCTCAGAAGCAGAAAGAGAGGAAAGAGAACTCTTTGCAACTATGTCAGCGGCGGTTAAACTAGGACATGAAAGAGAGAGGGCTCATGCTGAAAGAAATAAGTATTGGTATATAGTTGCTTCTATATTTGGTAAGTTTTAGTACTAAATTTTCATGAATTTCAGATATTTGGTAATCAATATTTTCTTCATTGCAAAAATAGAATATATAGAAACAATTTATGAAAATAAAACAATTTTTCCATAGAAAAAAGTGGAATTACATAAATTATTTTCCATTCTACAATACTAGTAGTAATATGCTATAGTATTATATTAATAGGAGTAATTATATATTTGCAGGCACTGCACTTGGTATCGCTGGCTCTACAATAAACAACAGACTAAAGATGGCAGAGTTTAGAGATATGATGGAGAAACAAATGGCTAGAAGTGCAAGTGTACTCTATACCATTGCAGGGGGTGGAACAGCCAATCGGGCTGATATCACTGAAGCTATGAAGACCGAGTTTGCTTATCAGGTGTTTAAAACCATATAATGTATTTGATATATAATAATACATATGCCCATATATACACTGTGGTGCATACTTATGCATGTAGCAATCTTTTGAGATGGTTTTATTGGACCGGGTTAGGCTAGGCTACTTGGATTGCATACGAGAAAGAAAATATTATATAAATAGATATATAGAATATGTTTCCGTTGTCTCAACTCTCTTCATCATCACAAGTCATCAAACTAAACTTTTAATTTAAAAAGTCATTATGTAGTGGATTTAAGTTATTAGTAATCTGTTAATAAGAAGAAAATTTATTAAATATCTGTTTTCAATGTTTCAGGAGCAACTGGCACAAAATTTAACTTTAATGCAAGATAATATCAACAATCTAGTCAACAAGCAGGCATCATTAATAGGTATTTTTTTATTTATAAATCCTTTAATTACTATTTAAAAAGTGAATGTGAGATTTTTTTAAATGTTTTTATTTTGCATACTTGCAATTGCAATAAAAATATATGTGTTCTGTGTTATTTAGTGTAGTATTTTCTGTGAGTGTGCTTTATGAATAAATAACCAATTTACAGGCATTTAATATTTGCTTGGTAATCTAATTTCTGTTTGTTTGCATGCCGACAGTTTAAATATGGAATAATATTGTATCGGATATAATTTTTATTTGTGTATTTTCAGATCATCTCCATCACCAGGAGCATGTTTTCGAAATTCAAATGAGGGAATTAAAAAAGTTAGTTCTAGCTTCCGCTCAAACAAGCGCGAAATCTGACGCAGAACTAGCAAAAGCATTATCTGTGGTTCACCAAGATTTAGACGACGATAAAGAGCGCGAAAAAGTAGTTCCAGTGACTCTAGAAACAAATCAAATTTTAACTGCAGTTGGTATTCTTATGTGTGTAGTTGTCATTTTCGGAAATATTTTTGGCCGTGTAAGTTGATTCAGTAGACAAAAATGTAAACGATTTTCGGACTTTATAATTAACTGTATTTTTAATGTGATGTGGTAATCATATGTGTATACTTAGCATTTAAATTAGAAATCTGGGCATTCAATATTTAATTAACAAAATATTGCATTTTGCTTTTGAAGGTATTAACTTTTTTAAAGTGGAATATTATATTAAAATATTAGGATCATCGCTTAACAATTTTTTCATGCGTGAATACGGTACTTTTTAACCCCCTTGGTAACAACACAACCGTTAAAAAATAACAAAAACCGCAACCATCTTCAATATAGATTTCAAAACAAAAATTATCTTAAAGTTGAAATTTTTGTTTGCATTTTTTGAAGGAGCGCGTCGCCTTAAATCTTGTGAAATTTTTAAGAATACAGTGTAAACTTTTTATAACGAATTTCAAGAAACCGATACATTTTTCGTTATACGGAGGAAAGAGAAAATAATAACCAAATTTAACCAATTACAGTAATTCCTAATTTTATTACAATCAATAGGTAAATTATTCTAAACACATATATTCTGTTAACTTTGCCTAACCTGTTTTGCTATGACAGTGTAATTATGTAATCTAAAAATAATGGCACACGTGTTAATGCAACTAACAATAACAAAGGCGAGACGGCTGTTTATGGCCTCAGGTGTCTTACTTAGAAATTTCGGCTGATTATAAAAACATTTACACTTAAGTTTGTTGTAAATATGAAAATATTTATTCGTAATAGACAATGACTGTTGCGTTATATAGAGTGAATTAATGTATGGGGTTTGTGCTAAACCAAACGTTGTTTTTTTCCTTATAACGAATGACGTTATAAAGAGTATACACTGTATATTAATTCGAATTTCCTAGATTGTATCATTCACCAAGGCTCGTTAGTTAAAGTAAAAAATATTCATAATACATCTAATATGATTCAGAAAGTATATAAATGTGGTTGATTCTAAGATTCCATTACACAGCTAACAATTTTATATTTTCATGTACCTATTTATAAAAGGGTTATTTTTGTACTAATATGTAAGGATATCTATGGCTTGTTTTGTTATACTTGATTTAGCACAATAAATTATCTTTGTTAATTGTATTTTATTTTTAACTATAATTCATCTAATATAATGTTATAATAATGTTATGCAAAATACAGCAAATGAAATAGATACCAGTTTATACTAGTATAAAATACAAATCGAAATTTTTATGTATTGACGAAACTTGAATTGTTTCATATAATTTTTTTTTGAAGTTATACGTCTTTAGGCGCGTTATGAAAAATTTATGAGAGTGAAATTTTACGATGCGCGCGCACCGCACAGCGAGATAGGAATAAGACAATCTACAAGTAAAAAGAAATAGAATATGCGTGATGTTCGTATGCCAAGAATTTTGAATGACCATAATGACATTTGTCATTTACCTTTTAAAGAAATAAAGGAGTTTTAATTATTTTTTCAAAGAAATTTAGCAATGCTTTTTGAATTATATATAATCAGAAGTGATTTAAATTGAATATTATTTAAACCAATACTAATTAATATTTGTGAAAAAACTGTGCTCATCAACCTTCCTAAGTGCTTCATTACAATTGAGGTTAATTATCAGTTTGTATTATTATTATCGAGTAATGTTTTGATTAAAAAAATTACCACATTGTTTAATCAAAACATGTAATTTTTCTCTAGCAAATATAAGGACAAGAGACAAAAAACTATTGATGAATCAGTGTAAGTGCACTAAATTGAATACAAAAAAAAGAGTTGTCATCTTATCGCTGTGAAACATCAAAAACTGGAGGTGGAACAAAGCCAAACTATTTTTAATAATGCCAAAGAAGTATAACTTCTTACGCGCGTACATAAGTACACGCACCCTTTTTTAAATTATTGAAACGATATGATTGAAATTTAGTATTTATTTTCTAAATATTTAGAAGTAGAAGGACTGTGGTTAGTATTTATGGTAGGGCCCACGATGCTAAATGGGGATTTACTCGAGCGTCGTAGAGACCTATTGGGATGCAAAGCTTAGATAATAAGAAGAAAAAAATGTTATATGATAAATTCCTTTTCATCGGTGGGGGAAGCGGCTATAGATAGTTAAATATGTAAAAAAACTGTTGCATGGACATCCTCGAGCGCGTCAGATATTGATAGCATCTATGCCCTACGTATTTTTAATAATGTACGTATGTTAATCTGATCGTTTGCATGATGCGGGTGGTTGTATTTAAGGGTTGAAAATGAAAAAAAAAAAAATTATCGAGCGCGTCAGATTTTCTAAGGGAGTGTTAAGTGCACCAAAAAAAAGCTCTCATTCACTAATCTGACGATTTCGATGGGACGCAAAAAACACAGGCATTTTCGTAATTTGCAAAAAAAATCGCAATTTTGAAATACTCAAGCGCGTCAGATTAAGATATATTATGTGGTTCATCTTTATGTTCTAAACGTACTGTCTCATAATCTGACGATTATCTAGAGGGATTCGCCTGATCTGACAAAAAAAATTTAGAAAAACGGTTCACCTAAAGGGCCATCCCTGCAACTTCCCGCTAATTCCATTCCTGGGCGCTTAAAATTGATATTTTGAGCTCGCTGAGTTCAAAGAAATAACATTTCTATGCATTTGAGCTCTCCCAGCTCGAAAGTCTGATAGAAGTGTCATAGAACACTATTTTTGGAATTTTCAAACCGCAATAACTTTTGAATGGATCAAGCAATTTTCACGCGGTTGGCGGCATTCGACGCAGTTTTATCATTCCCATAAGTAATTTTGCAATTTTAATTGATCGAACCACAAATTTCGGAGTAATCCCGAATAAACACTTTTTCGGGTTTCTTTCGTTCACGATATCTCTCGAACGAATAAACCGCTTTTGACCAGCTTAGTGGCGATCAACGTGGTTTTTCAAGCTCAAAGGCGGATTAGTTTTTGAAGTTGATCGATAAAGAAACCACTTTAAAAAAAAAATTTCTTATTTTTTTAAGATTTTTCAAAATTTCTCAAAATCTATCGGTCCGAATCGGTTCAAATTCACAGGAAATGTAATTTTGAGGGAAATATTTAGAACGCCGTTTAGGAGATTCCGATCGGTTTAAGGAAATGTAGGCATCACGCAGCTGCACGCATTTAACTTTATCGACGAATTTTTGTTATTTCGGCTTGCGGAAATCGTCAGATTATATATTTTTCATTATTCTTGAATTATTTCCTTCAAAATAAAAAAAAATTAGCTACGCTCGAGAATGTCGAGATGACGTTTTTTTTTACAACTTTGTTGCCCTCCCTTTTTTTCCGTCACTCTCAAATTGTCAGATTAGTGGAATATACACTTTTTAGGATGTAATTAACTCACCCTACCTTAATCTGATGCGCTCGGGAATTTCTGATGGTCAATTTTTTTTACTAATCTGATCCTGTCTCCTTCACAGGCGGCCTTATATATGGACCTCATGTTTTGTGGAGGTACTTAACCGAGTACAAGCTATCCCCCTGTATATTAATCTGCCGCGCTTTAGTAAATCCCGAAATCCCCTCTTGGGCTCCCCCTACCATTATATACCAATCTCAAGTGGTGTCACACTTTTGAATTTTTACCAAGAATATTACTAAAACCAATGAATGGAGCACAACAAGATATAGAATGTATATTATACCTCGTGTAATATACTAAAAAATATGGGTATGATATAGGACATATTTACATGCCTTCATTTGTATCGAATTCCATTTCGAGTTCTACGTAGTAGAACATGTCCCTTGCCCTGGAGACCAAAGTCGTACAAGCAAAATCTACTTTTTTTTCAGGAAAAAATAAAAGAAGTTATTAATAGGATACTAAGTACACAATTACACTATAAAAATTGTACATAATTAAATGAAAAGGAACTGAAATGAACTGGCGGCCTTATCGCTTTCGAGCGATCTCTTTCAGGCAACCACTGTGTGAAAAGAAAAAATGTATTAAAGTAGATAAGGTACGCAAGAAGTACAAAAATACATATTACATATAGTTATTAATTTATAATATATGTAGTTTATTAATTTAAGATCAGTCTCACGTCAGTAGTTAGTACGAAAGTTAGGGTTACGATTCGGACAGGTAATGTTTGTACAGAAGAAATTTAAAGGAAGATAGAGAAGAAGCTAAGCGAATAGGGACGGGAAGTGAATTCCATAGCCTAACTGCAGACCTTAAAGGATTCGCCAATAAAGGAAGAGTTATGAGATGGGATTTCAAGGATATAGTTTTCAGAGGTGCGTAAGCTATAGTTATGGTATTATAATATATATATATATAATATTAGGTCCTTACATATGAAATTGGCGTTTTGTATGGGAGGAACAAAAAGTCGAATATTTTTAAATATAATATATTTAATTAATCAAAGTATGAACCATTGTTTTCTATGCACTTTTGCCATCTCATAGGTAGTTCATTGATCCCTTTACTAAAAAAAACAGTCGGATGGGAATCAATAAAATCTATGAAGGCGATTTGGACTGCCCCATCAGAGTTAAATTTTTTCCCTTGCAAGAAGTTGTCCAAATTTCGAAAAAAATGGTAATCTGTTGGAGCAAGGTCCGGGGAGTACGGAGGATGTCTTAGACATTCCAATTGAAACTCTTCTAATTAGGTAGCCGTCTGTTGTGCAGTGTGTGGTCTAGCGTTGTCGTGAAGTAGCAGTGGCGTGGAGCGATTGACCAGCCCAGGTTGTTTAGCCGCTAGCTTTTCCATCATGGTTTGCAATTGCTGACAAGAGACATCAGCCGTAATAGTCTGGCCAGATTTGAGAAAACTGCAATGAACAATACCGGCACTAGTCCACCAAACGCTTACAAGTAACTTTTTGGGGTTAATTTTCGCTTGGGGCAGGATTTGGCTGGCTGGCCAGGATCCGACCATTGCGCTGAGCGCTTCCGATTATCGTAAAGAATCCATTTTTCATCACAGGTAATGATTCGGTTTAAAATACCTTCATTATTGTGCCGGTTCAGTAATGTAACGCAGCAGTCGACACGCGTTTGCCGGTTTGCTTCAGTCAATTCGTGAGGACCCATCTTTCAAGCTTTTTAATCTTCCCAATTTGCTTCAACTGAATTAAAAGAGTTTTATCACTAACACTGCAGCCTGCAGCTAACTCGGACGTGGATTGCGATGGATCCGCTTCCACAATAGCCTTCAATACTTCATTATCAACTTGGGTCTTAGCCGTCCACGGGGCTTGTTCTGCAGGTCGAAATTTCCAGAACGAAAACGTTGGAACCAAAAACGAACTGTGTTTTCTTTTGCAACATGACCGCCATACACATCATTCACCCTTCGAGTCGTTTCCGCAGCACTAGTGCCACGGCGGAACTCGTACTCGTAAATAATGCGATACTTTAAGTTTTCCATTTTGTAAAATGAGTGGCGCAAACAGAAAAAAACAGAAGTAAAAAACAAATGAATGACGGTCATCGAAGCACAAATACATGAGTAAATAGCTGTACAAATTTGAATTTGGAATTCCTTACCAAAGAGGAGAACATCGTGATTAAAGTGGCCAGTACTAAATACGCCAATTTCATATGTAAGGACCTAATATTATATATATCTTTTTCATAATATCCACCACATTGGTACTGACGAGTTCTTGCGCATGAGACATGCTATTTATGGTTGTTTATTGGGTGTATTGAAGATAATAAGTTATACGATATAAAAATTTCTCAAATCATAACTTTTTGTGAACTTCGGACCCCTGTGAAAAAAAAATACTCTACCGAAAAGTGACCCTGTATTAAAAGTTTTGGCGCATTTCATAGGGATTAGGGAATAGCCACTCATGGCCATGTGTAATACCTTTTCAGAATCCCAGTCCAGTACCAATCTAGTGGATATTATGAAAAAGATACAGTAGATTTGTTCAAATTTTAATAAGAATTAGTAAAAAAAAGTAATTTTTTTATAAAAACGCAAAATAAATTATAACTCTGCAGGGGTTGCGCTGAAGGACCTCCCGTAGAACAATTTTTTGCAGCTGATGACCCCATCTAACCCCTAGTTGCGTTTGATCCATGACTTTTGGCCATTCTGAGACTGTTCTGTGGCAGCCCGGAGGGACTTATCCCTTCCCAGTATAATGTATATATTATTTCTCTATGGGCTTAATTGAACAAACGTCAAATCCGTAGTCTGTGGACAAAACAAAATTGTTTGTAAAAACACTAAGCTCTTCCAAACAGAAGGAAATCTCAAATCAATATTTTAATGTGTATTTAAAGATAAGTTCAATTGTAACAATGCAGGAAGGTAAGTAGTGGTTTTATTTAGCTTGCTTTTAGTCTTTATGTTTGAAATTAAATATAATTTTTCCATTAGAAGTAACTGGCGTGTCTCGAAGTGGTCGTGTTAGGAAGAAAAGCTCCAAGTTGATGGACTTTGAGTCGCCCGATGATATTGAGACGAGGTATAGACGCCAGACTCCCGTAAAATCTTATTCGGGTTTTCGACAAGAGGAAGAGCAGTTTCCTGAAGCCCATCAAAAGCCAGTAGAGGACGGAACTGCGTCTGGCAGCGAGTCTGATTATTATGAAAATACCGCTGAAAATGCTGATAGGTTTGTAATTGTATTCTGATATTGTGAATGCTGAATCAAGTATTTTAAAAATAGTTTATTTATATATAGTAGAATAGCTTTTTATCAACATAATTGATTACAGATTCTTGTAGTTTACTAAAGAACTTCCTTTTAAAAATAAGATCCTCTGGTATACAATATATTGTAATAAGTAATATTTCAGTATGGAAACAGATAGTTCTGGTTCTGAAGAGGGGTCGCCTCGCACCCCAGCAAATTCCTTGTACATGATGGAGCGTGGGAGTAAGAAGAAACTGATTGTGAAGGATGGAAAAGTAGTTGGAAGGGCCAAGGCTCAGAGAAAAGACAAAGGTAAATACAAAGATTTATAATTATTTCCATTATTACCTATTAGCCAACTACATAGATTCACGTTTATATAATTATCTATTGTAATAAAACTTTTCATTATTTAGCAAGTATAATTGATCACAACTATAAAACTATTAGCTTGTTTTCGCATCTGCAGAAGTGGTTTATTTTTATATTATACATTTTATGTTTTTTGGTGTTCATTGTATAGACAAGAAAAAACACAAACTTCTGAATTTCAGGTAAAACCCGTATAACTGCTTACATGATGTGGGCAAAGGAGGCCCGTAATGATCTCCTACGAAAACATCCTGATATGGACTTCTCAGCTATTTCAAAACGGCTGGGAGAATTGTGGGCTAATGTATGTTTTAAGTTTTAGATTATTTATTGTTGTACCATTGTCTATCTACATCCATTAATGGTTTCAAAACAGTTCAAATTCAAATAAACATAACCATAGAAAAAGTTAATATATTTTCTGTCATCACTGTTTTGTAGGTACTATTTACAAGTAAACATAACATTAAGAATTTATTAAATAAATAGCTTTTTAATGTTAAGAAATTTGATTTTGATGTGCAGGTAAACTACAATGAGCGTTATTTGTGGAAACGAAAGGCAAAACGTTTTGCCATCATGAAATCTCAAGAGACGCAGGGAGTTACCAAGATCATATCAAACCCCAGTAAGTACATAGCCACTTATTATATGAATATGGTATTAATTTTTTATGTACTGAACCTCTCTTAGCACTAGATTGAATCTTTTGTTCTTGTCTTTCTTTATACTCTTTGTCTCATTCTTCATGTATAAAGGCCGTGTTGGTATTTCATATATTCCTCGGCAAAGTCCCGTAAGAACCTTAACTTGTTAGGTCCAGCGAGTAGGGGATAGGGTTCAGGGTTGTAAAATCTTGTCTACTTGTCCTTCTCACTTACCAGGAAATAAACATGTGTTTGTTTGTTTATTAAAAGGAAGAATATTTTAAAGACTATTCGGTTAATGTGGATGTAGTTCCTCTTCAGTGGTTTGCTCTTCTTTTTACAGGTGTGACCCCAGTGCGTCACGCGGGTCCGGGTCGTCCGCCCAAACATAGGCCGCAACCCACTCACACTACGCCACCGCAGCAGGCGCTTGTAGTGAGTATTGTTTTTTCTTGGGGTGACCTTTTTTATTTGGGAGAAGTTTTACTCTTAGGTTACTTTGTGTCTAAACTACAACGTCATTACATTCAATTTATGTCGCGTTTTTATTACATTATTTACATAATTCTTTGTCTATTACAGAACACTACTAGTGAAAAGCACTTTCTGTAATTTATTTATTTACAGCATAAAAATAAAATAAAAAAGCCTATTTATTTCTTGCAAAAGAACCAAGTAAACTTTATGCTATTTTTACACATATATTTTTAAGCAAGTAAATTACACAATTATTTTTTATATCTATTTCCCAATTATTATTTTGCAAGAACCCTTCCGCAGGTGTAGGCCTCCTCCAGGGATCTCCAGGTATCTCGATTTTGGGTGAGTTGCATCCAGCTCGAGCCAGCCGTTTGAGAATGTCGTCCGCCCATCTCGTGAGCGGTCTTCCTCTGTGCCGTTTCCCAATAGGGCCACCCCACCTGGTCACCCTTATGGTCCATCGATCGTCAGAGAGTCTTGCTATCTCCATTTAAGCTTTAGAGCATAGTTTAGGGCATCAGTAGGTTTAGTAACGCTACTTATTTTTGAGTGTCTTATTTTATTAATTTTTCTAATGTTAAGCATGCTCCGTTCGGGCCCCTTTGACGAGTTCTGATTTTTCTTTTTATCTTCTTTGTATATTTCCAGCATATAATGGCAAAAATGTAGAATACAAAAATTATAACAAAGTAGTTATTCATAATGTTATAAATTCGCTTTTATATTGGGATGTAATAGTTTTAAGATACTATATCGGAACTTAATTATTTATTTTTGGCCGAAATTAAGAGATCTGTTGTTTATGGACAAATTATTTTTTCAGCCGGTTAGTACAAGTAGCGGTGCCAACAACAGTGGCATGTACCGGGTCACGGGCTGCGGGGCTGTAGAGGTCGCTGCTCATTTACGGCTTCTGGGAGAGAGTCTGGCCATTATCGGGGAGAGGCTGAAGGAACATGAAGTATGTCGATACCTCTAAAGGCTTTTTTATAGTATCTACTCTACGGTAAATACATACTAACCAAAATCACATTAATGATAGTGATCGTTTGTATTTTCTAATAGGCAAGTAGACATTATCATAATATATTCCTTCTTCAAAATATTGTTCAAAGAACTCTATAATTACTAGCTGACCCGGCAAACGTTGTTTTGCCATGTATATTATTTCTAGGGAACATTTTTTAGTTCAATTAAAATAACTATCTACTTTAATAAAAAATAGGGGTTGATCGTAGAGGGTTGAAAAAAAAAATTGTCTAAAAAATAAAAACAAATGTTTAGGGATGGACCTCTTATCACTCTTATCACAGGAGTTTGAAAGATAGATTCTACGATTGATTATGAATATGCATAAAAAATTTCATAAGAATCGGTCGAGCCGTTTCGGAGGAGAATGGGAACGAACATTTTGACACGGGAATTTTATATATATCGATAATACTTTAATGAATTAGGATTGCATATTTTCATCTAGCAATATTTTGTCGTGCATTAATTTTTAAACTAAGAAAAAGCCATAATTTTAATTTTCTAACAGTTTGTTAGTTAAATTACTTTTAAGAATAACATTTTCATTTTTATCGAATGCTTTCAGGGCCAAATTGCCGTATCGGGATCTGTGTCCGTCCTTCTGGACACACTTCTGTGCTCGCTGGTCCCGTTGGTGGCTGTCACTAGGGCGGTTCCAGCCATAGCGCCTCCTGCCGCTCTTTTACAGGACACATTACACAATATCGCATATATTATGCCTGGATTGTAGATTAACAATAAATGTTACCAATACAAATATTTTTTACTTAAAACCGATGGCTTCTGAGGTTAGGCACAACCTTAATCTCTTATATAATTTGACAAAGAAAAGGCTAGGTATGGTGTGGGTCTTTTTAATTTTTTTATGTTGTTAAGCTATTATCGATACCTAACAACAAAATGGGTCAGTTTGCAAATATTAAATTTTTTCTATAAAATATTGAACTTACAGATACCAAATGCATTTATTTATTTTGAAATTCTTCTGTAAGTTATATGGCATAAATAAGGGATAACATAAATAAAATGACAAGTCAAAGAAACAAAAATCAGTCTATACTTTTTATTCATATTCACAATTCAGTTGCTTACAATTACATTACAATTTCCAGTTATAATTAAACTATTTATTTAATTATCACAATGTAAGAATTACAAACCAATGATGAACTAATAAGATGTGATTACTAACCTAACCTAACCTAGATAACACTACACCGATTGACTTTTGATAAATGACATGGTCAGACCAGACCCTATCCAATTTACCAGAATTATCTTGAACTTAGAATGTATCTTCTAATACAAATACTTAAACCATTTTTATTATATATTCAGTAAGGGTATTTTCTATAGTGTGCTATTTTTAATGGCCTGTCAAATCCAACCAATTTTTTTTAAGTTTACATTAAACATTCCTACGTGTAGATTAATGCAACATTAATTTTTAAAGAACGTTGGAAATTCTAATCTGAACATAAAATACTATTTGAATAAATTGACAGTAATGTATTAATTTAAGGAAACTAGTGTGTTATAAAAAACTGTATTCTGTCTTTCGACTTATGTTACCCAGCAACTACAGATTATACATAAAAAAAGATTAAAACTATTGATCTCTTAAACCTATACTCGAATATTTACAATTGATTCAAAATAAAACTAAGAGAACTACTATAGATTTTGTTCGCTTTTAATGTTTTAAGGTGATAAACGTAAATAAAATAAATCAACTAAAACAAGCGGCCATCGTGGCTGAAAAGATGTCAAAACAACATTATATTCTAAAGATGTTATTATTGTTGCAAACGTTTTCTTCAAAAAATTCTATACTGCGCTTATGGGACTCTATAATTTTTTTTAATTATTCTTAACGTAACTTTATTTTCGCTGAAAGGTAGTGGTATTTCTCAAGCAAGTGGGTTACATAATTAACTACGCAATTAATAAGTAATCAACTAGTATTCAATGAAAAATGTGCTACATTCTCCAGTCAAAAAAGTGGTAAAAAATCTATTTCTAACTAATTATGACGTCACAACAAAAATATGAAGATTAAAAATATTGGCAGTAAAGGCAGATAATACTGAAACAAAAATTTTTAGGTCTATTAGTAACCCTTTAATAAAGGTTCATATCAATTTTTTAAACTTCAGTCGTCCTGAGGAATAACTCTTTTAATGAAAATGAAATTTAGTGGTTTCTATAATACTCGGTTTGGTCCTTCGAGCCGGATTTTTTTTTAGCTATATAAACAGATTTTACATAAATCACTTAAGAATTATAAAACATAATGTCTATGCATCAATTATTTCATTTTTACTCTTCATCATACGTAAAAGCTGCCTCTTATATTACAAGAAAATTCAATTATTCACCAATACTCTTATATTAAAAACTACTGATGAAACTTAGTTAATGTTGGAAATATGGGAAAATTGAAAATCTGTACCGATGCATAACAGTTTCGTTGAAAAACAATGGATACATACCAACTACAATAGTCGTCCCCTACAATTTGTCTCCCCGCAGTAGCAGTACAGAACTTTCCCGGGTACCGAACCGATGTCATAGTTGTAGTTCCAGGTCAGCTCTTGGCCGGCCTTTATGTGCGAGCTCGCGAAGAACGCGACCCACGGAAAACGCGGATCGTGTGTGTCCACGAACACGTTTTGTACGAATACGTTTGGGCAGCATGAGTGCTGAAATCAAAAGTTTCACTTTTACCACTCAATTGTGCGTTCTAACTCCTGTGTGAACTAGGGATGATCGATGTTAGAAAAACATCGATATTGACATCGATGTCATAATCAATCGAAAACCGAACATCGATGTTGGATAACATCGAAGATTTTTGCATTGATAATTGACAAAGAAATAAAATATAGTGAAATGGTTGCTACTAAAAAGTTCTCCACCGAAAAAGGGACAAATTTGACCCATTTGAGGGCAATAAAAAAATCAAATGCTACGTATTTTTTATGTTTTACCTACAAAAAGGTAAATCTAAATATTTACTTACTCAAGTGACCTAATACAAAAATAACAAATATTTAAATATCACGAACAATGTATCGAATTAACTCTGACGCGTATTGGCCGCACCTATATTACGTCATCGTGTTAGGTTTTTATTTTCGTTACGGAATATCTTGATTCGGTCGCCGCACTCAAAGCCCGCGATAAAATCTATGCAATAGGTTAAAAGGTCACTCACGTTAAGATATCGTCCAATGTTGCCTTGCACCTTAGCGTCCATGATGTAACACGCCTCGTCCTCGCCGAATAATTTACGAACAGATCTGTAATACAATTAATTTGGTGCTAGATTATATTTACACTTCGTTGCATAAAAAAAAACACAAATAACACAATACATAAAAATTATAAGGAATGCAAAGGGCGGCCTTATCGCTAACAAGCGATCTCTACCAGGCAACCATAGCAAGAGAAAAACTAAAAAAAAAAATATGAGTAAGGGGTCACATGAATTTTAGGACTTTTGAACCCCTCCCCCCGTCCTTGTCACAGGTTGTCACATTTTTATAACCCCCCCCTCCTAATGTGACGTCACACATTTTTTACTGCGCCGGCAAGTGAGGTAGCACTTGTCGAAGGTCTCGCAAACAACCGACGGGCGGAACGATAGAAAAGCGAGCGAGCACTCGCCGACGACTTAAACCTATTTAAATCCTTACCATTCAAAATTCTCGTGAATTTGAGTGTCTCACTTGCATTACAAAGCCGCTCTAGAAGTTAAATGACGTTGCATGAGAGATTATCGCATAGCGAGAATGCTAAATTATTAATAAATATAGATCAAGTTCGTAAATTTTTTAATTCACATCCAAACTTTGCGTTTTAGTATTTTAAATTTTAACATGTGACGTCACAAAAGTATTGACCCCCCCATGCCCCTTGTCACACGATGTCACACTTCGGTGATACCCTCCCTACCCATTAACGTGTGACGTACTTTATGGATGGCCCCTAAGCTGCAAGAAGTGCATAACCAAATCTTAATATATATAAATTACGTGTCACGTTGTTTGTCCGCTATGGACTCCTAAACTACCGAACCGATATCAATCAAATTTGCACACCGTGTGTAGTTTGATACAACTAAAACAATTCTAACAGATGGCGCTGTGTTGAAAGTACCAACGTTTCACATAAGCTACAATTTAATGGCATAACCACCAAAAAAGCATGGTGGTCCCCATGACTGGTGTTCTCCTACCGTTTCCCTTGAATAGTTTGCTACTATGTAATATAACAAAAATCTTAGCCACAGCAACGCTTGGCCGAGTCTGCTAGTGTTATATAAAAAAATATAGAACCTTAATCTTTATTTTATAAATATAACACGTAATAAAAAAATATTAATAACAAACTAAAACCTAAAAAGCTAATCTTACGGATTCATGAATAGCGATACAATACAAAAGAAAAGGAAATAGAAGAATTACACAAGTCACGATTGAGCAGATAGGAGAAGGTTAAGAAATGTTTATACAGAAGAGTCTTAAAAGATGATAGGTAGCCAATCGTATGGAGTTGGGCAACCTATTCCACAACTTAATGGCGGAGAACCTAAATGAATTGATTATGAAGTATGGGATTCCAAAAGCTTCCGAATAAAAAATTGATTCCGCATATGTCCTGCTAGCATGGGAATGCACTCCAAAAGAAACTGTTGTTGCTGCACTCAAGGATAACTTGGAATTTAATTTATTTCTTAACCATATTCTATCCTGCTCAATCTTAACTTTTGTAATTCTTGTATTTCTTATTATTTTGTATTGCATCGCAATTATTGTTGAATACGTGAGATTAGCTTTTTAGTTTTTAGTTTATTTTATAAGATATGAGCACTTCTTGCCTGGAAGAGATCGCTTGTTAAAGATAAGGCCACCCTTTGCATCCCTTTAATTTTTTACGTATTATTTCTTATATATTATTTCTTATATATAATATATTAAATGTAACGAAGTGCAAATAAATTTATTTTTTGTTTGCTCTCAAACATCACACAGACAAATACGGGCACACAATGTTGATAAGAAACCGCCTTTGACCCGATAAATCGTGTTAATATGAGTTCTTTAGTAGAGAGACCAGTCTGGGACCCATATTCCAAAATATTGAATCGATAAGAGAACTTTTGAAATCCACCTCACTAGTTTTTGAGTTAGTAGAAAAATACAAAACTTTGCTCTTTATTATATTAGTATAGATATAAGCAGCCAGTACAGCCAGCAAAATATCTTCGTAATAATATAACAATATAAATAAAGCAATTAAAACGCGCAAAATTACTCACCTATGCCTAGAAACAAAATCGCCCTGCCCCATCCCAGCTGCAGCTGTGAAGCTGGACGGCTCACGAACTGTAAATTAATTATTATTAAAACAAGTAAACGAAATTATTATATGTGTAACTATATTTTAGCATATTTCAATATTAGTGTAACCTGGACTTCCAGATAGCAATCTACTCCAGATACACATTAGCGCGTATTATTTAATAATATAAATTAAGCATGATTATTAAGCTTAACATTTCGAGAATATTATTAATTTTAAATAAAAAACGTGTACTTATGTACACGCGTTAGAAGTTATACTTCTTTGGCGTAACAAGATAAATATCTTTTCAAACATTGTATTCTACTTTTGTAGAAAAATCGACATTAACAATAGAAAAAACTAAAATGTTGACTATAGCTTCAGGGTGTCGGTTTCTTGTGACGGTGTGCCCACCGTACAAATTTACTCTCATCATTTTTCCCTAATGCGCCAAAAGAAGTAGTTATATTGAAGTTATATAAAAAAATATATCAAAAACACAAAATATAATTTCCATTAAATAATTTCAAACATTGAAAAATACAATTTAAACCAACCAACCTTCCTCATCATCACTAATTGTGATACATCCATCTTCGCCATTCCCTTCTTTTTCCGTCTCATCCTGTTTCACTTCGCTCTTGATCGTTTTATTTTCTTCTTCCATCTTTCGTTTTCTTAAACGCTTACTGAAAGTTAATAAACTCATACAAATGAAAATATTGCCATTTAAAATTAACAGCAGTGTTGATTGACGCTGTGAACTGTATTTTTCAATCTGTGTGCTGAATCATTAGCTGAATTATTGATATTTTGTGTGTTTCTGTGTGTGTGTTTTGTTAGTAATAAATGTCATGTCTAAGTCTACAACACAAAATTGTAACCTTACCAATCCGACACAATTTAAAAGAAAAAAAAGTGGGGCTACAACCTATTAAGGTTAATTTCTGGTATTTTTTTGTTAGGATAGGGGGCAAATGGCCTTACGGACGCCCTAAGTCAACCAAGATGTTGCCAAGAAAGACAAGTGCAGTCATGGCAGCCCATGAACACCATTTTAGTGGTTCATATTCTGTTTCGGGATCATTTGATTTTTGTAACAGTACGGTAATGCCTGACTCAGGCGGCAGACCCCTTGGATCAAACGCATGCCGGTTTCCTCATGATGTTTTCCTTCACCATACCAGCGAGTGTTAAACGCGCACATACATAGAAAGTCCACGGGGTTTGAACCTACGATCTCAGGGAAGAGAGTCGCACACTGAAGGCACTAGGCCAACACGGAGTGTGTACTGCTTTCAAATCAAATAAAAAAAACATTTATTCATTTAGGTAACACAATGTACACTTATGAACGTCCAAAAAAAGAAATATACATTAAATGCTTCTAATTTTACATTTACTGCGAGTTCTCAAATAAAGGGCGTAGAACGGAAGAGAAGATCTGGCAATAAACTCTGCACCACTCTTTTTAATCGCCAAGTCTTTGTTATACACAACGTTTGTAAGGAGCTGCAACCATTACACCATGCACATGACATCTTAAGTAATAAATAATAATAAAATAAATTAAAAACAAAGATTTGTCCTCTATCAGCAGTAGGCATGGTGAAATAGGAGCACGCACTTACATTTTCGTGGGAACAACACGCAAATACATAGTCGAAACAACTAATCACCGCATACACGAATTCAAGTTCGACCAGTCACCACAAGTCTTTTTACTACTGCTACTAAATTATTTGTCAAAAATAAGATTGATAATGGAAGGGCATTGTATATATCCCGAGCAACTTACTTGAAATGTATGGCCTCAGGTATGGGTGAGTAACCAACAGGTTTGAACTCTTCATCCTCGCTCTGACTCTTTGCTTCCTCTTCTTCTTCTTCCTCCTCTTCACTCTCACTCTCTTCTGATGTTTGATTACCCTCTTTCTGTAAATAATCTAATGTAAGCCCCCAAATCTCAATGCAAGTATATAACAAAGTAACGGGTTTACAAGGACTGCAATTTTTTTTAATAAAAAAAATACAAATTGAATTATTTTATTAATTGTAGTAATTAACAAATTAACAAGGTAATAAATAGCGTACAAGTTAATTTTAATCTAATTTTAGTTTAAGCAATAGAAAGGAGGAAAATCTTGTTCCGCTAATAGCATAATAGTTTTGAGCAGTATATTTTCATGAGTTCAAAATAAATGAAATTCTTGTTTGGACATTATTTTATTTTTGAAGTTATACTTCTTTTGGCGCGTTAGGGAAAATTATGAGAGTAAATTTATACCGCGCACACCGTCACAAGAAACCGACACCCTGAAGTTAGCTATAGTCAACATTTTAGTTTTTTCTATTGCTAGTGTCGTTTTCTCTACAAACGTAGAGTAAAACGAAGGATAAAACTTTTGAAAAGATTCTTATCGTGTACACGTTTTATTTTATTTTTGAATGATTACGAAACCGCTGATCGAATGAACACAGCCAACGGTCAAATAAATACGGAGTTACGTTCGAGAAGAGTTTCTTTGATTTTGAATTTTCGGAAGATTTTTGTATCCAGTTATCAATTTAATAATAAAGTCGAAATTGCAGTTAAATTAAATTAAAATGTTGTCGTAAATAAAGAAGTTTATTTTTCTATTTAGAATCAATTTTTATGCCTATATTAATTTTAACCGCATATGGAACTTTTACAGTTTAGCAAAAAAAAACAAAACAAAACACAACACAACAAAAAAATATTAACAACTAGCTGGCCTGGAGAACATCGTACCGCCTAACAGTCGATTCTTTATTTTTTTAAATACTTATTCTGCTATTCGGAACACCGGTCTAGCTAGTAAGATAAAAAAAAGAAAGTTGATAAGACGACAAATACATTATGTCAAAAAATAATAAATTTACCTTTCCGGAACCCTTCCACTAACACTTGAACTTTATGTTATGGTATTAAAGTTCAAATTTACTTTTAAGTATTATTACGAATAGTTTATATGGGAATATAGAAAAGTGTTGTATTTAGACTTTTTCACTCAATTTTTTTAATTTTTTTAAGAACCATCCTCGTACTTCAAGGAATATTATAAAAAAAGAATTGGCCAAATTGGTCCAGGCGTTGTTAACATAACACATTTTGCGATTCATTTTTATATTATAGATAATACGTTAGAAATGCTTGTAAGTGATGCCTAATAAGTTTTGGTTTGACGTTACAAAGAAACAAATGCTATCTACAATAATCTACCTTATCTAGAGCCTTGATGGCTTCCGGGATATCTTCTTCGTAGCCTTCCTTTGTCTGTTCCACGACTTCTATGTAGTCCAACTCGGCCAAGTATTCGTCGCCCTCGTTTAAACCGTCCTAAAAATACCAAACAAGATTTTTAATTAAAATGAAAAAAACAACACAACTTTTCCAGAACGATATTGTTTTGTTTTTAGGAAGTTACTAATTATTATTATTAAGCCTTTATTGCTGATACCCAGTGTAATATATACATATAAACATTGTTTTAGTACATAACCTAACTTAATCTAATACATAAGATGTGCCGGTCGGATTAGCGTGTCCTGTTTCACATAAGGCTCTTTCAGCTGCTTCCATTCTTTTTGAAGTTATACTTCTTTAGTCGTTATGAAAAATTGATGAGAGTGAAATTTTACGATGCGCGCGCACCGTGACACAAAATTAACAGAATGAAGTTGCCCACGGAAGATGCTACGGCATTGGACATAATTTAAAAACAACATTCGAATAATAATATAATTTATGTTACACTTAATGTAAGAGAATAATAATAAATATTTATTTATTTTTTTCAAATGTAAACTGAACTTTATTGACTATTAATTATTTGCATGCAATCAAAAACTATTTTTAAAAATGCCAAAGAAGTATAACTTCTTACGCGCGTACATAAGTACACGCACCCTTTTTTTATTACAGATTATGTATACAATACATAAATAAATAAACATGAGAAATCACTTTTAAAATTAGATTTAAATTTAACATATTTAAAAACCATCTTCCGTACTATAACGTAATATACAATCTGTTCTACTCACCAGGTTTGCGGTAGCGTCTGTAAGTAGATTTCCAACGTAAATACAAATAAAGCAACCCTTGGGAACGTCATTTAAAGCCCGAATGCCCCAGCCTCGATTCGGAGTTTTAAACACCTGAATGAAAATATAAAAAAAACTATTTTATTTGAATTTGACTAGGCACCTTACTTAACTATCTGCGAAGAGCTATAAGAAGAGATACTGCCGCCCATGGACACTCTCAATGCCAGATGGCTCGCGAGTGCGTTGCCTAATTTTAAGAATAGGTACGCAATTTTCTTGACATACCCTAAGTCGAATTGGTTCGGAAATACTTCAGTGGGCAGCAGGTTCCACATAGTGGTGTTCGCGCCAAAAACTGCCTTAAAATGTTAAATCTAACGTTTTTGAAATACAGGAGTCATACCTAAGCTTACCCTAAAAGCTGAAGAGTTGTCGTGATGTCATCATCATAAATTAAAATTACTACTAGAGTCTGGCTAATGAAAGAAGATAACGAAAAAGCGCGGCAAATTCAAAAAAAATTGGTATGGTATCCCTAAAAGTTTGATATATTTTGTTGATTAAACTTACTTGATACTTGATTTTATTATTTTTTACATTGATAGTAACGTATTTAGTCTTTTACTATTGATACTTAAAATGACTAGCATTGCATGGAAAACTAAAACTATATTTATTATAAAACACAACTTTATTCGGAATAATCAAAATCAGAATCCAAAAAATCAATAAGCATAGATTTATCAGAGTAATTGCTGTTATCACTGTCTCTCACATTGATTATGAAACTTTCTAAATGTTTACATTCTCTGTGTTGCCATCCGAAAGTTTTCAAATAACTCAATTATCTTCTTTCATTAGCCAGACTCTATTACTAATATGCTGTGAGGATCACGATTTTACAAAAGATTCTGAAAGTCTTGATTCTGAATCTCACCCTATGCCTCCTGTTTTAGAAAGGCTTTGAAGTTTAAACATAAAATTAGTATACACGAAAGTGTTGGAACCATTCCTAACAAAAGCAGTTTTGCATAACATTCTGCTTCGAAGGACCAAAACAGTCAGTATTGAATATTAATATATTTTGCTATAACTTACCTGTAATTTCAATTGTAATGGGTGTTGAACGACTCGATTTAAACACGTAGATTTACATTTGCATCTGCAATATACACAAAAAAATTTAGAATTAGAATTTTTCTTTGTAGTATGAAATTCCTTAATTGAAATGTAATATGGCTTTCGCTTTGTGATTACCTAGAGTTGCATTCATAAATGCCTGTACGCAATGGTTCAGGCAGGCGTTTGTAGTCATATCCAACATCTTCTCCTTCTATTCCGATAGTTTTAGCGCCCTCTAGCGTCAATTTCCAGCAGGCACATTTCGTTTTGTCCTGGAAAACAGTTATCAAATGCAAAAAGATTTACTTTGCATTCATATAAAGTCAAAGTCAAATCGTTTATTTCAATTAGACCATCTAAAATGGCACTTTTGAACGTCAAAAAAAAATATATAAAGATGATTCTAGTTGCCCCTTCCAAAAGGTAGTTTCGTGTGGAGAAGAATGGGCAAGAAACTCCACACTTACTCTTTTAAAATAGGTTTACAATATTTTGTTACATTTGTTAAATAATTATATGTGAAGACAATGTACTCTTAGAATAAACTACTATACTAAAAAAGTTAGTATACATGTTCCTCACATATTTACAAATATCGAAACCTATACTTTTTTTATCTAAACGGGAGTGTTAAAAATGATAAAATCGGAGTGTATAATATATCTCTATTGTCCACAGTATCGCTGTTTTAAATATTACAATATATTATTATTAATATTATGCTCCCTGGTTAGTCATATTATTAAGAAATTTAATACATGCTGTGTTTGCGTTTTAAAATTTTCTTTCGTACGTTTATAGATTATATTGTAATGCTCTATTGCAGACATCTTTAAATACATGATTATTAATGATAACGACTATAATACATAAAAAAATTAGACAGTAATGTTGCAAATGCTTTATAGTTTGAATATTGAAAAAAAAAATTCAAATTAAATGTTCGACATATAGTTTACGTACGATGTGCGATAGTAAGGTACACGATTGTACGTAGGTACGAAGTTATCAGAAATTTCCTTTTACCTGGTTTTGAATAACTTTCAATCCAATGCGTACCTCACAATCATCTTCACAGTCACACCCACATAGAAACTCCGGGTCCAAGTTAAGTGGTACTCCCGCTGTCGGCGTCCTCTCCGTGCTATACGCACAGAATTCTGGCAGCGAACCATCGTAGAAATTCACACACGGGACCGGTACGTTCTCTTTGCCATTCGCTAGATCCTAGAATACGTATCAAATAAATTATGTATTTTAAAATTAATCTGTAGTTATTCAAACTTTACAGACGAAATAATATCAGCCGTATCTCTTGTATGCAGTCTTGGCATATAATATTATATATTAATAATTTATTTATATAGACATACTACAAAAATGGTAATAAACACATACACATAGAATTCAAAGATTAGATTTTATCTAATGGTCTAAGATCCCGCTATACAACGACCTTCACCGAGATGCTTATTTAATGAAACTTATTTTATATATAATTTAATATGTCAATAAATATAATCCATATGGGTTGCCTAGCAAATTTCAGTCCAGAGTATGTTTAATTAATTTAAAAAAAAAATATTTTTTTAAACATTTCACCGGTATGATTATTAGATAAATTCTATACCAATCGAACGTATGAAGCCCATAGAATATGCAAACGTTAGGTTGTTTTTAATCAATTAATTATTTATGTGTATATTTTTTATGTGACACTAAAGTATATATACATCTTTAGTATAAAAGAAGGTTATAGTGATACATATATAATACTACCCTGATTAAAAATATTGATTGAAAAAAGTTCAAAAAATGTACTACATGCAAATTATAAAAAATTTTTTTTTAATATTAATTAAACATACTCTGGACTGAAATTTGCTAGGCAACCCATATGGATTATATTTATTGACATATTAAATTAAATATAAAATAAGTTTCATTAAATAAGCATCTCGGTGAAGGTCGTTGTATAGCGGGATCTTATACTATAAACTTTTTTCTAGGCTAGGCTAGGAAGAAACAAAAATATGCAGTAATTGTGAAATATAAAAGATTCTTAATTAGAATTAACAATACTAAACTTACATTATAAGCATTACTAAAATATAAAAACTAGTTTTAACACTATTTTTAGTGTATAATACTAGAACAAATGACAATTAAGCGTAAGAAAAAAGTAATTTTCTTTCATCACTGAATACTCCTAGAATGGTGATAAGATATTCAAATGATTCTCACCTTCTTAGAAACGACGTACTGATTAATGACGGATTCGGCCAAACAGTGCGTGTTAGGTCCAAAGTCGAACAGATCCACGCCCATATCAGATTTGATCGTTTGCAGGTAACGCAACAGTTCCTTCATGTTGCGTATACGACGTCCGCAAGGCGCGCGATACATTATGCGTTTGTCGTGTTTTGATCGGACAATTTGCCTGACACAAGATGAAATGTAAGAGAAATTATCAAGATTATCAATTCAGGGTCTTGTGAATTGTAATTGTAATTGCGTTTATTGCTTCACATAAAGTTAACGGAATTTGACGGGTTAGTAGATTTCTGGTAATTTTATTTATTTATTTACGACCTCTTTAGTTTTCCTTATTCAACGAGCTCTTTAGTTAGTTAGGATTACGAATATTAATGAATCAGACTGACGCTACAGATAAAATTTGTTAGGTCACTACTTAGAGCAGAGGATAAATATTTCAAATTAAGAATTATTACATACTAGCTGTACCAAAGTTCGCTTCGCCTTTATATGTTTTTTCCCTGCCTTTTTAATAGCTACATACTAACATACGGAACATTTTGCTATGCTACGCTATAGACTGTTCGTTTTTCCGGAGTAAAAACCTTTTGTAATAAAAAAAACTTAATTTGTTTTATATTTTCCCAATTTCATTTTTATTTATATAGCTCTCAACACTGACGAATTAAGAACTATCACAGTCAGATATCAGATAATAAAACACTAAAGCTACTTCTGACATATGAATTTTACGTTATGAATAAAGAGTCGAAACCTAATCTGTATAATTAATTAAAAGGCTTTTTAGGGATAAAATTACACTTCTACTGGCTGTATTTAAGATGACATCTATGACATAATTGATGTTTAAAAACTGTGTTACAAAATATACAGGCAATTCTTTACAAAATAATGTCTTAATCTAAGGAAAATTGATTACCTTTCCCAACCACTGAGCAGTGGTTTTGCGAGTGGATTGTAGGTGAGGAGATCCTTCAACGACAAGACATCCTTTCTCTTACAATTCGGTCCACAAACATGATTCGCGGGTATTTTGTATGGACTCACTGCTTTTTTTGGAGTATAGTACTGGAAATATAATAAATGGAACTACATGTGTATCTAATAATAATAAAACGTTATTAATTATAGCAATTAGCTTGTATCGTTTTACGAACACTAACTATAACCCTCAATAGGACATGCCTGTGTTGTGGGTGGCCAGTGGCCACGGGTAGAAGTACAAGGAACATAATTAGTAAGTAAGTACATAAATGAAAATAGCTCTCTGACATGAAACTACCACAAATGATATTTGTGTGCCTGTTTACTTTCTAAATGTGTATTCCATTCTTGGATATATTTTTAAAAAGTGTAATACTATTACAATAAGATGTATATAAAAAAATACACAAATAAACGAGTGTTAGTACAATAATAGTATATTAAACACAGAAAATCTGGTCTAATGTCAATGCAAAGTCGATTTTGTATGTTATATAATGTCCCAAGATTTGTATATAATATTAATAATATTTTTTATTAATCAGACAAATACAGTCCATTGTATTGGTGTATATTGTCTATTTGGATATCACAAACTGTTTACTTAGTTGGAAAAACAAACACAATTGTCACAAACACATGTCGAATTGTAAACCTCTTTCAATTAAAAGTGGATTTATTAATAATAATGGTTGTCTGTAAAGTCGGTTCACGGACGAATAGTTTAACTTGACAACGTCATAACAAAACAAGGAGTGAATCTTCGGACGCATGTCGCATAGGCCTATCGAGTGGAAGAGCGATAGATACGGCGCAAGACAGACAGCTACTGTGCTAGACAGGCTACTTCTAATTAATTGGCGATATTTGTTTTAAAATAAGTGTTGTTTGATGATTTGCTATTTTAAAAGAGTACCGAGAGTTTTTTACGCCGGCTTTTTCTCTCGGCCTACACCCTCTGTCTTCTTTGCCGATTAGCAGGGATGCCTACAAATTCAAATTTAATGACGTGGAATAAGTGATACCTGTATCTTATGTTCCATAATTAACATATTTTATTTTATTTATTTATTTATTCAAGCGTACAATGAGTCATGCTATTTCGTGCGTGTAGCCGTCCATCGATTTATAAGACGCTGTCACGTCAAAAAACTTAAACTAAACACATCATTGAATAACTTAGAACCTTGGCTTTACAACGATATAGCTTCATGTTACTAAAGGCAATGACGCTGCCATTTAAAAATGGACCTTAACTAAATATTATAGGGTCGAATATCCAACAGGAGTTTGATAAGTAATAAACGCTTTACTTAGTACGTGTACGTTGATACGAATGTGTCATATTCCACATGAAAAATCCAAGTTTTTTAAATTAAATTTGACGCATATTTTGGAGATATTGAATATTTAAGGTTAATTAATAATTTGTTAAGCTTACCACGACTCGACTATAGAAGCTATCGGAGCTCGACTTGTGAAGTGTGGGGTTCAACGCTGGTGCGGGCGTGGGCGCGGCTGTCGATTTCTTCGCTACTGCGCGTTGGCGACGGAGCTCCTGAAAGGTGAAGGGAAATTGTAGCTTTCAAAATACAAGAGAACATATTTATGGCGCCTTTATTTTATTTTTTATTATCTATTTATCATACGATTCAGTGGAAGTAGATACGAATATTTAGCATATATATAGATATTAAATAATAAACTTGTAATTGCACAAAGGAAATGGCCATCATTTGTTTAAAAAAACCTCTAAACACAGATAGGTACACATTATAGCCACTTTGTCAAATCAAACATATAATAAACCTATGGATTAAATTGGAATTAAAAATAAATATATCTAAATTATATAATAAAAGTAAAATAGTGAAAAGTACATTTGCAGCTTAAAATTAACAATTAAAAAGCTGTGCAATATACCTCATTATTAATATCTTTGATATTCTGCAACTCCGTCGACTTTTGTTCATCTGACCGCATGTACTCCACAATCGGCATATTTGGCTAAAAATTAAACATATTTTAATTACCCTATATATCGCTGTTTCGGTCCTGGGTTTTATTACTGGCTTTCACTTGTAACAAAACCCCTAAACCCTTAAAAAATATCCGTAAAACAGACGGATGAGTTTGATGAAAGTCCTGGGAAAAGATCGCATTTATCTTTATTCAGCAAATCTTTATATATATATAATTCTTCTGTGAGTGTGTATGTCACTGAACTCCTCTTAAACGGCTGGACCGATTTGAATGATTTTTTTTGTATACGTTTGGGTGGAGCCGTGGATGGTTTAGATTCACAAAACAGCCCGGCAGATGGCACTGCAGTCGGTACTTTCATACTTTGCTTAATATCCTAATCGCTTTAAATATCATGCAGGACAACGTCTGTGGGGTCCACTAGTTAGGTATAAAAAACTCTTCTGAATCAAAAACAAAATTGTGTCAGGAATTGTTGTACCCAAATACGTATATATGTATACGTAATAACTAACAATAAAAAAAAACTGAGAAAATTAAGAGGTTAGATTAAATGATCAAATACCCTCGAAACAGCTTGCGGTCGTGGCATAGCTCTCTGCCGCTGTCTACCCGCGGCCTGAATCTCGCGGTATAGGGGTTCGAGTCTCGTGGATCCACGATAAATCCATTCCAGCCTAGCCTTCGAATCACATATTAGGAACTGTACTAGAACTAGTGACGCATCTACTTTGACAACCTTTGACGGCCACCATTTGTCTGTAAGTAATAAAGTAATATTAGTTATATTCACCCATTCGTAGAACACTTTTTCGAGATGACATAAAAATTCGAGCAGAGCTTGACTTGCAGGCTCAATTGTAACGCAAGTCGACTCTGTACATCAAGAGCAAACAACGTCTATGGCGAGAAAACGTTGAGGTAAATTAGCTACTTACGAACTATTTTTATATGCATGTCAGAGATTAGGTTATAATGAACACGATGTAATTTGTTTTTTACAATGGCAACACCACGCAATATCATAAACATCTTACAGGTTGTAAATGTCAATGTGTCAATTGTCAAAGTCAATTTGTCAGTAGTGCGTAGAATCGGTCGTGAAGTGCTTCAGTTGCTTTCCGATCGGCACCGGACGTGCGCACTGACTGTGTTTGAATATTAAGTAATAATGTCGAACGACTGTATTGATACCAACTTCGTAATTATTAATCGCGTCGAATCTGCGACATGCATTTGTCGCGCTCCTACAAGACTGCTATGGTTACATTAATACATTACATACATTTTCATTTACATATATATCATTTAGATTATATTATTCTGTAAAAAAAAGTTAAATCTTTCTAGGTAATGTCTAATTCGATCATTAATATAATTATCAAAAAATTACGTAAATTCTCGAATTCCAGAATTATTCAATCAAATTATCATTTATGTATAGTCAACGCAAACACATTTTTTTTTAATTTTAGAGTTATACTCATGCACAAATATTTTATACCCTCTACTCACCCTTCCACTCGGTCTTAATTGTCTCGTTGGCTTTCAATCTGACCATGGGCCTTTGGGGGTAATTGAAGAGGTACTCCTTCACAAAGAGTCGCGAAAATGGATGAACTTCCTCCCACACTTGAGTGGAATATTCGCAGACGAGACGAGTGTCCACATGAGTCGCGTATTGCGCGTAGCCATCGTCGAAGAATATTAAATATCTGTAATATATTTAAACCAATAAACCTTTTTTTTTTAAACCAATAAACCTCAAAGAATATTTTTTTTTACAAAAATTTTAAATAGGCTGAAATAGCAAGTTACTAATATTATTTTAGTCGGTTTTTATATGATAGGCAAAGAGGCCTACAGAACAGCTATCAGAAAGCTACCGCAAACCATGAACGCCCATGTTAGTGGGTGCGTTGCTGCTGTTTAAGATGGAAATACGCTCTAAATTTTTTCAGTTATTGTTTTTCGAGAAAGTAGTTTTTTAAAAGTTAGATGGGGGGGATTGAATTACGTTATTGTTAATTTTAATGGTAACTTTTAGGTATAAAAGAGTCACTAGGTGGTCACGAAACGTTACGGCGCGTTACACGGGGGGGCCAATAATCTCCAAAAATTTCGTGACGTAATACTTGAATGCAGGGAGCTTTATTACGTATACTTGTATATTTATAATAATAAATTTTATTAATTAATATAGAACTAGACACCCATAGATCTATTCTTTTCAGGATCACTAAGTCATAGAGATATTGCTTGTTTTGGACGATATTAAAATTCATACCTGAAGCTATTAACAGGATTAGGGACTTCAGCCACAATACCAGAATAGAACTTCTCACGCAGCTTGCTGTCTTTCCCAACCTCAGCAGAACCTTGAAACAACGCTATGACGCGTGTACCTAAAATAGATAACTAACGTTGAATCTGCTGCATCGCTAACAAATGTAAAAAAATAATAGTCTGTGGTGATTGTTCTTATCGAAGTTGACAGTTGTCAAATGTCATTCTAATGTAATATGTAATAATCTGTACAAATACAACACCAACTAATTCAACCAATATTACTAAAGATAACTTAAATTATCTAAATATAATTCATTTTATTTTTGTGGGCAGGAGGCAAAGGAGCAAGCGGGTGGGTTACTTTGAATTAATAGCCGCCGCCCATAGACACCTGAAAAACCGGGGCAAAAGAATTGTCCCTAAATTTTAAAAAAAAAAACACTTTCCTCGAGGGCCCCCGGGGGGGGGGGTCGGACCCAACTTTTTTTTTTCTACCAGATACCCAAAACAAAAATTTTGGGCCGGGGAAAAACCTCCCCCAAAAAAAAAAAAATAAAAAAAATAAAAGGGGGGGGGGCCCCTTTGAAAAAGGGGGGGGGGGGGGGGTTTGGGGGGGGGGGGGGTTTGGGGGGGGTTGGGTTTAAGGGTAAAAACGGTTTATCTCGATTTCCGGCAAAACTAAAAGTCCTATCGAAGAAAACTAAATGGCAAAGTTGTTGGTAATAAAAAGATCTAAAACTTTTGGATTCACACATTTTTCACATAACCTCAAAATTTATACAAAACCAAATTTTTGGTTTTTTATTTCTATCTTTTACAAAAATTTATTTTTTTAAACGTAATTTGGTGAAAACTTACCTTATTATGTCCCAAATATACTGTAATTTATTTGATTAAAAATATTTATTTTTTCACCTTATTTTGAATTAATATCGAAAAAACACCCTAATTTTCAATCGAAAATTCTGACGTCAAAATTTCAGCTTTTTTCAAAAAGTTGGTGTGCTTTCAGTTCGTTGAAATCTCTACTTTCCTATGGTAAAAATATATATATACTATAGGTATATATTATATTACCATAGTAAATCTTCTTAGAAAATGCAAAAAATCGTATGCAGTAACGCCCAGACCCGTCATCCCCTTCCCTACTTCTCTATGAAATACGAAAATTTTAGCCCATCTAAAGGCTAAAATTTTTTTTTTAGGTCACTCAGGTATATATAAGTTATCTTAAAATAGTATTAAATAGGCATCTTATTATAATTTAAAGTAGATTACTTTTGTTAGAAACGGGTATTGCTTCGGTTTTGTTACCTTTACTCCTAATAATAAGTTTGAATACGAAACAGACGGTTATTAGTAGCTAAATATATTCAACTTACCAATAGTCATCCTCGCATTGGCTGGTTCGCAATAAGCCAGATTTCGTGCGCTGAGATTCTTATACATGTTCTTCTGGGATTTGTCGAATTTGATACGACACATGGAAAACGGCGAACTCTGTAACGAAGGGTGAAATTTTCTATCATATAAATATGGCCCCGGTTTGATTTCCGGAGACAAAGTTATTGGTACAGTGGCACAGACGGCTCACCAACTTAAAACTATCAACAGAGAGAGAGTACAATTCTTCACGTACTCGTATACGTAAAACGACAATTTCTGTTATCGCCATTACTGCAATAGAATTTACTATACGAACAAGAGTACAGTTTAAGTTTACGGAGAGCTTTCATTAACATCTTTAATTACTATTTAAGGCGACGATTTTTAAGATATATTAATTAAAATCTAAACTCACCGATGCCCCAATGACTTCAACGATATGCGCTTTGCCCCATGTCCCAAACATATTCCTCATGGCATATACGGGCATTCCGGCTCGTAAATGTGGCCGTTCTAGTTCTCCGACAGGTGGCAGATCCGGTGGTGCGTTCTCCGTAGATAATTGTACTACTGTTATGTCCGTGTTCTGTGGCAAATTACATCTCTATGAAATTTATAAAGCGCATTTACGTCATTTTAGTCTCAGCATGTAGCTAAGCAAGATTAATGTAAAATAATTTGAGAATAATCGTTGATTTGTCAAAAATCCATATTTAAAAATATGATTTTCATACGACAGTAACGTAACACAGATTAGTCGAATCGACGTTGACCTAGCATGTTTTTATATATATATATATATATATATATATATATATATATATATATATATATATATATATATATATATATATATATATATATATGTATTCGCATGTCTAATCTATCTTGGAGCTTAATTTCGTTGGAATAATATAATATATGTATATTTGTGTAATTAAAATGTTGTTGTTTACAAGCGTGGTACATCGTACGTACGTTCTTGAAATTATATTTAATTTAATAATTTAAATTTTTAAAGCATTTAAAGTATTACTTAATTACTTCTATAGTCATTAATAAATATTTTATAAAATTTTGTCAGAAAACCCACTTTCGGTTCAATTGTTTTACGGGCATGGGTCGGTTAAAGCAGCATACATTTACATCGATATAATTGTTATATTAGGTTAGATATTGAAACATCGAATAAAATCTGTTTCTAATTTAAAAAAAAGTGGCATAACCTTTTGCCACACTTCAAATATTATATTAACAAAATAAATAATTGTAAAATGATGGTGATAAACGCCTTTAAATGCGATACAGTGTATATGTTTTTTTGCATATGTTATGTGGTTGAAATATTATCGTGCTCCCCTACTACTTTCAAGTTCCTTTTAGAATTATTTTGTCTTTTATGTTTGTGCTATAAATTTCTGTGTTTACATTTTCCTATGATAATTTTTTGTTGAGTTACTCATACTTTTATAAAAAATAACTCGTCTGTGAAACAATTTAAGGACACTTCTATAATTATTTTTTAAATACAGTGTATAATCTTTATAACGCCATTCGCTATAATGAAATATTAGTAGATTTTGTTTGGTTTAACACAAAACCAAAAAAAAAAAATTCACTCTTTATAACGCAATAGCCATTATCTATTACTAATTAAAAACTATTATTAAAAGAAATATTTTAATATTTAGACATCAACAATATACTTAAGTGTAATTGTTTTTATAATCAGATAATAAAACTAACCTTTTGAGGTGCCGAAATTACTAAGAAAGACACCTGATAGACCAGTCAGTCAAGACAATTAATTCATAATAATTCCAAAAGTTTTCAAATTTTGATGTAAGGTCGGGAGTGGTATTAAAACAAACTATAAAATTTTGCAACCTGCTCTGCGGTCCGGAACATTGTTAAAAATAAGTTTTGGTCGTGAAAAAAATTCCAAAAGTTCTGCAAACTTGGGGAAGTTTTCGATATAATATTTCATATCACGTATAAAATTTGCAACCAACCTAAGTGTACGGAACATTTTTTGTTATTAAAAATTAATGTTTTTCTTTATTAAACTGAAGGAAAACGTTCCAAAAGTTCTGCAAATTTGAGAGATATATCGAAAATAAAATAAATAACAAAAAATGTTCCGTGATATGAAATATTATATCGAAAACTTCCCCAAGTTTGCAGAACTTTTGGAATTTTTTTCACGACCATACAGCAAAAATTAATTTAATTGCAATTTTAACAATGTTCCGGACTGCGGACAAGGTTGCAAAATGAGATTTATTGTCGTCCCAATGTACCATTCACTTGACCGAAGTTTGAAAACTTTTGGAATTATTATCAAATTTTCGATTTCGAATGTCTATAATGACTGGCCTATGAGGTCATAAACAGTCGTCTTGCTTTTGTTATTGATAATTGCATTAACACGTGTGCCATTATTCTTAGATTACATTGCCTGTAGGAAACTTTGGTATCAGTTACTAAACGCACCTTCGTCACATATCGTGTATTACGTGAGGCAAAGTTAACCGAGTATATGGGTTTAGAATAATTTACCTATTGATAGTAAAAAAATTTATAATTTATTGTAATTGGTTAAATTTCTTATATTTTTCTCTTCCCTCCGTATAACAAAGCTCTCTATAACGAAAAGAAATGCTCGGTCCCTTGAAATTCGTTATAAAGAGTTTACACTGTATCTTGTATTTGTGTGTCTGTCATGTTTCCTTAATGATAAACAAATAAATTTGAATAACTCACATCATCGTCACCTTTGTCACCGAAAACACCTGTACAATCCTGTCAAGAAAAAATAAATAAAATTAATATTAAGGTCTGATTATCCTGACACTTTGCTAAGGGAGCGTTCAAGTATTACGTCACGCAATTTTTGGAGATTATTGATCCCCCCCTCATGTAACGCACCGTAATGTTTTTTTGAACCCACAAAATAAACCTCCCAGTCACTCTTTATACCTAAAAGTTACCATTATGTTGTGTAAAGTACTGGAAAATCGAAAATAATATTAACAATAACGCGTAATTCAATCCCCGCCCCGCATCGTAACGTTTTACAAAAGGAAAAGTCAACAGCGTGTGTCAGGCACCGGAGGCAGATGCTGACATGCCTTTTAAACTGAGAAATGATCATAAAACAGATACAGAAATCTAAGGCCAGACCTAAAAAGGCTCCACTAATTCATTTTCGTTATATTAACACTATTCTAACCAAGTAACAAAAAAAAATAAGTAATAAATCTAAAGGCTGATCAGGAGTGCGACGGGCGTTATCACTTATAAGTGTAATACAGAGAAGAACAAAATACCTTCTAGAGATATTCAAAGTTATTGGAGTTTACTCCTTAAGAAACGATTTGAGTTATAAGGCCCGGTACGGAAATTTTATGAGGAGTAAAATCAAATGTAACACGAAAAGTTTGAGGTGTTATGTAGAAAGAGACAAACATATATATCTGTAGGATTGAACGTGTAAAAGAATGAGATGGAATACATTACACAGACTTTTCTATTTTGAATTCACGTTTTGACAGCCACGTTACAACATTGTAGGTGTAAAATATAAAAGTAGATTGTCTAGCGTGCCATAGAGTTTTGTCAATAGTAATGGTCAGTGAAATTAAAACTAAAAAGATTGTTCATTCTTATTCTTCTCTTACTATAAAGGTAACTTTGGTCACAGAAAGAAAATCCTATTTGGGCATAGATGATGTAGGTACGTTTTATTACTACTACAAACATTTATATTATAAAACATATATTCTTACCACCTTTAGTATGAAAATATGGTCGACAGCCACAGAACATTATCGCCATCTTTGTTCTGCAGTGCATTTGACACAAGCCGAAACTATAAGCCTGGGAAACACCACAGCTTATAAAGTATGGAAGTCGTTCGTGCCGTTTTGTATAGAAATCAAGATTTATTTTAAATAAAATACTTTATGTAATACGCTTTATTGAAGTAATATAAATAATCCGAATAATTACAGATATATGTTTGTTTCTCTTATCATTTTAGCAGATGCGTTCATTTACCCTTTTTTTCTATTCGATATATATCATAATTATCGTTCGTAAGGAGTAAACTACAATCGTGCGTCGTAGCTGACACACACACACTTTTTTCAATATACAACTTACATTGTTAGTTTTCTCACAATCCGCCTTTCGTTTCGCGGGTGTCTCGACACTTGAGGCCATACGCCGTTTCGAGAGACGCGTCTGGGAATGTTGAATAATAAAAAAGTCTGTAGAAAATCTTACTATAGTAACGCTGAATCAAATTTATTTAATCATTAATAAATATTTACAGTTACGAACGTCTATATTAAAAAAAAATTGTGTGTACACGCGTTAGAAGATATACTTTTTTGGCGTTACGAGATTAAAATCTTTTAAATAATTTTATCTTTCGCCTTATTCTACGTTTGTAGAAAAAACGAACGTAACAATAGAAAAAAGGTATTTAATACATTGAAAGTTTTATTATAACGCATTATCTAGTTAAAAAAAGTTTATTTAAATATCACAAAAAAATATCTACATAAAGAAATAGACATTTCTTATTATAAAAGTGTCGGTGTGCGCGCGCATTTACTCTCATAATTTTTCCCTAACGCCCCAAAAGAAGTATAACTTCAAAAGAACTAAATCTCCACCAGTTCTCCAATCAAGGGCATAGAGCGGGCGATTAACTCTCCGTTACTACTTTTAATCGCCAAATTTTGTACAAGAAATTTGTAAGGAACTACGCCATGTTTCACTTAATATGCATAATAAAGTAAGAAACGCTTAGCTTAAGGCAAAACATCAGGTATTATAGTGAGAACAAACATTGACACATAAACCTTATTGGTTGAACGTGTAAAGTGATTGAAATTATTAATATACACTCCACAAATAGCACCCGTTCAGGAAAAACTGAGTACTTTCTGGCGACATATAATTCAACATTTTAAATAGTTTCAAGTTAAATATAGTGATGTTACGTTATTATATTTGTAGTAATATTTATGCAGAAATTTTAGATTAAATCTTAACTTAATTTTTTTTTTTTGTCAAACTGTGTGTTACTAAATTAAATGTTCATGCGTTATCAAATCAGGAAACCCCTGAACCAAAAATATCAATAAAATCCATAACATACCTCCATAATATGTGTTTCATAACACGTAACCTGAAAAACCCCATTCAGAAATATTATAAAAGTTACTTTGAATAAAAAATCTCCAGAGATAATCGAACGTGTAATTTATTTCTGAGGTCATGGGTTCGTTCCTTGTGCAAAACTTTCTTTGTACAGACATTGGTGTTAGGCACAAAAAGCGTTCAGTAGCTAATAAAGAAAATACAGAAAATTGGGCCCAAATCCGACTGAGGATCGGGCTTTATTTTTTTTAATGTAATAGGAGGCAATTGGGCAGGAGGCGCACCTGATGTTAAGTGATACCGTCGCCCATGGACACTCATATTGCCAGAACTTGATTATTTATTAGTGAATTATAGTGATTTTGCATCAATTTAATTTGAATTATATTTTGGATATTTTAAGCAGTTAACGTTTTGATTTTTAGCAGTGTTAGATTAATGGCTTCGACGTGCGACTCACGTCCCAAGATCATAGTTTGGAACCCAGGCTGCAATTGGTTTTCTGCCTATGTGCGCATTTAATGTTTAAAAAACTTTATTTTTCATTACAGAAAAAATATTTTTATTTACATGAGAAACTATAATATAATATACGAACGAGATACACGTCGCCATCAGCTATCCCAATTTTAGTTTATTAGGCTCTTTCTAATGTGAATCATTTAGCCCTTTTGAATTGATTAAACACGCTAATATTACTAATTTTAGAGTAATTGATTAAACAATTGCACACCCTCATACTCAATAGACTTCTTTTAATTATTTGTGCACGGCTTCGGCAAGATAAGCAAACTCGCTCGACGAGTATTAGATTTTTTTTAAATGATAAGCTTAATTTAACACCAGTATAGATATGCACATAGATCACGTATAGTTAAGAAGAACATCGAGAAGAAACCAGTATGCCTTAGGGCTTAGACCCAATCGACGGCGTGTCAGGTACAAAAGGTTGACAAGGCAAGTAAGTGCCTATTAGAAAAATAAAAAGAAACCCAAAACAGACAGTAATCTGAAGCCCAGAGCTAAAAATATGTTTTGACTTGTGATATCTAGAATATTAATTTAGACACAAAAATATCCGCCACACTCACCTGATTCATATCAGATATAGTAATCGGTGGTAATTGCTTTATGTCGGGTTTGAATGTAGCATATAACTCGTTACGAATATTGTCCGTCGATTTTTGACATTCCTTCAACATTTCGTCTACTTCTTTGCTTTGTCCTAGAAAAATATTAAAATACTGTAAATACACCATAACAAAAACAATGTTTATGATTGAGATCAGATCAGATTTTCCCACGCCCCACATGGGAATTTGTTTGTTAAGGATATTCGAAAATTTATTGAAATTATTTGTAATATGAATTTCACTTGTTTTTAAATATACGTACGCATGCGGCTTAGAAATTTCCCACGCCTTTCCCCCCAGCGAAACGACGAAAAACGAATGTTGTATGGCAACGTTTCGCATGTGTTTTGTCTCGCTCCAATATTTACCTGGTTAAAAAATTGGTTGCCCCTTGTCGGTATTTCAAGATCTGAATGGGTACACAGACGCAGCCGTTTCGCTAGTGGAGTTTCGCATCGCAAGGCGTCACCACGCTTCTTCGATGAGGACAGAATTTGGCCGAAATTTGATTATTATTGAATTTGATTCGAAATTATCCGAAATATTTAGTTGGGCTACGAAATTCATTGTCATAATTTTCTCCGATTTTCAGTTTTTCATTATGCACCAGATCTCGCTTTCTCTTAAACCCCACCCCAGCAAAAATTTTTCTTTTTAGAAAATCTAGACGACTTACTCAGATGACATTCTGGAACGACGTCTGCCCCCCCCCCCCCCCCACACCCCCCCCTTTCTTTCTCCCGGGAAACCCCCGGGGTTCCCCCCCCCCCCCCTTTCTTCCCCCCCCCCCCCCCCCCCCCCCCCCCCCCCCCCCCGGGGGTTTTTTTTTTTTTTTTTTTTTGTCTCGTTAACAAATTCCTAGTAATTTCTTCCACAAAGCTATCATATCAGTTTCTTAAGTAAACAATTCAATTTTTTACTCCATATTTAAAATTATGTATGTTAGCATAAGAATTTCAGAAAGGCTATGGGTGGGGAAAAAAAGGTTGAGAAACACTAATTTAGATCCAATTGGATAAATCTTTATATATATAATTCTTCTGTGAGTGTGTATGTCACTGAACTTCTCTCAAACGACTGGACCGATTTTGATGAAATTTTTTGTGTGTGTTCAAGGGGATCTGGGAATGGTTTAGATTCACAAATCAGCCCGGCAGATGGCACTGCAGTCGGTACTTTCATACTTTGCTTAATATCCTAATCGCTTTAAATATCATGCAGGACAACGTCTGTGGGGTCCACTAGTATACTTCTATAATTTTCTTTTTCGCACGTAAATGACTTAGATGACATCTTCCAATCGTTGTTGACCAGGAAATGTCAATATCCATAAATTTTTTGACTACATAGTAAGATCAGAAACAAACTTGTAATTGAAAAACTAGATAACTTTATGAAGAAGAAAATATAATTGGTATATGCTATGGATAAAAGGTCAATGAAACAGAAAATTCGGTACGAAGATAAAAAAATAAAATAAGCGGAAATTCAAGTAATAATTGTTGATTTATTATAACTGTTCAGTCAGCACTAATTCACATACTACATATATTCATCAAAAAATTGTATCAAAATCCCTATACAATAGAGAATATACAATTCAGAAGTAAATAAAATATATGACTTACTCTCAAGGTCCTCCATTTCCGTCTTCAAACTATCAACACTTTCCAATAATCTGGTCTCCATCTTGTATTTATCCCATTGCTCGTTAAATATATTAGCTAATTGTTCTTCCAGTAACCTAGAACAGTACATATTAAAAAAAATACCTTGTGTGTGATTATACAAACATATTTTAAGAGAAATTGTAAAGGAATCCTAAATTTGCACTTAATATACTTCACTTCTTGCCTACCTAATCTAATTTAATACATTTTTTTCTCTTACAGTGGTTGCCTGGAAGAGATCGCTCATTAGAAAGCGATATTCCGCCAGTTGTTCAATTTTTATATTGTAATGCAACGAAGTGTTAATAAATAAATACAGTGTAAACTCTTTCTCTATAACGTAAAAATGAGTTAAATTGATTTGGTTTAACCCAATACCCATACATTAGTTTACTTTCCTATAACGAAACCTCTCTATAACGAATAAAAATGCTCGGTGCCTGGTTTTTTTTTAAAGAATTCACACCAATTGACCTAGTCCCATGCTAAGCTGGTGAAGCTTGTGTTATGGGTACTAGGCAACGGATATACATACATATTATAGATAGATAGACACATAAACACATATTTAAACACCCAAGACCTAAGCACAACACCAAATGCTCATAAATCGATGTACGTCTCAGCCGGGGATCGCCACGTCTCCACCCGGGCATGGGATCTCTCGCAGTCAGGGCTAACCACTAGACCAATGAGTCGTCAATTCGTTATAAAGAGTTTATACTGTAAAATAAATTCTCGACATAGCACGTTTGAACTAGTATGCGGCCTTGTCATTCGTCCATAGACTATTATATATATAATGAAGAGCGCTTATGTACACACACTTATGCAGTATAATATATACAGTACATAGCAATATTATTATGCGAAAATGCTCCTAGATACATTAGCAATGACGACCTCCACCGGGACCTTAATGTAGTCACAACAATAATCAATAATATTGCTGGAGCCCACGAACAAAGGCTCTACCAACACGTGAATATCGAGGCTATTCAACTTCTTGTCACATAGATAGAATAGAAGAACAGAGTGTCTTCCCCTTAATAGATACTGTAAGAAGTGTTATTGGACACTATTTGTATATATCCTTATTAGTAAATAAGTTAGAAATAAATTACTTATTAGTCTTAAGTTAGGCTAGATCGTAATGTTAAATTGTGTCTTTGTGCAGGGACAATTTATATTAAAAAAATATGTGATTCGAATATGGGTACCAATGACTATGTCAATACTCTTATACAAGTATTTTTTTTTAAAACAACAGGGGCAAACGGGCAGGAGGCCCACCTGATGAAGTGGTACCGCCGCCCATGGACACTCTCGATGCCAGAGGGCTCGCGAGTGCGTTGCCGGTTTTAAAAATTGGTACGCTCTTTTCTTGAAGGACCCTAAGTCGAATTGGTTCGGAAATACTTCTGTGGGCAGCTGGTTCCACATAGTGGTGGTGCGCGGCAAAAACTGCCCGGAAAATGCTCAGTTGTTGAACGGCGGACGTCTAGGTGATATGGGGTCATATTACAAATTAAGTAGTCACATTTTAAAAATTATAATATATAGAGAACTAAGCTGAAAGATCTATTTTCTATCCCTATACAAAATTTATTTGAAACTATACGTATTGAGACGGCAAATAATTGCAGGTCATTGAGAAAATACATCTATACCTAGACGTTTTTAAAATCTACAATTAACGCTGGACAAAATAGGCAGTAATTTTTTTTTTACTTACTTGGCCCCTTTCTCTCCCACAACCTCCTTGGCCAAATCCGCGGGATCCACGTCATCATCAGAGTCTGAATCCAGGACTTCTATTGAATCCTTTATATCTTTGCCCAAATCTAAGAGGACAAGATTTTCGAAGTTACGTATACCCTCAATAAGTCTCTGAAAATAATTTAAGAATATAATGAGATCTTTAGCTTATTATGAGATAAATAGATTAGGGAGATAATAATAAAAAGGGCTTAGGTATGAGGGTAATGTAGAAATACACGGCTGTATATATATAGTCAAAAGTCAAATCATCTATTTCAATTAGACCACCTAAAATGACACCTTTGAACGTCAAATAAAATATAAAGAAGATTCTAGTTGCCCCTTCCAAAAGGTAGTTTCGTGTCGAGAAGAATGGGCGAGAAACTCCACACTTACTCTTTTAAAATAGGTTAACAATATTTTGTTTACATCAGTTAAATAATTATATGTGAAGACAATCCTAGTTTTCCAATTACAGAGCATAATGCGACTCTGTGGCGCACAATGCCGCATTATGCTGAAGCTTAATTGGAACGTGAATTAGTTTTCAAATGCATCAGCAGAGTGCGCTAAGTCAGTGTTGAAAAAAAAATGTTCTGAATAGAGTTAGTAACCTCATTAATGTATAAATAATGTGGTAAACAATAATAATTGGTTGAAAACTATTTACGCTTATTTTAATAATCAAATTATTTCATTAACATTTTTTTACTGAAATAAGAGAAAACCTTTAAAGAATATAACGTTTTAATAAGCTAAATTAACAGTAAAATATTTAGTTTCATGTAAGAAGTTACATCATTTACGTTTTGAGTAATTTTTTTAAATGATTTCTAAAAAAATTATATACTTTTTCAAAACCATTGCAATGTTTACAAAAGTATAATCCTGAAAAATAAATTTGTTTACAGATCCGAATTTTAAAATGAAATTGTATTCATATTTTAAATGTGGAATATAAAAAAGTAACTATTTATACCTTCAACCATACTTATATTTATTTTTTTAGCAGTTTGAAATAACTTTAATTATTTCCAAAATCTACGACGAAACGAAAACCTTACAAATTTTTCAACATTAAATAATATTTACTAACGATAATTTCGATCAATGCCAACTTTAAGAAAAAACACTACCTTCAGGATTACGAATTAAATAAATACTTTCCGCTAAGCTTTTAATATTAGAAAAAACTTTACCTCATTTCTTCTTACAACAGCCTCCGCACATATCTCGCATACATATCGACACTTCTTTGCGTTGTAAAACGACAACGCACTGCTGTCCGCCACATAAAATACGTTCGTAAGGTGTGGACACGCTTCGTTGACACATTTCATACTTTTCGATTGAGCGTCTGTTACTTCCGATTTATCTTCCGATGTATCTTCGGCAACTGTAAAAAAACCCTTGAAAAGTTATAGTCTAGATATTATAGAGATTAAATATATCATCACTGCAGGACCCTTTTTTTTTTAATGGCACGGTTTGTGCAATAGCCAGCGTCAAGTATAAGATTTTTAGAAATTCGACCATGTCCTCCGTGTACGGTTTAAGCACTCGCCCGGTACCGCACAAACCTCCCAAAGGCCGAGAACAAAATTAAATTAAAACTTGCCCTCGAACCGGGAATCGAACCCGGTACCCCTCACCTAACTGCCACTTAATAAGACCGCTAGGCTATGAGGCCCCCTGCAGAACCTTTTACTATTAGTTTTAGGTATTATATATGAACTTCAACGTGCCACCGATGTTATTACAAAGCGCTTAAATAGAATTTCAGACAAAGCAAAATTTCAAATAAATACTCTCTATTTGGTTCTGAAATCATAGATACAAAATTTTAATAAGCTCATTTAGGTACGCGTACGTATGTGTACGTATTACAAGTATTATTCTGTAATTTGTGGTTTGACAACATTGTTTCGTGTTCATCATCACAAACCTTCTTTATCAACCTCCATGTCCTCGTCGGAATCCAAATTAAATACTTCGAGTGGTGGGAGTTTTGTCTGAAATTTTTTAGAATTAAATTAGCATATGCCTATAGTTATTTATCAAAATCTATATTGTCTTTGGTTTACGCGATTTACTATGGTATGTAAGTAAAACATGCGAAAGAAATTAGGTAAAAACGTTTTAATTCACGTTTATATCCTTTAAAATACCTTCTGTACCTATTACGGGATAAAAACAGGTATATTTAAAAAACCTTGCGTTGTCTCTGCGATGGCTCTGGCACGGTTTGTGCATTAGCCAGCAGTGCTTTTTGCCTTAGAAATTCGATCATGTCCTCCATGTACTGTTTAGGCACTCGCCCGGTACCGCACAACCCTCCCAAAGGCCGAGAACAAATTTTAAATTAAATTAAAACTTGCCCTCGAACCGGAAATCGAACCCGGTACCCCTCACCTAGCTGCCACTTAATAAGACCGCTAGGCTATGAGGCCCCTAAAACCTTGCGTTATAACCAGACCATCGTATTTAAAGAAAAAACTATCTATTTAAATAAATTATGGAATTCTTAACTTACTTTTATAACAATAAAAGTAACTTACCGTTTTTATAGACACCTCTGCTGTATTCAGTCGCGCCTGAAAATTTATTTATTCATACACAAATATTGTATGTATGTATTGTTGTTTTGCCATGTATATTATTTCTAGGAAACATTTTTTTAAGTTCAATAAAAATAACTATCTACAATAATAAAAAATAGGGGTTGATCGTATTTTTGTATGCTGTATCTTAAAATAATAAAAATAAAAAAAATTGTCTAAAAAAATAAAATTTTGGGGTGGACAACCCTTATCACTTAGGGGTTTGAAAGATATATAGTAGCCGATTCTCAGACTTACTATTATTAATATTAATATGCATTAAAAATTTCAGAAGAATCGGTCGAGTCGTTTCGGAGGAGTATGGGAATGAACATTTACATATTAGATTAGAAAAGCAATAACCGTAGACTAAAATGTAGTATCCTGTTATTAAAAACCCGAGAGGGTTCGATTACTATAATCAAGGCATTTAAACTGAGGCTTTGGTATCAGAAATCATATTTATCTGTTTGTCTCTCTCGCACTTACACGTCTTATGGAGAGGTGTAGTGATGTGCGTAAGAATTGTAAAGGTGCATATCGATAACGGGATAGGTACGATCGATATGCTAAATTATGTTAAGTATACATAGGAATAAGTTTTCGAAAATAAATTCTCCATTGTGCGTATTGCGTAACGAAGCGTAAATAATGTAAAGGTGGGAACTGATCAAAGTTACGCGGTGTAATGTAGCAATCGCATCGAGCATGTTACGCTGTGTTTTAAAATCGGCGTAACATGCAACGAGTGGCTCGTTGCTCGCTGGTTTCCCCGTAACACGACGTACTGACTGCACGAATGCTCGCTGTGTAACGTGTTACATTACACCTCGTAACTTTGGTCAGTTCCCACCTTATTGAGTGTCATAACAAAAAATCTTATAATTATAGAAAATAAACAACCCTTAGAGCTATTACGCACTGTCGACTTGTCGCTGGCGACTCGGTCGCCTCGTCGACCAAAACATAGGCAACGCGGAGACCACCCAACATATTCCAATACATTCGTGCAAATGGATGCGAAGAATCTAATACCTACTAATCAAGAAAAAGAAAAATAAAAGAAAATCAAGAGAGTATTGGGTACATCCTTTGTTACAAGAACGAAGATCAAAAGGAATGTTTAAACTATTTTATGAAGAGTGAGAAAATACCTCATAAATTTTTCAACTACGCAAGAATGTCTGTGCGTTCGTTTGATGAGCTATTGTGTCTTTTGAAACCACATATAACTGGCACAGATACAAATTTGCGACCATGTGTTTCTTCGGAAGAAAAATTATTTATAACTCTAAGGTAAGTGTAAATTTATTGTTTTAAAACCAGAGCTTTTAAGTAACAGTGCTTGCCCGACTTGCAGTGGCACTACCCGTAAAAGCGTTGTTTAAATAAAAATATAAGCTACAATAAATATTTGAAGTTATTACATATAATATGTAAAATAAATGTAAATTTCAGGATTCCAAACAGTAATACAAATTATTATCATTCAAATAGTCTTCCATTTATAGTAACTCTTTTTATTAATAAAGTTTTAACATGCAACTTAAACCTTTGAATTGGTAAGTCACTTACATGTTGTGGAAGTTTATTATACAGTTTTATGCTTTGGCCTACGAATGAATTAAATGTCTTTTTTAAGTCTGATTTTGGGAATGGCAAGCTTATGTTTATTTCTAGTGTTCATACTATGACAGTCAATTTTTTTGGATTTTTATATTCTTATGAACATATATAATGCAATCAAATATGTACTGACATGGTACTTAAATATATTAATTTCTTTAAATAATTAATTGGGAGTCACGCGGTTGAGACCATATATAGCACGTATGGCTCCTTTTTTGTAACACGAAAATATTTTGTATATCGGCAGCAGTTCCTCACAGAACATTGATGCTTAATTGCAGTAAATAAATAAATAAAAATGACATCATGTATTATTGTTTAACTAAAATACTTATAAACTAATTTTAAATTCAAAGCACAAAAAATAAAATAAAGATTCAAAATAAGTCCAAGTAATCAGAATCTTGCGAGGCACTTGAAGTGGCAGTAGAAACTCGCGACTCTGAGCATTCTTGCGGTGAAGGAATGAAGTTGGTAGAATATAATTACGCCAAACGGAGTTTGAATATACGTTATTTGGCGTATTGGTTCCGAATGAATCGATCATTATTAATTGAATTTTCGCTGCTGGTTTTTGTGATCAGAATTTTCCTAAAAGACGATAAAAGGGACAGCAGAAAATTCTGTCCTCATCTTGTTCCAAAATGTCCGCGTTATTTTTACGAGTATCAATACATTTGTTCAGTGTTTCCAATAATTCTCTTGTGCCATCATCTGAAGGTTTTTTCTTCTTTCTTCCCACTATATTTTCCCTAGAGTACGGTCCTAAAGGTTCTTGATCAGTTGTCGACTTTTCTTCTTCCGTAATGCTACCTCTCTGTATTTAAATTACCAACAGTATTTTTCAAAAACAACAGCTGTTTAAAATAAATATAGGGAGTTTTATGAGAAGCAGAAGACCCACTTTTGGTATTTTTTATTCTTCGTATTTCTCGAGCAAAGAGCTTCTTATATTTTTCCATTTTTTTTGAAGTGATTGACCTTAAATAAATTGTATTTTTTTATTTCAGATATCTTGGAAGTGGCTGCAAATTTGTAGATCTCATTACTCATATAGACTTGGGATTTCAACTATTCTAGATAATAAGAGAAGTTTGTCATTTTATATGGGTTTTACTGAAAGACATGTGTTTGCCACAACATACAACAGAAAATTGGTTAAAAATCCAAAAATTTTCATTTACGAGCCAATTTTCCAAATTGTATAGGTGCCATAGATGGTAAACATATAAGGACTATAAAACCTTACAATAGTGGATCAGTTTTATAATTATAAAACTTCTTTTCTATCATTTTGCTTGCCATTTGTGACGCTGACTACAAGTTCGTTACATAGATGTTGGTTCCTATGGAAAGGATAGCGATTCTACTTATTTACACATTCAACATTTTATCAAAAGCTAATGAATAATGATTTACAATTCCAAATCAGCCTTTTCTCGATAAATCCAATACCAGTACCGTTTGTCATTGTTGGTGACGAAGCATTTGGACAATCTATAAAGTTATGCGACCATTTGGTGGATCAAATTTAACAACAAAAAAAAAAATATTTAATTATAGGCTTTCTCGTGCTCGACCTACATAGATGTTCATTCGGCATATTAGCAAATAAGTGGCAGATTTTTCACAGACCTATTAATGTAAATTTAGATCTAGTAACAAGCATCACCAAAACATGTTGTGTTCTTCACAACTATGTTCGGGAAAGAGACGGATATAAATTTGAAGATACCCTTGCATTCCTGGCTTAGAAGAAGTGCCACCAGGTATTCAAAGAGCTACGCGACGTGGCATGTCATACAGAGATATGTTTGCTGATTATTTTATGACTGAGGGTCAATTACCTTGGCAGATGAGCAAATTCATTAAAAAATAAATGACATTTATAATTTACCTATGTTTTTTTTTTCTTCGTCTAGTAATCCTTCACCTCCAAATAACTCCACTATTTCTTCCCACTGTAGTTTTCCCTCCCCTCAAATCCCCGATTCGAATATTCGTCACTTAATAAGTCCCAAATAGCTTTTCGGGATTGTATTTCTATTATAAATTTCTCGGTATCGAAAGCCTGAGCCATTTTTGTGCGCGACGTCCGGTCGTTACGACAGTTGCTCGCAGTGTGAATGCTTCCATTTGAAGCCGTGCTCCTATTGGTCGCCAGCGACCGGCGGTCGCTTTTGTCGCCACGACGCGGCGAGTCGCCCATCGCTTGGGCGACCGACGACCAGGCGTAGACATCTATTTAAACTGTAGAAACTCACATGCCAACCGATCCGACATACATCTAATAGCGCTTACTCGTAGCGACCAATCAGGAGTGTAGGATAACGGGTTGCATTGCGTGCACATTTCTACTGTCAGTGACATTTAAAGCCCGACGACTCAGTTTAAAATGCGTTGTCTATAGGAAAACAATATTCAAACATTTTACTTACAACTTTAACAGCCGCCGGTTTCGGTATACCGCTTATGACTATCTCCCCCTCTTTCACTCGTATGTCAGTATTCGCTATGCTAGAGTGAGACGCAATGACATCTATACCGGCCGGGAGGTTCACTGACGTCACATCCGAATCGTCTTTTGTCTCTTGAACATCTAAATGATAATAAACTACAAATAATTGTTTTGTGCTAACTATTGTTATATCGTATTTTCTATAATCGGACGTATGTCAAATGCGTTCTCTATATAAAAATGGACAACCCATATTAATGATATAGAAATACATACAGTGTAAACTCTTTATAACGAATTTCAAGGGACCGATCAGTTTTATTCATTATAGAGAGTGTACGTTATAGGGAGGGAAGAATTAAAGTATGGGCATTGGGTTACACCAAATAAATTTACCTTTTTTTTACGTTATATAGGGAGTTTCCTTATAACGGATGACGTTATAAAGAGTTTACTCTGTATATAATAAAGAGCTGAAGCGAATTTCGGAGTTTTTTATCGGACGTCAATGTAGTGTACAAAATACCATCCGTATCACTTAGCCGTTCCACAACTGAGCATTTCTTAAGGCAGTTTTTGCCGCGCACCACCACTATGTGTAACTAGTTGCCCACTGAGCTACTACCGAACCAATTCAATTTAAGGGCCGTTCAATTATTACGTAAGGCGTAAGCAGATTTACTGCAATTTATCCCCCCCACCCAGAGACTGATCAAGGGTTCTGACCGCTCTAGGCTATTCATCGGGACACGCCCCTACAAACACAAAAGAAAAGCACTTCACGCGTTATACGACCAAAATCATGACAAATGACTACAGGCTACCAAGAAGAATACCAAATCCTTATCTTATTTGGCTGAATAGAAGTACTATTGGCTTAGTTTAAAAAAAAAATACTGACTGCAACAAACCCATTAGGGTTCTGGCATAAATAGAATGCAGAATCGGTGTCAGATTTTAATAACTGCGCCAAATGGACGCATTCTTCTGCAAAGGTTTCTCCTAAATCGGCATATAGTTGTTTTTACTGCTTTGCTTTGCTTCTAATAAATTTACTTTCGTCTAGTTCATACAGTTTCCCTAAGAAACCAAATGTTGCGCCCCCCTAGATCGTCGCGCCCTAGACTGCAGCCTAATTAGCCTAAGGGTTAATCAGGCCCTGCCCCCACCTTTTGTAAGCATAATAGTACATAAACGTATTCATTATGTAGGGATTCTCGAAAGTGTATTTTGTTTACAATCATAGACAATGTATGGGTAATATGTGTAAAAAAGTAAATAATTACTGTTGACGTAATCACCAAATAAGAAAATCAAAGACTTCCCCCTATAGTGCTTACGTAATACTTGAACGGCCCCTTAGGCACCTTCAAGAAAAGAGCGTACCAATTCTTGAAAGGCCGGCAACGCACTTGCAAGCCTTGCAATGTGTGTTCATGGGCGGCGGTATCACTTAACATCAGGTGAGCCTCCTCCCCGTTTGCCTCGAATTACATAAAAAAAATAAACACTGGTTTATTAATACTCAAAACACTCTATTATGAGAAAATATAGCACGCGCGTCAATTTTATACCTCTTAATTCCTTTCAACTATTTCTGTAAAATCTCATTAAAATCGGTTCAGTGGTTAAGTCGTGAAATGACAGGGACAGAATTACTTTCAGTTTTTATTATCTAGATTTCGTTATAAAATACTTACCATCTTCAGAATCTAATTCAACAACATTTGTGTCGACAGCGCTAGGAGATTTTTCAGTTTTTTCCTCTGGCAAATCTACGGTGTAATGATAAAAGATGTTTTAATAATTCAATAAGAGGTAGGGATCCTTCTAAGGATCTATCTCTTCTCCTTTGGTGTTAAATGAAATAATTGTATGTACTAGTTAAGCTGTTAATAATAGTAATGACAAATATAAAAATCTCATAACTTTATATGTTGAATAAAAAACATACCTTTACACTTATTTTCGTCATCAGAAGTGTCAGACATTTTTAATTCTATGTCAATTGAATCCTGTGCTTCGACTGTCTGTAAACATTTAAATTTTATTAAAATACCATAGAATAAAACCTATATTAATAATGTTATTAAAAATCAAATAAATGAGTGGCGCTACATTTTAGATTTGGGCCTCAGTTTTTTGTATAAGTTTCATGATCATTTGTCATTTGGCAAGAAGGTGATCAGCCTCCTGTGCCTAACTCACGCCGTTGCCTTTTTGGGTCTAAGGCAAGCCAGTTTCCTCACGATGTTTTTCCTTAACCGTACTGTTATAACTGAATTTGAATATAGCTTTTTTAAAAAACAAATTTTGAATTTGGAGCAACCGTCTTGGATAAGGAGTAGGAAACAACTAACTAGGGTTTGAGCGGATGTTGATTATATAGGAAACAAAGTGTTTTATGTTGTCGAAAAGAAAGAATGAAGTCAGCTCTAAGGCTAACAGAATAAGGGTGTGACAGTACGAGCGAGTGTTATATGCGCACATAGACAGAAAGTCCATTGGTGCACAGCCGGGGATCGAACCTCCGACCTCAGGGATGCGAGTTGCACGCTGAAGCCACTAGGCCAACAGTGCTCTGCACACAAAATCTATATTAATAGATAATTTTATACTAATATTATTGAATATTCCATTATCTATACCATTGCAGTTAGATCAAAAGGGGAGAGGTTAAGTGTAGATATAAAACCTCAGATATCTATTTAGTAACTCTGTCTCTTTCGCTTTCATGATTAAACCGCAAACCTAGCAGGCAAAATAGGGGATATACCTATAGATCAAATGTATAGCTCTATGGTTTTCATATAAATGAATAAGTATGTAGATGTTTAATGGAAAATATACTTTTTGACACAATTAAGTCTATTATTCAATTTAAGTCATAGACAAAACAGTGAACAGATTACATACCACTTCATCGGCATCTTCGTTTTCGTTAGCCTCATTAGTACTTTCTTCTTGCTGGAAGTTTAAATATTTAAATTTTAATAATAGCGACATCTATTTTGATAACTTGACCTTTGAACTGATGTAAGTCTAGTAAATGTGTTTATTCTCTATTTTTCTAAGCAGGATTAAAATGTTTTGTATTATGGCAAACATAATATAAATATAAGAAACAAAATATTGTTTGACTAATTGGTGTTTTAAAATTAGATAACATAGCAACCATTTATTTCAAGTAAATATATATTGAAATGATATTATTTTTATTAACGACAACTTTTTCTGTCAATATAAATATTCAAATTCATATACATATTATTTTAATTCCGATATTTTTATTTACCTGTAAGATTAAAAAATCATGAAGTTCTCAAATATTCAATCGCTATCATACAACGTGTTTTAAACGTAATCACATTTATATTTCTATTTAAAGGATATCAGTTTTAATATGCATATTAACGTAAAAGTACACGGAAAACGTTAATAATTAAGAAACTCATTTTCCATACCATTCCAACAAATTGAGGTAAAATGAGTGAATAAATTAAAAACCCTTACAAATTCATTCATGCTAGACATCGGTGAAAAATGGCTTCGCCGCGCATCGGCGTACTAGTTTGGGACGTAAATATTATAGCTAAGTTCACTTATGTCGAAATCATAACAATTAATAGGATGCGATTGATTACTTTTTGAAGTGTAACTTCTTTATGCGCATGAGGGTAAAATTTTAAGGGGCGTCATGAAGATGTGCACAGTTTTTGTTTAAGAAAATGGAAAGGGCGATTGAGACCGATTGGGATAGAGTGAGAAGGGCGAATTACCTAATAGAAATTCTAGTTTAAAATTAAAATTCGTCAAGAGAATTTATGAAATATTAGTATTATATTTTATGCAAAATAATTTATTGAAATCTCAAATGACGAATTGTAAATTAAAATCCCACGTGTTTTTATTATCGAAGAAATAAATTTAAAAAATTAAATTTATTATTTGATAGACACTTTCAATATTTTAATAACAATTAAATTCCTAACATATCTTACTTTTTCCCTCCCTCTAGTCTCGGAAATCTAAAGTTTTAGATTTATTAAATATGAACAAGACTTAAAAATTTGTTTTCCAATGAAGTTTCACTTCTGACATGTGTAATTTGTACGCACGCACTTTTTTAGATGTTCACAAGTGTAGTATGAATATTATTTTATATTTTATATATTATATTTATTATATGAATATTTCAATAAATCTCAACTATATGTACCTAATGTGTGCCGTGTAGCCTATGATATGTTTCTTTGTAATATATTAAATATGTTAAGGGTTGATTAAATTAAAAAAAAAATTGTGACGAAACGGCTAAACAGATTTGATTCAAATTTTGAAAATCATTTAATATTGTTGAGCTCTTGTGCGTTGTCATTTTAATGTGATTACCTTTTGAAACACATTGCATAATGCAGCAAATGGTTATCTATGGAAAATCTTATCTTTTTCTTAAAAACAATAATTAATACACACATATACTACAATGCTAATCTTCAATAAGAGTATAACACTTATTTTAAACATAGCCAACAGTATACATGTAAGCAATATATACAAAACAATGTTTTTCATTTGTTTACAATTTGTTATGCTAGATTAGTGAATACCTGATCATCCTTCTGCGCACCAAACTCAAACGGCCTCTCAGCAATTTTGTCATCCTCTTTGGATTCTTTGCCATCTAATTCTGATTGACGGGTGCTTGAATCCTCCGACTGTTCAACTGTCATTTGGTTACTGCTTTCTGTAATGTAACCATGTATGATAATAAAATATATATAAATGATGAGACAAATGTATATAGATATTTAGTTCTAAGCGGTGCCATTCCTCACAATTTTTACGGACACTCCAAGCTTGTGTTAATAGCAAAAATAGAAATTATAATGGTTAAGTAGAATATGTTAAGTTAAGACCTTAACATGATTATCCTGTATAAATAAAGACTGATATTGAACTCACCATATTCTGGATCAAATTCTTCTTCATCATCCCCATTATCACCCTCTTCGTCCTCTTCTTGATCCTCATCGTCTTCTATCATACGAGAAGATTCAGCCAACAGTCCAAGACTGTCTGATGTGTCTTGTGCATCTTCATCAGTTTTTGAGGTAGAGGGAATAGGGTCTATGTTTTCTTGAAGTTTCTGTATTTGGCCTTCAAAGGGTTGAATTGTATCTAGTTTCTGGCTTGCTTTCTTAGATGTGGATATAATAGCATCATTCATCATATTGAGATTCTTAGATGTGGATGGACTAGCATTATCCGATTTTAAAGCTGCATCTTTGAGATCCTTAGGTTTGTTTAGAATGTCATCATCTGGTTTTATGGTTTCTTCTTTATTGGTATGGTCTGATGCAGGGTGTTCTTTCCTAAGGTCTTTTAGAATAGTTGTACTGTCATTATCGACTTTAGTATTGTCTAATGCGATCTCAGTTTTCGACTTTGAATTCTCTTCCCCAGAGTCTATTGATGTGCTTGGAATTTTATCATCTTGATGTATTAGATCTTTTGATAAAGAAGAAATATTGTCTTGGTCCAGGCAGTTATCTATAGTTTCTTTACAGGTGTATAAAATTGTATCATTTCTAATTTCTTTTGATGTTAGTGGATGAAATTCATCAATATTTTTTATTTCTTCAGACAACAATGGATCTTTCACATTCTGGCTTGATATTTGTATATTATCTTGCACTGCTTTTAAATTATCTCCAGGATTTTGGTTTAAAATTGAGTCTTTGTTGTGACATGATAAAGTTGTAGGAGTACCAACATCCATATATGATTGATTATTGCTTTCAGCTACAGTTGTCATACACTCATTTTCTATGTATTTATCAGATGGCAAGTCAATAGGTGGTTCTTGGTGATTTTCATTAGCTGTTACTGTTTGAGGTGCTATATTTCCTAACAATAAATCAGTATCTTCATTTTTGGACACATTTTCTGGGTCTGTTGGCAGAATTACATCTAAATCAGAAAATAAACTATTATCAGACTGATCAAGGTCTTCAGTATATGAAGAAGGTCTGTCATCTGATGCATCACATTTCTGAGGAGACATTCTATTGGGATCATTTAAATCTGTTGTAATTCTTTTCAGGGTATCTTGCAAATCATCATTGTGCGATAGTACAGACATAGTATTGGATATGTTTGGAGTTGGCTCTAAAATATCATCATCTTCTATAATATTAATAATTTCAGGTTCTGGATCCTCGGAATCAATTAATATTGGTTCATCATTGAGTAAGTTCTCTTCATTTTTAAGAGATTTCAATTTGTAACTTGCAACACTAGATTTAGATTGGTCTTCTTCAATTATATTAACATTATCAGTTAATGTTTTTTTATTTTTTACTAAATGGTCATCATTTTTGGAATCCATAATATTAAATGTATCATTCAATTGACAATCACTGTTACTAATATCTATGTATGTGGGTATTTCCAACATAACATTGGGATCTTTAAGAGTTTTTTTTATTACTGCTGTATTCACTAAAACAGAGTTATCATCAATAGTAGCTAAATTAGATTTATCTTTTAGTAATTCTGGTTCTACTATTTCAATGCTATTTAAGTTATCACTGTCAGGATCCTCTAGTGCTACTGAATTGTCACTAAGCATTTTACTGTCCTGTATGGTTAATTTATGCTGACTTTCCTTCTTAGAAATAGTTTCATCTTCAGAATCTTTCAGTAGTTCCATTTCATCAGCTAAGTTCTTCTCTATACTCTGCTCATCATCATCATCGTAATCATACCATCTTAACTCTATATCTTCACCTGGGCTAACACAATAGGTTTTCTTTTCATTAAAATTTTCTATTGGAGTCAAAGGCTTAACTGTTGCATCAACAGATTGAAATCTTGAAATTTGATTTTTGCTACTATTAAATGAAATGTTTATATTATCATTATTACTTGCATTGCTAGCTTCTGATGAAGATGAATCCATCTTTTCAAAAAGTTTTCTTCATAGTATTAGTACTACATAAATAATGCCCATAGCAATAACATTACATGGACAATATTGCTTTTAGGTTATTTGCATATTATTATAAATATAAACCTTAAAAAATACGGCGAATTACTAAACACATAAAATCAACACCGACAAATTGCAAACATTTTGCAGATACCATAGTTAGAGATTCTTATTACTGCATACGGCAATTAAGATAAATTAATATGCCGAGAACAAGATGTTTTCAGTATTAAATATTATTGTTAAATGTTAGTTATTGATATTTAACACTAAACAGCTCACAATTTTTTTAATTTCAAAACTCGTAATTATCATTAATCATTATGACATATGAAATCTAAAGTCATGATGTCTTTGATCTATCGATTTTCATATGTGGTTATGACAATTCACCTATAATTATTTATTTACAAAGATAGAAAGTGATTGTCACGCGTGAAGATTGTATGTATATTATATATATATATCTATATGTTAAGGCTGAAGTTCCAACTAAACTATCGAACATTTTATCTTTGAGTTAGGTTTTAAAATATATACCTATTTTTACAAACAAATGACAATACCACTAAATTGTTCATTTATTGACAGTTGACACTGACATTCCTAACAATTATTTGGATTTTTAGATCGGGTTCAAATTTCACTTTGGAATTTGGATGTTTAAGTTATTCCATTTGTTATTTTATATTTTAAAGATTTAGATAGCGTATTTATCACTCTGCATCAATTACTACATTCACTAATCTTTCCAAATTAAACTTTACCATTGCCATAGTACCTTCTATCTGCCACCACGAAAACATTTCAATGTATGTCATTAAATGTTTTTATGATGAAATGAGAATTATTGGGATATAATACGAAGCTTTTGCATAATATTCCCTATTTAATATTTAATTAAGTGTATTCTGTACCATTAGTCGAATCGAAAATGAACAGTTATTTATCACCTCGTCTGATGATGGGAGCTGCTATCGTAGGGCTTGTGGGCGCTGCTGGAATGTTTCTATATGAACAAGTCTATGCTGAGAAAAGGAGAGCTATGTTATGTAAGTACGATCTTCCCTTCTGAAACTCAAGTCTAGTTTCAGGAAGTAAACCTAAAGATAGTTGTGCAGTGGCCATGCTTAGCCCTAAGTTTCTACTAACCTGTAATTTAGATTTTTATAAACAATGTTAATAAAAATCTTAACCCAGTTGTAGTACCACTTTAACTAAAGAAAAAGAAACACGAGAATAATTTTTATCACTGTGTAAACACAATTATTATGAAGAAACTAAAGAAATAATATGGATTGAAAAAAAAACAGTTACCAATTACTGGTACAATACTACTACTAGAATGTTATTATTGTAGTTTTTATGTTAATGTACATATTTATTTTAGATGATTAGTAAAATTAGTATTTATGTACTGAATGATGTGATTTTTCCTTACAAATACTACAATAATATAATCAATCTCATAAAATTTTTTCAATTAAATAGACATAAATATTTGTTCTTTAATAGGAAATGCAAATTATTCTATATAAAATATTATTTTCAGTAAGCGAAGTGGCCAGATTGGACAAGCAAGTATCAAGCATGCGCACCGAATTGGAAGCATTAAGAGAATTACAGAAAGAAACGTATGTATTACAATTATTTAGACCCATGACCTGTGTGTTTTCTAAACTTCTAAAAATGCCAAAACATATTTTTGTTTCTACATTTTTTTCAACTTTGTACTCAGTGGAAGATTATTTAATAAAATTAATAACTACTTTCCTCCAGGCTAACTGTATTAGTTTGTAAGTGTGTATGATAAAAATCCCTCCAATTTGCACATGATATTATAGGTACTACTACTGCTCCATGATGCTGCGGTTGTGTCAGATAACCGCCTATTGTAGTATGAGCGTTACAAACTGGAGGGTGCAGTTATGTTTCTATGCACATACAATTTTTGTTTATCTCAATGTTTAATGTAAATATCTTAGATGTAATTTACTATTACAATGTTACATAAGTTATAACATAATATTATCTACTCCTGCTGTTAAAGACGTACTAGAAATGAGAGCGAGTCCTCACAACGTGTTAGGTACAGTTGTGTATTAATGATACAATTATACTAAAAACTAAAATGATAATAAGCAGCATTTAATTATTGTTTAATAATATACACGTAACCAGTCTCGGTTGTTATTACATGTAATTCAAACATCATTGATTTTATCTGGAATATTTTTGTCAGTTTTAAAATTAAAACTGTTATCATAAATCTAACCAAAATTAAGATCTTTTTTATTATTTTAGGTTATTCAAATGCCTAAGAATATGTTTATACATATTAAAAACATAGTGTAGACAAAGTGTTTTGTAGAAACGGTAGTTACAAAAGTAGTTGACGCTCTACGTCTTTGACAGCGGGAGTTAATGATTTCAGACTAGCGCGGCGGGCGAAAGCAAAACCTCGAGTGCGTCGTGAAGTCACCCCCGCTGGTGACGCAACCGATTCTGAATATTATACCGATTGCCATTCACTAGTTGGTAAGTAAGGCATGATATTACGTGTGATAATTAAAAAATAATGCAAACTATAGATTTCCTTACATATACTTGGTGTTTGTTTATCAAGCTGTTTTTGGAAGAACACTTTATACATAGTTATCGATCAGTAACGTTCATTTTTATTGACCAAAGCATTAAACAGGCTGGAATGGCATTGCATTTAAGAAGTTATATTTGTCTTGAATGCACTATGTCCATAGTAAATAAATATATATATGAAGTTATTTAAATTGTTTTAGAATATGATTTCCCATGGGGGGGGAGGGAGCTTATACATAGATAGATCCACAGACGTTGTTCTGCTATATTTCAAGATTAGGTATAAAAGTATGAAATACCACTACACATCTATCGACTGATTTGTGAATCTAAATCATTCCCAGATCCTTGAACACAAAAAAATTTCTCAAAATCGGTCAGTCTTTATGAGAAGTTCAGTGACATACACACTCACAGAAGAATTATATATATAAAGATATACGCTCCATAGATTACCAACCAGCATAATGCTGAGGTACAACTACAACACAGATATCATTACGCACTTAAAATGAACCTTCTCTTCTATCTTTAACACTTTATCATATTTTCCAGGCACAGATATAGAGTTCGACAGTGAAGAATTTTATGACGTTCCGTCAGATGAGGAAGACACTCTCAAAGAGTCTATCAAAAATGGTGTTCTTACGTCTTCGGAGAGCTTAGAAAAGGTATATCGTACATGTAGGACTTTCAATTGACGGCATCCAATGTAGAGATAATCGTAGATAACCATGGGCCTGAGGCAAAAATACAAACGAAATTGTATGGGGATCAAATTTGCATGCGCTTGCTAACGTGACCGTCATTACCCGTTAGTCTTCGGCCCATACTTTGGCTTAGCGAAGAAATATTTCGAGATGTATCTTCTATCCCATTTACCATGTAGTGTTGCGACGAAGGGTGTGTGCGACGTTTATATCTGTGTTCATAGATCAGACAATGATAAGTACATTCATTTATATATCGAGTGTTTCATATTTTAATATGAAAATAATATGCCTTCAAGATTTCTTAATAATTTAATTGCTCGTCCTGTAAAGTATTGCATTTATCATATTCTGACCTACAGCCACAGATATACATTTTTATACGAGTTCAAAAAACGAAAAACAAACTAATTAATCATATTTATAATTTTCGAATTGGTTATTTTTGAAACTATGTAATTTGTTTTGAATCTATTTTTTCAGGATACGGTACAAACACCGCCCTTAAAACCGCCGAGAACTGAAAGTACATAGCTCATTTAGGAATTATATTGATGGTATGTATTGACTTTGTTTTATTAGATTGAATATTTTTGAAGTTATACTTCTTTAGGCGCGTTATGAAAAATTGATGAGAGTGAAATTTTACGATGCGCGCGCACCGTTACACAAAATTAACAGAATGAAGTTCTAGATGGCATGAAAATCGATAATAACTATGTTCAAGTTGTATATTCTAGTATTTTTATATTTAGAACACGTGTTTCGTAACAGTACAATAAAACAGTGTGAATTAATTAATAGTATTTTGGTGTTTTTATTAAATCAATTTCATATACGACGGTGATAGCATTTACTAATAATAATTTTATTGATTAATTTTAATATTTATCGTTAATCACTACTGCATTTTAGTTATTTTTTTCCATACGCCAAAGAAGTATAACTTCTAACGCGTGTACATTAGTACACTCTTTTTTTTATATTTGATTAACTTCAGCATAATGTTATTCGAAATATTTACCGATTTACTTTCGGTCTATGTGTGTATTTAACGCTTGCTCGTACTGTGAAGGAAACATCGTATGGAAACCGGCATGTCTTCGACCAGTCAGGCACAGAAGGCTAATCATCTGCTTGCCTTTTTTTCTTTTTTTTATGTAATAAGAGGGTAACGAGCAGGAGGCTCAAATGATGTTAAGTGATCCCGCCGCCCATGGACACTCATATTGACAGACGGCTCGCAAGTGCGTTGCCGGGGTATAAACAACAAATCACGACACAGATACAGAGCTCTTGAGCTTTAGAACGTTGTAGCACTTGGTTTTTTACTGCATGTTAATACTATTTCATATAAAAAGAGAATTCAGATTTTTTTTTCTTTCAGATATACTTAGTACTTCGGGCAGGGATAGTATAGTTAGTTTTGTGTTAACTGGAATATAGTAAATCTAATTACCATACACATGACACTTTAAATATTAATGTTGTTTACATACATATGTTGACAACTAAGTTATAGCTGTGTTGCCAATAATATAAATATTTTAGACATATTTAGTGAATTAATTTTTATTTTTATTTTTTGTTCTTATATTTCAAATTCCGTTAAAGAATTATTGATGTACTAATATAATAAATGACTTGTAAATTGATTGTTTTCCAGTGGTATTAATTGCTTTGAAGTGTCATGTGCGGTTTGAATGGAGATCTGTAAGAATTAATAAATAGTTCACATTATTTTTTACTAAAATTTTGATCTATGTTTATAATTAAATGTTTTGTAATTTTCCTTTACTGTTTTTCTGAAAATTAATGTGAATTTTAAGCATTTATAGGGTTACGTCTCGAGTAACGGTCAATTGTAGGATGGGTGACCGGTGTAATTCATATTACAGAATTTTTTTAAATAATTTGTATATTCTGATGATTATTAAATTGTAACTTATATCCAGACTTCCCTAATATTTTCTTGTTTCTTAAATTTCATTTGTTTATATGCTGATTAAATCTGAGCTGTATTTCGTAAAAAAAATACCACTAAAATTATCATGACTGTTGAGCGTCATACTTATGACGAAATACCTTAAAATGTTTGAAGATTAGATTCGACTCACTTTACATACTGTTACGTAATTGTTTTTATTATTTTATTACAAGATCCAATAAATATATTTTAATTCAGAAAATTGTCTGGGTGAGTCTGGTATAACATGAATTATTATAATTGTGACATTTGATGCCAAAAATCAACCACCGAATAATGCTCAAAATATGTAATTGTATATATGAATTGGGATTTAAATTAATATATAATATTATTAAATATTAGAATACATTTAACCCTGTGACATTTATCTCACCTACTCTGTATGAACTACAATATCCAAATAATAAACGTTAAAAACAAATTATTATTAATAAACCTTTAGTAACATTGTTTTCATTTTTATCAAATTAGATTGATTTTTTTAATAAAGTCCAACGAAATATTTGGTTTACGCGAGTATTCATAATAAAATTTCTTAATACAATTGCGAATTTATTTACGGTAATAAATTCCCGATTATATTCGTAAGTTTTATTGAGACGGTCAAACGCGTTAGGTCATTGAACTCCATACTATTTAGCAGCGATATTTTATGACATTCCAAGAGTATTGTAGTTTGTTGGATACAATATTTTGACTTATTCGAGATATTTTTATATATGGCTTATAACCTAGGTAAAATTGAGTAGATATTCAATTATTTTTACGCTAATAGAGCCATACTTTCATGTTTATATATTGCATAGCTTACCGTTTAAATAATGTAATCATCGTAATGTTATGTCATGATATGTGTATTAAAGAGCCTTAATGAAATGGATTATTTAAAAGATATATAGGTAGATGGAGAGATATCTTTTCTATTTCGAATTAAAATATATAATTTAACCGCATTGCTTTGTTATCTAAAGTTATATTTATATTTAGATACTTTAACTATCTTACCTAATTCCTGTTATTAAAATTGATTTTAACAAAATTATTATTTAATATGCGAATTAAAATGGACTAATACATTGTGGGTACGGATTTATTTTGTTGAATTAAATGTTTTGCCAAATAGAAGTTTTTTCTTTAAAGTATTACAACTTGTTACTACTAATGAATAGTGCAATGATTGTAGATTTGATAAATTCACGACGTTGGAAAACCTTTCATAAACTGGCTATAGTTAATAATAATTTTTTTACAAGAATATGATCTGTTTTAGCGGCTTTTTCTAAAAGTAAAAAGTATTTTTCCTTTAATAAAGATATATACATTGCATCAGAATTTAACCCAATGTAGATTCAAATAATCATAATGCCCCAAGTTTTAGAATAAAAATAAAAAGTCATAGATATATTAAATATTTATTAACTATTTATACAAAACATTTTCCTAACACCATGTTTGTGTTTACTAAGCAACATACAGATGGTCCCAAAAAGTAACTAAAAAATACCCGCCAGCGAAATTTGTGACTACGTCAAGCGTGATCTCTACAATCTGTACACTGACATTATTTTTTTAATTTAGATTTTGTATAACAAAATGATTATATGTATAAATTTGTTGTCAGTTTAAAGAAAGAAATCACGCTTGATATGTAATTATCACTTACTATTGAATAATTGTGACAGTCACACAAATTGGCCATATCCGATTATGAATAAAAAAAAATCTACAGAAATGTATTATTGGTCAAAAACACTTATTTGTTTATGGTTTAGCAATGTCAAAGTTATTTAATATTTGTATTTAAGGGTAAAAATTACCGGTTATGACCAATTTAACAAAATAATCTGGAGATTACAGATCCGTAGAAATCTACGATTAAAGGAATGTGTTTAAAAATGAGAATTTTCATATTCAATCCTCAGTTGAGATAAAAGCAGTTGCTATATTAAAACACATCGATTATAATTCGCTAAAAATTAAAAAAATACTTAAATTCGAGATGAATAATTTAATTTCAACAATTCATAACTACGAACACATTCAACGGTTTTAATAATAGGCTTTAACAGATCCGGAATGAGAGGAGAGAGAAGTGGACTTTATAAATTTAGTATACTTTTAATTAACGAAATAATAAGCATGATTTTATAAAGTTTTCCAAAACTAACTTTAAAAAATTGCATATTTTTAATTTCAAAAAATACAATAAATAAAGTAGAGAGAGTGTTTATGACACTATCAATGTGCCAAAGCTATAAACATACATAACATATCACACTGATAAAGTATATATATTAAACCATTTGGCATAAGCGTTCATATACTAGACCTTCTGTTTAAAATACACTTGTACTATTCGCTTAATTTCAACCAAACAATCCCAAACTCACTGAAAAATATTTCGTTCATATAAAAACAAGAAATTCCTTTGGCTTATTGAATCTTGATGAAATAAATAAAATTTACTATTTTCTGTCATGGTTTACTTATAGTAAAAATAAATATTATTATTTTAAAATAAATGTATAACATCATCAAAAATCCCCGGCCATATTTCATTTATAACCTGCAAATAAATTCAAATATACCAAAAAATTTAGTGTTGCCGTCTCACTCTCAACTGTAGATACTGAAAGAGACTAATTGTTGTAATCCTGTTCTATTTCTAAAGCCGATAATTTTCTCATGAATTCAGCACGTTGGGACGGAGTTAGTTCCTGCGAAAAAACCAGTAAATACACTCAGCGTTTCAAACACTTAGCTTAGCACTTAGCATTAGTTAATATTTTTGATAGCTCCTTACTCAATAATCATTTAATATATCATTAATATCTATATACATATATTATATATTTATTTACACTTCGTTACATTTATAAAAAAAAACTAAAAAGCTAATCTTACGGATTCATGAATTGCGATGCAATACAAAAGAACAAGAAATACAAGAATTACAAAAGTCACGATTGAGCAGGATAGGATAAGGTTAAGAAATGTTTTTTTAGCTATCTATCAATATCTCAGTAATATTTTCCTTATTAAAGAACTCAATGAACGTTTTAGTGCATCCGTCTTGTTTCAAAGACGGCCCCACGCAGCGCTGCTCCAGTTTTTCATAAAAAAAATAGTATTGACATTCTATTATAACTATTTGGTTTCAGTTAAATAGTGTTGACATTCTATTATAACTATTTGGTTTGAGTTAAATTGTGTTGACATTCTATTATAACTATTTGGTTTGAGTTAAATAGTGTTGAATTCTATTATAACTATTTGATTTGAGTAAAATAGTGTTGACATTCTATTATAACTATTTGATTTGAGAAAAAATAGTTTTGACATTCTATTATAACTACTTGAGTAAAATAGTGTTGACATTCTATTATAACTATTTGATTTGAGTAAAATAGTGTTGACATTCTATTATAACTATTTGGTTTGAGTTAAATAGTATTGACATTCTATTATAACTATTTGGTTTCAGTTAAATAGTGTTGACATTCTAGTATAACTATTTGGTTTGAGTTAAATTGTGTTGACATTCTATTATAACTATTTGGTTTGAGTTAAATAGTGTTGACATTCTATTATAACTATTTGATTTGAGTAAAATAGTGTTGACATTCTATTATAACTATTTGATTTGAGAAAAATAGTTTTGACATTCTATTATAACTACTTGAGTAAAATAGTGTTGACATTCTATTATAACTATTTAGTTTGAGTTAAAAGCTATTCAACTAATAATTAAATATGGTAGATTTCTACGAAATTTTACCAAGGCTACTTACCATGACAAGCTGGTTGACGTTTTGAAGTACAGCATCCTGCTTGATGGCTCTCAGGTTTCTCTCGAGAACCGAATCCTGGTCCAACGCTTGTTGTTCCAACCACCGACAAACCGCTTCGTTATCGTTCTCCCATTGGTGAGACTAAAAAATTGGATCTAGTCAAACACTATTCAAAATATTTTTTTTTAAATACTCAATATTTCATTTTCTCAATTAGCAAGTTGATGTTAGAATTCTTCTTAAAGTCTTCAAAGGTTTTATTATAATACCAATCTTAGATGCCTTTTAGCTACAAATGTACCTGTGTCTCCCCTCCGGTCCTCCGTGAACCACCTCCTCAAGGTAGCGGCAGCGGCCCTCTGGTCGATGCTGTCCGGCCCCGTGGCATTCTGAACCCTCCTCTCTTGAAGGTTCTGGTGCAAGAGCCTTCGCAGTCTCCAGTAGAGGATCTTCCGGGAGTTCTTCCAGGGAACGATGTCGAATATGCAACCTTTTTCGAGCATACGTTCCGCTGTATCATGGAGTTCGGCGAATTGGATTGCAATCTATAAAAAAATTAAACAATATCAACTTGTATCTTGACTGAATCACACCTTGTAATCTTAAAACTAAATTTAACAAAATTAACTTTTTAATATTAATTTTAACTAGGGATGCATCCGATACCGATCCCGATTAATTGCCGATACAACGAAACGAGGCACGGACTATCTATGCCCGGGGAATCCCCGCGTTTTATTCAGTTTGTTGTCTCTCTCACCCGCTCTGTCCCCGCGTATTCCATTTCGCTAGACATTTTAGTTGGCTTTTAACTGCTATGGCGCGTAGTGTTTTTTCGATACCAAATTAAAAAAAAGTACAGAATTACGAAAATCTTATCTATGTTAATTTTAATTATAACAGTTATAAATATTTTAATTTAATTGTTACTCTTAATTCTTAATATTAAAACTAAACCTTTAATCTTATTCAAAGATTGTGACTGTTTATATTTTTAATAAAAATTTAATTTTATTTCAATAAGCGATGGTATCGACGATATTTCTTTAAGAGTATTGGATTAGGTATCGTATCGGCAAAAATGCGTATCCCTAATTTTAACTAAGGTTCCTTTCTGATTGCTTTTGGATCCCTTTGGTAGATAGAACCGGTGACCTCAGAGCTAATGCTTTCCTCGCTCAACGAATAAGTATCGCAATACAGCGAGGAAATTGCAGCATTAAAGGTACACTGTCACAGGGACCAAACTTTTTAAATGTGTTATAGTTTCCTTTTTATTAATTTTTAATCATTATTATTATCACTATTTAGCTTAGTAATATTGTAATCACTTTAAATAGTGTGTGTTGTACATAAATTTTATTAAAGAAATTTGTAATTAATAAAAGTAGTTTATCTTGTTTTATTACATAAATTCTTTATTTTTTAGATAAATAACAATAAATTGCAGCTTCTAATTGTCAGATTTAATAGATTTAATACGCGCCCGTACAAATTTACTCAGAGAAGCGTCATTAACGCGTGTCTTGCGCACCCTGAATATAGGCGCTTGTGAGACGGATATATTTAGTTGCACACTGGCTGAATTCACAAGAATTGTATTATTAGTATTAAGTTACTGTAAAAATACTAGTTTGCAAGTACAAAAGAAAATTATATATCTTTACTAGCTGACCTAGCAATCGTCGTTTTGCCATGTATATAATTTATAATAAAAAATAGGGGTAGATCGTACAGGGGTGAAAATTAGGGGTTTTAATGCTGTATCATAAATAAATAAAATAAAAAATTATCTAAACATTACAAAAATAATAGTTTAGGGATGAACTACCCTTAACATTTAGGGGGATGAAAAATAGATGTTGTCCGATTCTCAGATATACCCAATATGCACACAAAATTTCATGAGAATCGGTGAATCCGTTTCGGAGGAGTTTAACTACAAACACCGCGACACGAGAATTTTATATATTAGATAATTTTTTCACTAACCTGGTGGTATACCGGCGCCAACTCCTTTTCCCTGACTTTGGCATTCTTTTCCCCTGTAGTTAATTCGCTTTCCAAATCTCTTATTTTACTTTCAGCTGAAAAAATCATATTTATATTTTTTATTAAAACAAACAATTCTGAGGCCAAGACCTAAAAGGTTGTAGCGCAATTGGTTTTAGTTTACCTTGTCTGCCGACGTCCGTTTTAATGAGGACTTCGTCCACAGAGCCTCTTCGGTCTAAATTCTTTGATATATCCTTTATTTGTTCTTTCAGCTCTGAAATAACAAATAAACAAATTAATAATCACTTTTTATTATTTTATGCGGTAGATAAATTAACTACCATTTGAAATTAATTTGTTTTGCCATGTATATTATTTCTAGGAATTTTTTTCAGTTCAACAAAAATAACTATCTACAATAATAAAAAATAGTGGTTGATTGAAGAGAGGTGAAAATTAGGGGTTGTATGTATTTTTGTATGCTGTATCATAAAAACAAAACTTTTTTTTTAATAAAGCTTTTATATTATAAGGTATGGACACCCCTTATCACTAGGGGTTTGAAAGATAGATAGTAGCCGATTCTCAGATATACTGAATATGCATAAAAAATTTCATTAGAATCGGTCGAGGCGTTTCGGAGGAATATGGGAACGAACATTGTGACGCGACAATTTTATATATTAGATGTTACGGTTACAAAAATAATATATAAAGTAAATATATGAGCATCCAATAACAAGGCACCAAGCGTACTGACTCACGTACGAGTGGTACCTGCGTGCACGCACACATACGCGCGAAACAAGTTTAACAAGTAAAACCAGTTTTATGTAGTTATTTGTGAGTAACAATAAAAAGATGTCGATTGTAAAGTGTCGATAAAAATAAATAATATGTATATGACACAAATGTTCTATAAATGTTTACCAAATACTAAGGTCCAAAGCATTAAAAACAGTTTATTAGTTTCGTAAGATTTTAGCATGCTACAAACCAGATATCCTAGCGCCCAATCTCAATAGTTCCGGATCTAAACGATGCATTGTTTTGACTATATCCCGTTGCTTGAACTTGACTTCGACAATTCCTTCCGGTTCTAATACACCACCCCTACAAAAATAAATAACAAAATATGTACTCGTGATAAAATGTCGACCTGAAATTTTAATATTAAACTGTCAAAGACAGAACACGTGTGCTCCACAGCATAATGCTGAGTCAGGGCCAGTTACAACCACAACACACACACATTAAATTATTCTATCTTTTTTTTTGACTATTGTTATTTTGTGTGTGTCTATGGCTATGTCAATATCAATATAATTATTAATTATGTATGAATTATCATTTATAATTATGTATGAATGTGAAATTTATTGTTTTTTACCGCCCAATCTGTTTAAAGGACTGCTTGAATATACGGAAGTAATTGATGTTGTTCAGTGACATACACACGTACAGTAGAATTATATATACATATATATAAAGATGGATTACAAGTTAGTAAGTTGTTACGTTATTTCCATATAAAAATAATAGTAAGCATGGCAACACCTACCGTATTAACTGTATCGACATACCTGGCATCATTGTCAGCGTACATCTCCATCCTATTGCCATTGACACTGGGGTCAACGACCGCCCAAGCCCCGCCCCTTAACTCCGCCCCCGGAGGAATGTAAACTATAACTGGAGCTGTTGCCCCACGTAACGCTCGGACTATTTCAGCTCCGAACTTCAGGATTTGTTCGTACATATCTAAAATTAAATGAAAATACAATATTTTAACTTTCAATTTAATTATATTGAGGGTAGACCTAACAAAAGCATTACGGTAGTCTCTCTATATTTTTAACTTCTTAATAATTGTGTAAATACATTATGTATGGCATAGCTGCTGAACTTTTAAAATAAGCATGTAGTAATAAAAAAGAAAAAAAAATCAACATAATCAGCGTTACTCAATTCAAAAATATATAGGTTAAAAAGCGTGTTTTAAAAAATATATAATCAAGATAAATACACACCCTTCTGACCCCCGCTGAAGCCTCGCCAGTTAGCAAATATAATAATGGGCAATCCTTCTCGAGTGAAGTCATTTATTGCCTGAGCCGTCTTGTAGGATGAATCCGGGAACCAGACCTGTGACGAGAAAAACATATATATGTTTTATTATTACATATTTATACGTTTAACAATAATACATAAGGCATTCTATATAGAAGATTCTACGCTATTGTTTGCCAACGTGGGGCCCACGCTTCATAAGGGGGCAATTTGATTGATAAGAAGAGCTACGAAAATTTACTCAAATTAAATTTTCAGTTTTTCAATGTAGGTTTTGAAAATTTATTTACTGTTTCGTTAACAATTTTCTAGTTTTTTTTAAATACTAAATAAAACCGATCATTTAAGATTCTTAAGTGAGTATTTATTTTTTTTCTAATTTATTAGAATTTTTTGTTACAAAAATGTAGGGAAATACTGGTCTACGATATCATGGTATTTTTTTTAAATTTTACCAAAGAAAACCACCACTATGTGGAACCAGCTGCCCACTGAATTATTTCCCGACCAATTCGACTTAGGGTCCTTCAACAAAAGAGCATAGCAATTCTTAAAAAGGCCGGCAACGCACTTGCGAGCCTTCTGGCAATGTGAGTGTCCATGGGCGGTGGTATCACTTAACATCAGATGAGCCTGCACGTTTGCCTCCTATTACATTAAAAAATAAATTGTGCGTGTACTAGGTGTACACACGTAAGAAGTGAAACTTCTTTATGATCTTATTTTTCCAAAAATGATCTACTATATGCAACTTTACAGAAATTCGTTAAATTAGATAAAGTTTAACAAAAGGCTTTTATTATCATAGACATGAATACAAATATTTCATTTTACCTTATTACTACGAAGATTATTATAGAATTTCATTAATTGTAATAGAATTATTACTATCATTGAAAAACGTGACGATTTGCTACAAAATTTCTCCCATACGTCGATAAAGAAGTTTCATTCCAACGCCGATAAAGAAGTTTGACTTCAAAAAGCAACATGGCGCGTAACCGAAAAATGTGACGCGTAACGAAAAAATTTTACACTAAATTTTTTTCCAACCTCGATAAAGAAGTTTCACTTCAAAAAACTTATGCGGCTTCGAAAAATTTAGCTAAATATTGATATGATACTAACCTGTCCGGCCTGCTGAACAGTTTTGGCCTCGGAGTCCCAGTTGGCTGGATCGGCTGGTAAGGTCAATTCCACTGTACGAGTCTCAACTGCTATAACTCCCACGGGAATACCTCCGAGACGGGCACGACCTGGAACATAATTATAATTTTAACTTTTTTTTCAAATCTGCATATGTAAATAATTTTCATATGCTAGGGAAGGTCGTAACTTGTCCGTATTGTACGCGTACTTATTTCAGACCCCAACCTTACAAACAGATAATAACTGTAGAATTTGGTCCTTCAAGCCGGAATTAAAATTTTCAAACTGAACATCACGCAAAGACTTACGGCTTCATTAGATTTATATTAATTTTAGTTTCATTAAAAACTTACCGGCTATAACAGTCTGTGCCCACGGACGCATTATCTCATCAAATGAACCAGCATCGAAGAATCCGAGTCGATTTCCTTCACCCGTGAGCATAAACCGTGGGTCATGAGCAGTTCTCGGTGGAACCCATTCTACTGGTCTATCTATTGGGTCTGCACTCCGCAGTATGGGCACTATGCTTAGTTTATCCTGAAATTAAAATTAATAATTGATGTGTATGAAGTAAAGGGATGATAAAAAATACTAAACTCAAGTCCAATTTCAAAATAGAAAGCGATAGTAAACTAATATTATTAATTATAAGCCAAAAAGTAATTTATTCATATAAGCACACAATGTACACAACAAAATTAACGTTAAAAACAAAAGTGCTTAAAAGTCTTTTAACTGGTAAGACTAACGCAAAAATCAAATTTGTTTCTACCTTCAGTTCTAGCAACAGCTTCAATAACAGATACATTGGCACAATTCTTATTTATAAGCAAATTATGTTGGCAGCCGGTGTTACGTAAAAAAAAAGAATCGGTTGTCTGTAAAGTCGGTTTACTGACGATAGTTGAACGTGACAACGTCATACAAAAATATTGATGGGATGGTTGCATTTTTCAAAAAAAATATTAAATTTTATTTGTTTGATAGGTATTTTGTATGGATATAGAGAAGGAGGTAAATGGAAATCACAATTGAATTGATCAAGTTACATTTATTTGTACGCATAAATACAATTATGTCAATTTTAAATGTAACGCCTCAGAGCGAGGTAACGCCTCAGAGAGAGGTAACGCCTCAGAGCGAGGTAACGCCTCAGAGCGAGGTAACGCCGCATGAGTCATGTTTTTTCGTGCGTGCAGCCGGCTCCATCGAATTATAAGACGTTGTCACGTCAAAAGAATTAATTACAATGCAGACGGGTAACTGGCTGAGAAGACCTAGGGCGGCAAATTTGAGGAGCAAACATTTTTTTGTTACCTCTTAGAAATCAAACAGATTTTGAGGTTTTCTGATGTTTTACAGACAACAAATTTTGCCAATGACTTTCACCGCTTACTTGTCATTGTACACTTAGTAAGCTTCCATATTCTAGAGTAAAACAGCTAGGGCAGCGTTCAAGTATTACGTAACGTATTTGGGGGAGGGGGGAGTCCTTTTGTGAAACGTTACGATGCGGGACGGAGATTACGCGTTATCGATAATATTTTTTTCGACTGACACCACATAATAGTAACTAAAGAGTCACTAGGTAGTCACGAAACGTTTTACTATACTTGGGTACAGTATTGTACTTGGGTACTGAAAAACGTTACGGCGAGTTACATGGGGGGCAATAATCTCCAAAAATTGCGTTACGTAATACTTGAACGCTCCCTAGTCCGCCCCCAACCAGTAATTCCTTTGCGCCCTCAGCTCACACTTTGTATAAGTGAAAAGAACGAATTTCTCAAAATACCCTCTTCCATCAATCAACTTATACATGTCAGTCCTACTACTGGTTGGAGGCTGCGAACTGGATGTTTGTGTATAATTTTGTACTAAAAAGAACATTATTTTACGTGCAATTGTTGGATCGTAAAAATAATCTAGAACATGACACTTGTAGAGGAGAGGGCGGCACAAGTTTTCCCTGGTAACTCTAACAAGAACGCAATCAAACCAAACAGTAGTCAACAAAAATGCGTACGGCTGTGTAAACATTTAGGGCTGTCACGTAACCTATTTTTAGGCTTAATACAAATCGTACTATAAAAAAGGTATCAAAAATTGTTTGACCGCTATAATCGTTATTCTCCATTAATAAAATTAAAAAAAAAATTATGTCAGTCTACGAACTGTTCAGCCCACCTATTTACAAGCGTCTTGATGTATTCCTAAATAGTAAAAAACATTAGAAATATTATAAAGTCATACAACTTACTTTAGGTATGTACGAGAGCCATTTGACTGTGGTTCTTATGGCCTCAAGGTCAGATGGCGCCACGGCGTGTGTCACACCGTTATTGTACATAATCTGTATACCACCCAACTGGTTATTACTGGCGTAAACCGGTTTGCCCAGTAATTTATTCAACGCCATGTAACCAGTTAGAACTATGTACGACGATTCTACTTGGATGACTCGGTGGCCTAATCTGTAATAATATATTTATATAATAAACAAACATTGTAGTCAATGATTGTAAGTATGTGTATGATGTATATATATGTTGATGAAGCAAGGTATGTCAGGACCGTAGTAAGTGGATATCCGTGGTCTCTGCCTACCCCCTTCGGGAAAAGGGGGTGATAATATAAATGCATAAATAAAATAAAAATAGTATAAATATAAATAACAAAAAACTAAAATATATCCCCACTGCCGACTACAATTATCTTTCATTCTTATTGATTTAAATTATATTATATATAATTTATCGTTATATTATCAATCAGAATTTGTAGACATTTTGGAAACAACAAAAGCGTGAAGAGTCTATGCAAGTATTCAATTTATATGATTCGATTTATTCAAGCTTATTATTACTTTGCGACATATAAACCACCAACATATTACCAACCTGACAACATAAGATCCAATACCAATAGCCCTGCACGTAACAACAGAGATGGTGACGATGTCTTCATACGCCTGTGCTGTTTCCCCAGCAATCAAACCCGCGTCCCGCAGACATTCCACACCCAGACCATCTTCTTTGCCTGTCAATCAGTAATGCTATGTTTTAGATAGACGTGTAAACTAAATTGATTTTAATAATTTTATGCCTTTTGTGTACTATTAATGGAATCACATCAAAAATCGCTGGAAAATCGTTAGTTGAACATTTTTAAAGTGAGTTATATGTTTTAGTTAATAATTTAACTATACCAATAGATACTAAAATGTTAGTTTTGGAAGTATACATGAGCCCTTTAGTATTTCATACTCATAAATTGTAATATAACATTCTCGTTTCGTTTTAATAAAAGTAGCAGCAGCAGTTGCCTGTAATTGTGAGGTTAAAACCTCCGCAAATAAAAGCTTTTTTCGTACGTCATTAGCCACGTAAGAATCTCTGGTTAACTCGTCAACTTTGGTATTGGGCGAAGTTTCAATTTGCAATATAACATTCTCGTTTCCGATGTATGTACACGAATGTACAATAGGTCTACATCACTTTATTATATACTTTACTATATTAGTTACAGGTAACGGATATGTCACTAGTTTTAAGAACCCATAAATTACAGTTTTTTGTCCAGAGTCGCAACCCCTACCTTTATGTTAGTTACAAGATCTTGTTCTGTACTATTAAAGACAGTTGACAGCTTCGAACTAAGTGTTTCATTCATTTAAACATCTCTCCATCAACCGTCAACCAAACTTTATTCGTGTAATGGACAAAAATTTTAGAAAAGTTAGGACGTAAAAAACATTTTGAATGAAACTTCTTTCGGCGAATGAGGGTAACATTTTTACGGAACGTCACGAAGATGTGTCACGACTAATGTCCGTCAGGCGCTAACGAGCGGTTGTGTGAAGTATTGTTAAATTCAATAAACTAGTAAATACAAAGTGAATCCTATTGAAAAGTGCATCCATTACTTTAATAAGGTACTGTAAACAACATACATTGGAGTTCTTTCTCAGGCATCCCGATTTATTGAGAAATTAGTGAAATACATATACTGAACAATTTATATTACAAAAATACCCTCACAGATATTAATTTGGCGACATTTTTTTTTTGTTTTTACCCGTCATTTCTACCTTTCTCGTTATCTTAATCAAACTTAACTATGGACGGTGTCATCTGGGGTTGTTGTGTGCCCATTGAAGGAAACAATGATTCTAACCTTGCTTGTTCTCAATGCGTAATGAGATACCATTATGCGTGCATGTCTCTTGATGATAGCACTTTTAGTTCTGAGATGAAAAATGTATGGACTTGTCCTGAATGTGTGCTAAAATTATATAAAGGGTTGCACAATGACAATACTCCAGTCCGTAACGTCAACACTTCGAGAGTGACCAAGCGAATGGCATCCCAGTCGCCAATCGTAGTTGGTGAGCAAGGAATCACCCGTGAGGATATTCATAACATCGTTCAGGACGTTTTTAAAGATACCTTGAAGGACTTATTTTGTAAAATTAACGAAAGCATAACAAACGTCCTCCAGAAAGAAATGGATCCCTTCACGAAACAATTATTTGCCATGAGCGAGTCAGCTAAACTAATTTTAGAACAACAAGTTGAACTCAGAAACGAGTGCGAGATCCTTAAGTCTAAAGTAACTGTACTGGAAAGGGAAAGAGAAGATCTTCAAGGCTGCATCAAAGATCTTAAGCTGCGTTGCGATAATACAGAACAATATCTGCGTCATAGTAATATTGAAATACAATGCATTCCTGAAAACAAAAATGAAAACCTGTTAGAGACGGTCTCTATGCTTAGTAAGGCAGTGGGCTGTGAGTTGCATGACAAAGATATTTTAAGCTTCACACGCACCGCAAAGGCTAGCCGTACCAGTACTCGCCCGCGATCTATAGTGGTTCAATTATCGTCCCCGCGTATTCGTGACAACCTACTGGCTTCAGTGTCGAGATACAACAGGAACAACTTAAGTAATAAGCTTAGCACAACAGTTCTCGGCTTGCCTGGCAAACCATCACCGATTTACATCAGTGAGCATCTATCGCCAGCTAACAAAGCCTTACATGCGGCTGCTAGATTGAAGGCGAAAACCTTGGGATATAAGTATGTGTGGGTGCGCAATGGCCGCATATATTTAAGAAGGTCCGATGATTCGAGTTACATCTTGGTGCGCAATATGGACACTATTAATTGTTTAGAGTAGGTTGCCTTAACGCCCACAGCAACAATAACAAATAAGATCTGTATGTTTGGTTTAAGTTTGTATTACCAAAATGTTAGAGGTTTAAGAACAAAAACGCATTCCTTTTACTCTCAAGTGGTCTGTAACAATTATGATATTATAGTTTTAACTGAATCATGGTTAAATGACTCGGTCTGTAGCTCAGAGCTGTTTGATGAACGGTATGTGGTGTACAGGCGGGATCGGTCTGAGACCTTAAACTCTCACAAAAAAGATGGAGGTGGCACCATTATTGCCATCTCAAAGAAAATTAAATCTAAAAGAATGATTAGTTGGGAATCCGATATCGAAGAAATTTGGGTTCGAGTGGAACTGCCGGCGCCGCATTCCTTTCATCAAATTGATTTCTGTGTAGTTTATTTTCCTCCACCCGTCAACTATTCTATGTTAAAAAAATTTACCACAAATTGCAATAAAATTTTCGAATACTCTGTACATCATTGTATTGTCGGTGACTTCAATTTAAGAGATATACGCTGGAGCAATTCTAGTGGTGAATTTTATGTCCCTCCCTCATGTAAACCATTCGATTTCATAGATACTAATAATCTAAAGCAACACAATTCTATAATTAATAATTATAACAGAATTCTCGACCTTGTACTTACTAATATGCCATTGTGTGAGGTGAGCCATTCATGTGGTGTTTTGAGCGTTATAGATAAACTACATCCTCCCTTGGATATTGAAATCTCCCTAGCCAGCAATCCTGAATTACCTTTTAACATAGTCACGACTAAACGTAATTTCCGTAAAGCTAACTATGACAATATCTTTATTGAGTTAACAAAGTGCGATTGGGAGATGCTTTTCGCTGGAATTGACGATGTCGACTTGATGGTAAATGTTTTTTATTTGAACATACGAGATATAATCAATAAGTACGTCCCTTTAAGCAAACCTAGTAAAAATCACTATCCTCCATGGTTTGATCGAAATTTAATTCGAACTTTAAAAGAGAAGAATAAAATAAGACTACGTTATAAAAAATATAAAAACGCAAGGGACGGGTTAGAACTGACTTTACTAAGTAAAAGATGCAAGAAAATGGCCAGTGATTACTATAAGCGGTATATTTCAGATATAGAAAACAAAATAGACACAAATCCTAAATATTTTTGGTCATATGTAAAAAACAAACGCTGCGGCACTAGTTCTTACCCCTTGGCTATGTCTGATGGATGTACTTCTACCTCTGACGGTTACCAAGTCTGCGAACTTTTCTCCATACATTTTAAAACGGTTTACACTCCTAGTAACAACATTAATTTTAGCCAAAACCAGGAACAGAAATCCTTATTGTCTAAACTGGATAATAGTGCTTTTTACTTGTGTCCGCCGGTTTTGAATTATGAAACTCTTCTTAGGAAACTAATGCACTTGGACCAGTATAAGGGAGCTGGCCCTGACGATATCCCGCCCATTTTTATAAGCAAATGTGCTAAGTATTTGGTTGAACCTCTACTTACAATATACAATAAATCTCTTTCCTCAGGAGTTTTTCCTGACAAATGGAAAACGGCTAAAGTGGTACCTATCCATAAGTCGGGGGAAAAAGAGCTGGTAGCGAATTATAGACCTATTTCTATTCTTTCCTCCCTTGCTAAAATACTTGAGTCTCTCGTATGTCCATATCTTAATAAACATTTTGAACAGTTAATTGCTTCATCACAACATGGGTTTATGCGACGTAGATCAACCACAACTAACCTAGTTGAGTATACTGAATTCATAAGTGATGCATTGGATCGTGGTCTCCAAGTTGACACGATTTACACAGACCTCAGCAAAGCTTTCGATCGAGTTCCTCACTCTATACTTCTGAATAAGTTATCTAGCTACGGCTTATCACCACCTTTTCTTAAATGGATTGAATCTTACTTAAGTAATCGCAATTTTTTTGTTGTCGTTAATGGCTTTAGCTCCGTTATACAGAACATAACCTCCGGTGTACCGCAGGGCTCTCATCTAGGGCCAATACTATTTAATATATTTGTAAATGATTTAACAACTTGTTTTAAGCATTCTAAGGAGTTCATGTATGCAGACGATCTCAAGCTTTGTCGTGTTATCAGTGGTTTCGAGGATTGCTCGATGCTCCAATCTGATCTGAATGAAGTGATTTCATGGTGTGTCTCCAGTGGTATGGAACTGAATGTCCGAAAGTGTCATTTCGTTCGTTTTGCTAGAAAGAGGGATGTTATAGTTTACAATTATCATATGGGTAGCTCGTTACTTCGAGAGGAAAGAGTGGTTCGTGACTTGGGGGTACTTTTTGACAATAAGCTCACTTTCTCAGAACACCAGGACTTTATAATTCAGAAGGCTTCTAGAGTGCTTGGTTTTGTCATAAGGAATACAAAAGGGTTTCGAAGCACCAAATCGAAAATTCTAGTATACAACAGTCTCGTGCGGAGCATTCTAGAATATGGGACAGTTGTATGGAGGCCGCATTATGCGACGCATATGCTACGACTCGAGAGAGTACAAAAGAGGTTACTGTGGCATCTGCTTTTCTCCAGTGGCATCTCGAAAAAAAAGTTGCCAACGTACGAAACGAGGCTGGCGCACTTTAACATGTTGTCACTGGAGAATCGCAGAAAATCAATTGATATATCGTTTGCATTTAAGATATTCAATAATCTGATTGATTGCCCGAACCTCCTATCTAAATTTAATTTTCGTGTACCCTCTCGATACCCCCGGCATCCCATTGTTCCATTTGTCCCTCCTTTCCGTAGAACGCGATTTGGTCAATACTCACCGATGTCCAGATTAAGCATACTTATAAACGAGCTAGGTCTGGATATACATAGTTGCTCACCTCACAGTATAAAATGGATTTTTGTTTAGTTTTTTTTGTAATTAGAATTTTTTCTTTGCTAAGTAATTGTTTTGTTTTTTGTAATCAGATTTTTTTCTTTGATAGCAATTGTTTTTGTTTTGTAATGTTTGTTTTGTTTTGTAATGTTTGTTTTGTTTAATAATCTCTTTATGATCTCTATATATGTATGCTATGTTTGCCTATAAGTGCTTGTCACATTAAAAATTGTATTTTGTGTTTGTTTCTACCAATGTCTCAGTGTGCCGAGCGTTGGCAAGCTTTATCAATAAAAAAAAAAAAAAAAGATGTGCAGCGGTGTTGAAATCTCAAATGACGAATTATAAATAAAAATGCCACGTGTTTTGTAATCGAAGAAAAAAAATTAAATTTATTATTTGTATTAATTTTCGACTCTTAATATTTTAATGACAATTAACTTCATTAAATTCCTAACATATCTTCCTTTTTTTCTCCCTCTAAGTCTCGGATATCTCGGAAATAAAATTTTTTTTAGAATTGTATAAATATGAACAAGACTTAAAAATTAGTTTGCCAAAGAAGTGCGTTGCCGGCCTTTTAAGAATTGGTACGCTATTTTCTTGAAGAACCCAAAGTCGAATTGATTCGGAAATACTTCAGTGGGCAGCTGGTTCCACAAAGTGGTGGTGCGCGACAAAACTCACTTAAAAAACGCTCAGTTGTGAAACGACGGACGTCGAGGTGATACGGATGATTTTGTAATCTGCCTTGACATGATCAAACTACGAACATATAAACAAAAAGCACTTACCGATAACATCAGTGATCTTATATCTGGTCTCCCCTTCATCATCTATCAATGTCGTCTTCACAGACCCCATAGGACCCAAACGAGAATAGGCTTCGGGGCTCAAATAGAGATACTTAAAGCCTCGATCGGGGTGTTCTGCGTCAATCCAGGCTACTTTGAATTCGGACTTCACTTCCTCAGCGACTCCAATACGCGCACCCGAGTTTACGCTTACGTACACCTATAGAAAATTTTGTTTTATAGAAATAAATCTCACATAAAAATACATTTGCAGGATATAGTAATATACACTTAACATTATACAAAAAGTAATTTAGTAAAATAAAAAATAAAAATCAGTGGCGCTGCAACCTTTTTAGGTCTGGGCCTCAGATATCTAAATATGTTTCATTATCATATGTCAATCTAATAGGTGGGTGATCAGCGTCCTGTGCCTGCCAGGCCGTCGACTTTTTGGGTCTAAGGCAAGCCGGTTTCCTCACGATGTTTTCCTTCACCGTTCGAGCGAATGTTAAATGAGCACATAGAAAGAAAGTCTATTGGTGCATAGCCGGGGATCGAACCTACGACGGGATGAGAATCGTACGCTGAAGCCACTAGGCCAACACTCTGACATACAAGTAAATGAAACCAATTTTAAATACCTGTCAATTAGGTAATGAGATTTTGATGTAACTTGGATTCCTAAATTCGAATATTCCAACAAATATTTCTACATGAATTATTCCGGAAATTTTGTGGAAAATTACAAAATTTTGTAATATTAGAAGAACTAAATAGATAATATAAAAAAAATTGAGGTCGGTTGAAAATGATAAACTATTGTTCATTTTAAATTAATACATTCGTTCCAATTTGTTATAGATTTCACGCTAACTCACCCTCGGTATTTTGTGCTCCCGCGCATATTCTGATGCCCTAAAGTACACCCAGTCTTCTTGTGGTCCGAACGAGCCCATGTAGTAAGTAAGGTCATTGGCTATGAGGACAATATCTCTTCCCTCGGGATACTCCGGGGTGAATAGGGTAATGCGCCATGCGACCATTCCGACCTGTAAAAGGTTCATATTCTTATCAAGTTATTACCTCGTTTACTACGCTGTCAAATATGTCAAACTTTGTATTAAAAAATTGGTTTGACAGCTTTTGATATAAGTTGTAATGACGTTCCAGGGAACAGACCTAAGAGGACCAGAGATCATATACTATTTCAAACGAAAAATAGACTAACATAATAGCGAGGTTAATATGTGCACGTAAATTTTTTTTTAAATTAAAGATAATTTATTTACTATAGACACTTTTTCATCCAGATTTAAAAAAAAAATTTAAGCAGGACTTACATTATTCTGTCCAGGCAATCTTGTAACTTCCATGATCCGTCTCTCTCCATCATTCTCCATCACCAACTCCACCAGATTCATCACGTTGTCTGGCCTTGGACCTACATAAAATATAATAGTAATTATCTACAAAGCCTACTGTTTCTATAAGTACTTGAATTTTCTATAGTTAGTTCTTTTTACATCCGTAACTTGTCATAAAATAAACAACTAATTATAAGTAGGTAGTTGTGAAATGGAAACCAGGCATTTGTTAGCACCCGAAATTTACGACAATTATATTAATAACAACATAGTTTTATTTTGTTTCATTACAATACAAAAACATATAAGACAAAAGACATAACCAGGTAATAAAAATAAAAATTTCTATTTTTTGATCTTCAGCCATTCCCCCCCCCTTTTATCGCGCTATCGTTTCGTCTTTTCTTTTTAAAGGCCCAGGACATTATTTTTTTAAATTATAGCCGTTCCATGTGTGTGTAAGCGTTGTTGTTGAAAGTTTAGGATATTTTGTGTACTATATTATTAATAAACATAGCGTATAACAACAGCATATAAATAAACATACCATCAACAGATCCCTCTTCGATATAGTCCCGCCATTGGTCTTCCACCATTTGTCTAAACATATCCGGTATATCGTATACATATGTTGTTCCTTGTGAAGTGGCCTAAAAAAATTATATATTTACTAGATAATTATACTATTTTTATTTATGGCGAACTTCGTATCACATACATATATTTGGGTCAAAACTTAATATATTTTTTTAAAACAAACAATCATCGGATCCATAAATAGGACAAGTGACAATTTTTTATTTCCTAAAAGACAAAAAACAGTCTTTCTCTTTACATATTATATATTATTCCCATCTTTTAAACTTTCCCTGAACTTGCAAAAATATTTAAAGGTCATAATTAGCCAAACTGTACAGAAAACCTGGAGTTTTAGCGAGACAAATCATAAGCAACTCATTTTTATATTTAAATATGATTCTCAGTTTAATCGCGCACGTGTTAGTTTGCATAGAATACGTAATTTATCGTATTGACGTATACGAATACTCGACGAAACAATCTTAACTTTTGTGCTGATTTTCATAGCTTCATGAAAGATAACACGATCTTATCTCCAGGCCTCGGTCTATATCTAGACTTGCCATGTACTCTAGCGACAACGTAGAGATAGAGTGAGGGAGAGTTTATTGCCGTTCTTATCCGTTTGAAGAGCTTGGTTTGAGAACTGGTATTTTTATTGACGATAATAAGTGTATATATGATTTTTGATTTTGATAGAAGCACTCCAACTCAACTCCACTTCCAAAACTCTCTACAGTGGGACGGATGTTGTACCTACATTATATCAACTAATAATAAATGTATGGAACTTACCAAAAACCGTTTCTGCTGCAGATAATCCTTGGTAACATAAGGCGTGGATATCGGAAGACCATGCATGGGTCCTTGTTTGGGGCCATAGGATTGGAATATTATCTGTAAAGAAAAATAATATATTATAAATTTCAAACGAATTTCATAGATTTTAAAATTGTGATTTAATATAAACTATTACTAAAAATAGCCACTTTATAGTAAGTAGGTATTAAAACTAAAATAATATAATATATGAGCTGGGTGACACATTTTTAACTTAAAAGGGTTCCCAAATCTTACACATTGCAATGCATTGTTATAATGAATAAACATATAAATTATGTATTATACTAGACATACTAACCACACCAGTCTTAGGGTCGGAGACCTCTTCATAACTGTATACGTCCAGGGAATATCCAGAGCCATTTGAGAGGCACAGACGAATTGTCTTCGTTGGGGATCCGGGACCTGCGAATTTTTTATATATAAACTTTTGAAAGATTTAACGTAACTCTTTGGTGTTTTGGCTTTGGTGTTCAATGTTTTTTCCATACAACTCTATATATTTATTTTATATTAGTATTTTTTAATGTAAAATAGTCGCACACTGCTCGCATGAACAATGGCAGATGGGCAAACAGGGAAGCAAGGTAAGAGCCACCAGGGAAGAGAATACAGAGGGCTGACGTGCTGAAAGAAGTTGGTGGGGAAGATTGAGAGAAAAATGCTCAAGATAGAGAGAGACGAAGCCAGTTGGAGGAGGCCTATAAACTTGAAAAAAAATTCTTAAATAATTATTAAATAAGTATTTTTTTTTAAACATCGAGACTGCAACGGAATTATATTCCATCTCGTATAATGAAATCATCTCGGATATTGAACTACATAGTATGTATAATAATTTCAATTTTATTAAAAAGTGGTAATAAATTGCACAGTTCACGTTTTTAAGCTCATAATGTTATAAGGATATCCATGTATGGTAACCATGGAAACGGTATACTATAGTCCAAACCATAATAATAATAAATATATCTATATATATAAAAATTAATCCCTATTTCCCTTGGTCACGGCCGATGGCGAATGGACCGATTTCGGTAATTCTTTTTTTTGTTGTGTTTGTTATGTTATAGTCAGGAGAACGTTCTTATGAAAGAAAAAAAAATAAGAAAATGGCGCGACAATATTAGAAAATTTAAGAATACTTAACCACCATACAAATCAAACATTTTTGATGTAACCTTCATCAAAAAACTTTTAGAAAGGGAGACAAGAAACTGAATGAGTTAGCTGATATGTAGGTATATAATATCTTTTATATATATATATAATTTTGCTGAACGTGTGTATGTCACTGAACTCCTCTTAAACGGCTGGACCGATTTGAATGATTTTTTTATGCGTTTGGGTGGAGCTCTGGATGGTTTAGATTTACAAATCTGCAGTCGGTACTTTCATACTTTGTTTAATATCCTAATCGCTTGAAATATCATGCAGGACAACGTCAGTCGGGTCCGCTAGTAGTTAATAAATATACATACCAACTCTCAAGGTAAATCTGATTTCAGCTTGCAAAACTCTCAACTTCCAAAGACGAGGACCGTATCTCATCACCATACCCAACACTGAGTCCTCTATCTAAAATTACATAAAGATATATTTCTACATATTAGAAAGATATTTATTTTCAACACACAAGTATACAGTATTTACAATATTCTTAAACTATCCGAGGAAAGCACCAGCTCTGGGGTCACCGGTACTATCTACTAGGCGCCAACTTAATTAAGTCTTTAATTAGCGCCTGTAAGCCCCACGGTCCACCCCCAGAGTCTCTACTCCAAATGGAATTATATGCGTTTATTAATGAAATATATTTCTTTATACGTAAATTATTTTAACTACGTACGGTTATCAAATAGACAAACATGTTATCACAGCAAAAAATAACCCTTAGGTATTATCATAAGTATTGATATATTTTCTACCGGACAGCAAAAAAAATATCAGTGGCATAACCTTTTTAGGTCTGACCCTCAGATTTCTGCATTTGTTTCATGATCATTTGTCAATCTAATAGGCAAGTAGGTGATCAGCCTCTTGTGCCTGACGCACACATCAACTTTTTGGGTCTAAGGCAAGCCGGTTTCCTCACGATGTTTTCCTTCACCGTACAAGCGAGAGTTAAATGCGCACATAGACAGAAAGTACATTGGTGCACAGCCGGGGATCGAACCTACGACCTCAGAGATGAGAGTCGCACGCTGAAGCCACTTCTCCATATAAGTTATTAAACGAAGGCAAAAAACACACTTGTTTTTAATAAGGTTATTATAAATAGAAATATATATAGTCAATGCAAAATTAACAAGAAATATTTTTTTAACTTTTCTAAAATAAAATAGTTTTTTATTACCTTTGCTGGATCAATCAGAATAGTAGGTCCAAAGTTCAAGAAGATGTGGTTACAATCAGTCCTCTTCGCCAACGGGTGTGAAAAGGCCACTTCCAGTTCGTCCATTGCTTCTAGCAACATCCTGTATAACAATAATTAATTTAAAAAAGCGCTATTATGATTAAACTAATTATCGTTAATACCACGTCCTTCAGTAATGAAATATATCTCCGTAACTCTTATTTTCTTCTTCCAAATCTATTTACGATTGACACAAATTTTATGTTATATATGACATTTTTTATTTCTATATTATAATATAGAAATAAAAAATGCTTTCGTTTCTGTTCCCAAGCTGGAGTTCTACGGCCCGTATTCAATAACGACAATTAAACTTAGATCTTGTTCCAAGAGCTGTCAAAAAACTTCTCTGTAAGTTTGACGTATTTGACACCTCTTAAGATGAGATTGTGACTTGAGATATTAATTACAATATGGACCATGTTTAAGAAAATCAATAAAACCTATATCTAGTTCCAAGAGCTGTCAAAACATTTTCTCAGTAAGAATTTTGACATATTTGACAACGCTTAAGATGAGATTGTGACTTGAGATACGAATTAGAATATGCTAATATTTCCGTTTGATGTGATGGAACATCAAACGACACGTTTTTTGCCGGAAATTGAAGGTATCGAGTATATTGGCCATTTTAACGACTAAACCTCTGAGGTAATAGTTTATATATAAGATTACTTAATAGTAGTTAATAAATTTTTGAAATAATATGAATGTAATAAAAAGCTTATAAACGTACCTTTCACCCTCATTTTGGAGATATTCGAAACTGGCCTCTTTGGTGATGAGATCCTGGTGTCTAATGATGGATCGGATGAAGAACCTAAAGTCGGTCACCTCTTGGCCTTTCTTTACCTATAAAAATCATTTAAAACTGTGACTTCTATCACTGTTATTTGTAAAAGGGCTTGCCCAACACAACCTAGGTTTTTCGAATCAAACCATGTTTTCTGTTTACAGGTAAATTCACTGTATGATACATATAAAGATGTTTTTAAATTTTTTTGCATAACCTATATTTTTTTCATAGAACAGGGGCCAAATGGGCGGGGACACTCTCAATACCAGTAGGCTCGCAAGTACATTGCCGGCCCTTTAGAAATTGGTACGCTCTTATCTTCAAGGACCCTAAGTCGAACTGGTTCGGAAATACAGTGTGCAGCTGGTTCCACACAGTGGGCGGCAAAACTGCCTTAAAATATGCTCAGTAGAAAGACGGACGGACGGTCGTGATGATACGGATGGAGTTTAAATTAATTCGCAACGATTGTAAAACACTTCAATACTAGACTGATACATTATTTTAGATGTTATTGTTATAAGTGTAGTTGTGGGAATACTGACAAATACACGAAACAGGAGTCGAGAATACAAAGTAACTTTTGCTTTTTAATATAGGTCAGGTTAACATTACCTTAGCCTTTCCAAGATACAGGTGCATCTTCTGGTTGCTTGTGGGCAGAGCTTCCAGGTCATAGCTCCTCATGCGGTACAGCTCCAGCTGGAAAGCGGATGCCGGCTCCAGATGCCGGTAGATTGTGTCTTCTTTGAAATCATTTCGAGCTCGGTATGTAAAGAATTTCGGGAACTGGCGTCTGAAATTGTATTGTATAAGATTTGAAGAGCAGTGTTGACCTAGTGACTTCACAGAGTGAGAAGGGATGTCGATGAGGTTAGAAATATCGTGAGGAAACCAGCTGGACCCAAAATAAAACAAATTATGACGAAACATACAAAACTCTAAGGAACAGACTTTAAAGGTTGTAGCGCCATTGGATTTTTTTTTATTGAAGGTTCGGCCAAACAAATGTTATAATATATAGACATAGTCATAACATTTATTACTAACCAAACACACACACAGAAACACACAAAACATCAATCATGAAAAAGAATGAAAGATAACATTTTTTTTTTCTTTTAAAAATAAGGTACGCTTTGAGTGTGTAATGATGTAATGAGCGTGTATGTTGTGGTTGCAATTGGCCCTGACTCAGCATTATGCTGAGGAGCAGACTGTTCCACAGCGCTGGTCATTCTGCCAGAGACCACAACAGTTAGTTTGCGCTTCAGTCGCGAAAAAGAGAAAAAAAAATGAATGTATATCTGTCACCGTAAAATTGTAAACACCGTTAGATTGTAATCTATCTCGCGAGATTGTAAACTGTCGAAAGATTGTGAACCTCAACGAACTGCTTGCAATTTAACGTATTATTATTCGGTAGTTATATGAAATTGTTGGGAAGTAAAATTTATTGACCAAAGAAGTTTGAATGATAACCAAGTTAGTGTAGTACAATCTACCGAATAATAATACGTTAAATTGTAAGCAGTACGCTGAGGTTCACAATCTTTCGACAGTTTATAATCTCGCGAGATAGATTACAATCTAACGGTGTTTACAATTTTACGTTAACATATCCATTTAATAATTTCTATATTTTCTGTGAACTTCCTCTATTATGAAAAGTAAGTAGGCACGATGATGTACCCAACTTGTGAATTAATTATATTTATTTAAAAACTTCGTTACATTACGGATAAAAACAAGTAACATAAATTATTAGGGCTCCAACGTGCAGCCTTATCGATATCAAGCGATTCTTCCAGGCAACCCTAGTAAATAAAAAACCCTATAAACGGAAATACTAATAGACCAGTCATAACAATATTCATAATAATTCCAAAAGTTTTCAAATTTTGATGTAAGGTCGGAGTGGTATTAAACAACTTAAATTTTGCAACCTGCTCTGCGGTCGGAACATTGTTAAAAATAAGTTTTGGTCGTGAAAAAAATTCAAAGTTCTAAATTGGGAAGTTTTCATATATTTTCATTCCGTTAAATTTGCAACCAACCTACGTGTACGGAATTTTTGTTTTAAAAATTAATGTTTTTCTTTATTAAACTGAAGGAAAACGTTCCAAAAGTTCTGCAAATTGACAGTATTCGAAAATAAATAATAAAATGTTCCGTAATTAGGTTGGTTGCAAATTTTATACGTGATATGAAATATTTATCGAAAATTCCCAAGTTTGAAACTTTTGGAATTTTTTTCACGACATACAGCAAAAATTAATTTAATTGCAATTTTAACAATGTTCCGGACTGCGGACAAGGTTGCAAAATGAGATTTATTGTCGTCCCAATGTACCATTCACTTGACCGAAGTTTGAAAACTTTTGGAATTATTATCAAATTTTCGATTTCGAATGTCTATAATGACTGGCCTATAAGGGTAAAGTGGAAGAAATGCATAACAAACTAATATAAAATAAAAAATAAAAAAATAACTAATACAGACCGCTCACCCACACATGTATTTGAAGGTCTTATATCTCAAAATAATATCATATTTTTATAGTTGTTTTAAGCTATTGCATAGATTTTATCTCGAGCTTTGAGCGCGGCGTCCGAATCAAGAAATTCCGTAACGAAAAAACCTAACACACGATGACGTAATATAGGTGCGGCAACTACGCGTTAGAGTGGGACAGACTATATAGGCGTTTTAGTCTGAGTCTGGTAGAGTGGTAGATGGAAATAATATCAAAGAAAAAACTTGATTTAATATCAAAGAAAAACAAATACTGCATAAATAAAAAATAAATAAATAATTATAACTGCATAAGTTGATAAAAAATGCTTTGCAATAGCTTAACCGCGGCAATCCCCGAGTGCCACACGTTTTTTTTTTTCTTTTATAAATAAATCTTGTTTATTTTTAAAGTTAAATGATAAATGATTTATTTCTGTAAGTAGGTTTTTACAAACACTTTTACACGTCAAACATATTTTTTTTTAAAACTAGATGAGATCGATTAATTTTACAATTTGTTTATATCAAAATCATTAATAGTTTTATATTTGTCCACGTATATATTATTATATACTGCTCAAAACAATTAGCGGAACAAGATTTTTCTCCTTTCTATTGCTTAAACTAAAATTAGATTTAAATTAACTTGTACGCTATTTTTTACCTTGTTAATTTGTTAATTACTACAATTCATAAAAAAAATCAATTTGTATTTTTTTTATTAAAAAAAAATTAAAATGTGCATTGTAGACGAAAAACTAATCGGTGATAAAAAAGGTCCATCAAAGAAATATTCTTATATCGTTTGAATATTCGTCTTTAGTGACTTTCAGTAACGTGTGTGGCCTCCATGAGCCCTAATCACGGCTTGACAACGACGCGGCATGCTTCGTATGATCCTCCGAATATCTTCTTGTGGAATTCGCTCCCATTCTTCAATCAACGCTTCAGTGAGCTGCTGCAGTGTTTGAGGTGCAATCGGACGCTTCCGGATGCGCCTGTCAAGCAAGTCCCAAATGTGTTCAATTGGATTTAGGTCAGGGCTCATCGAAGGCCATTTCATTACACGGATTTCCTGCTGTCGTAAGTAATCTGACGTGATGGCTGCAGTATGCGGCCTGGCATTATCTTGCATTAAAAGAAAATCTGGGCCCATACCATATATATGCTGCGGGCCAGACATGATCTTCGAGCACATTTTCAATGTAAGTTTGAGCACACAAGCGCCCGGGAACAACGACGAGATCTGTTCGCTCGTCCAAACTAACTCCGCCCCAAACCATCACAGAGCCACATCCAAATTTGTCATATTCCTGGACTGCTGCTGCACTGTATCGCTCGCCTGGGCGTCTGTAAACACGGAGACGACCATCGCAACGTGTTAGACGGAATCGTGATTCGTCAGTAAAAAGCACTGGCCTCCAATGTCGAAGTTGCCAATTAGCGTGATTTTGCGCGAACTGTCGGCGAGCTTGTCTATGTTGAATTGTTAGACGCACAGCCCGAACTGGTCGGCATGATCTCCAATTGGCTTCCAACAACCTATTTCTTACCGCCTGGTCGGAAATTTCTACACCAGTAGCCGTCCTTAGTGTATTTTGTAGATCTCTTGCAGTTGTGGTGCGGTTACGTAAAGCACAGTTGACGATGTAGCGATCTTGCAAACGTGTAGTTTTTCTCTTTCGACCTTGACCACGCCTTCGTGAGTATTCTCCCGTCTCACGGTATCGCTTCCAAAGTCTGTAGATAACAGAAGGGGCTACTCCTAGATCATTTCCTACATAACGCATAGTTCGACCCTCTTCAAGCAATGCGATAGCTCGGGAGACATGCAATTCAGTCAGATCAGGCATTATGACCTAAACTCACTCGCTTCAATGAATAACAATACTCAAAAGGCTCACTTCAATTTCTATTAATACTCAAAAGATTGAAAAAAACTACTTAAAATGTGTTTTCTGTGATTAGAAAGTAATGAAAATTCAAAGATGTCACTTTGTTTTTAGGTGTTTCTAGACACACTGCCACTTTATTATAGGACTACTAACCAAAACGCCGATGCTCTTTTGTTTTTTATTTTCTTCGACAATGCCTTAACATTATCTAGTGGCCAGTAATAATTAAAACCTTAAGTAAAAAGTTTAGTTCTACTTTAAAGTTTTGTTCCCGTAATTGTTTTGAGCAGTATATATATATATATATATATATATATATATATATATATATATATATATATATATATATATATAAACCCCGACAGAGAATATCAACCATATTAAATAAATATATTTAAAAAAATCATCCAAGCCCTTACTTGATCAACAACATAAAGGTGATTCGTCGTATGCGTTTCTGGTGTAATTCCCTTGCGTGTGCGCGGCAAAAGTGTCCGAAACGACGCGATACCGCGCTGTCGTCGGCTTCACCGGTGTTTCGGATACCAATCATGAGAATATGTATCGGTTCTAGGGGCTGAAAGAGTAAAGCGAAAAATATATTGTACCAAAAATTTTGTAGATTTTTGAAGTTATACTTCTTTAGGCGCGTTATGAAAAATTGATGAGAGTGAAATTTTACGATGCGCGCGCACCGTGACACAAAATTATCAGAATGAAGATGCCCACTAAGGAATTCTTTTTAAACCAGCCGGGCGCCGAACGTGCGCGAGCGAGATGGGAATAAGACCATCTACAAGTAAAAAGAAATAGAATATGCGTGAAGTTAGCAGCTATGCCAAGAATTTTGAATGACCATAATGACCTTTGTAGTACCTTTGAAACAAATAAAGGAGGTTTAAGTATTTTTTCAAATAATAATAATAATATAATTATTATTATTTTATTAGGTATATTATTCTTATTAATATTAATTAATAATTGAATAATATACTTAACTTATTAAATTATTAACGTTAAATATTTGTTATTAATTATTTAATATTTAAAAAAATAAAGAAAGCCAAAGAAGTATAACTTCTTACGCGCGTACATAAGTACACGCACCCTTTTTTTTCTTCTTCAGATACTGACAATGTACGCAAGAGATTATGTACAGAACTATGTCTGTTTTTAAACAACATAATATGTACTTTTTTATACTAGAAAAATTCTCGAGACTGAGAATTGCTTATGTAACTCTATTTCATAACTCATACAACAATAGCTCGGACATGTCCAAGTGTCACATTTTTTTATGTTACAAGAGGCAAACGGGCAGGAGACGTCCATTGACACTCACACTGCCAAAAGGCAAGCGCGCTGCCGGCCTTTTAAGAATTGGTGCGCTCTTTTCTTGAAGGACCCTAATTCGAATTAGTTCGGAAATACTTCAGTGGGCAGCTGGTTCCACTTGGTCGAACTATGAGAGGATAAAATTCTTTAAAACTGGGTGATCATAAATCTTTACCAACCCTCAATTTTTTCCATGATGGACGCTAATTAGTATTTAAATCATATTTTAACAGAAATGATATTTACCACCTCCTCCTCAACGATTTGCTTATAGTCCATGCCAACGTTAATACTAGTGCTGTCTCGACTTTCACTCCCATCTTGTAGCGCTTGAAGATCCTATAATATAAAATGTAAAATACTTTTTAGAAAAAAAAAATATATAAAAATATTTTGTCCTTTACTGTCTTCATTGATTTTGAAATATTATTTTTTATTTATGAGTATACAAATAGAACTTTATTAACGGATATATAGTTTGTTTATTAATCTAATAAATTCCCGTTAATATCTGTTAAAGTATAATTTATTTTAAAGATCGGAACTTGTGAGACCGCGGGACCTCACTTGCCAATGACTATTAGAAATATTATTGAAGAAACAGCTATGCCAGTCCTCTCACTAGTTTCGTAACAAGAAATAATCGTCGGAGATTTTTGTCTCATATTATAAAAAGTATTCCAAGGGGCTTCATACTTTTCGACAGGCGTCTAACTAACGTCAACCGAATGAAAATGGTCACGTAACAAAGCTAAAGTAATTTTTATAGAACTTCGCTTAGCGTTAGGTTAGTCATAAGGCCCTAATCAAACTCAAACTCAAAATATCTTTATTCAAGTGGGTAACCAAGTACACTTTTGAATCGTCAAGTTAAATTAATCATAAATTTACATTTACTACCAGTTCGCAAGTCAAGGGCGTAGAGCGGGTAAGAAGAACTGGCAAGAAACTTTCCGCCACTCTTTTTAATCGCCAAGTATTGTCATACAAATTGTTTGAACTGGAGCAATTCAATCCCAAGGATTAGGATCATTTAAGTAGTCCTCAAATTTATAAAAGGCTTTGTTGATTAATTTTCGTTTAACAAGGGCTTTGAATTTATTTAGTGATAATTCTCTAATTTCGCTTGGGAGTTTGTTGTAAAAACGAATACAATTTCCATTTAAGGAGTGGTTTATCTTTTGGAGCCTGGTTGGTCGTACACTCAAATTAGTTCTATTTCGCGTATTATACTGGTGAAAGTCACCATTTGTTTTAAAATCGTTTATATTTTTTTGGACATACAACAAGGCTTCAAGAATATATTGACCAGATAGTGTCATAATATTTAATTCCTTAAACTTATTCCGTACCGACTCCCTCGGAGAAACACAACAAATACCCCGAACAGCCCGCTTCTGCAGCACAAATATGGATTGAACCTCTGCAGCAGCACCCCACAGTAAAATACCGTACGACATAATGCTGTGGAAGTAGCTATGATACACTATTTTAGCCGTGTCCTTATCAGTAAACTGTCGGATTTTCTTTACTGCATATGCTGCAGAGCTCAGCCTATTCGAAAGAGTCTCTATGTGTGGGCCCCATTGGAGTTTACTATCTATTGTTATGCCTAGAAAAACAGTTTTGTCAACAAAGTTTAGTTCACTGTCCTTAATTTTCAGGTTACCAATATCTCGCTTTACGCTAGTAGTTGTAAATCTAATACATTTTGTTTTATTCTTATTAAGCAGTAAGCTATTTACATTAAACCAGTTAACTATACGAGAGATAGAATTGTTTACATCGTCCAATAATACGTTATTCCTATTCACTTTAAATAGAAGTGAAGTGTCATCAGCAAACAATACCATCTCATGAACTTCGTTGACAAAGAATGGGAGATCATTTATGTAAATCAGAAATAAGAAAGGCCCGAGAATCGATCCTTGGGGGACGCCCATTGATACCTGCGAACCCGGAGAGGTGACTCCATTTCAACTCCATCAAGTTACAATTAATTGATTTATCTATACACTTTACTACATATCTATATAACTAACAAAGTACGAGTACATCAGACTCTAGCAATACCAACCTCTCGTCTAACAGTAGCTGTGCTGGCAAAATCATGGACCAGATCCAGCAACTCATCAGAATACTCCACGAACTGTTCAAATGAATTGAAAGCCGCCAAAGCACCAGTACGATGATGACATTTCCTCATTGCAGCTGTCGACAGTTCCGCTGGAACGCCCTCTTGATCTTGGGCAGCTGATAGCTCGATCTCTGATTGACTAATTGGTATCCTGTATCAAAAAAAAAATTGCGTCGATACACATTTCATTTTAGAAAATCCTTCTTAATCAATTAAATTGTACTTATTAAATAACCGTCATTTACGTCAGCGGAACTGTTTCATAATTATAAACGATATAAAAGAATCATATTTAAATAATAAACCTCCAATTTTGATATTGGCTTGATTTTATGTTTGAAATATTCTCATAAAACATTTCAAATATATTTAATGTCGAAATTAATTATTATATCTATTTCTCACCTATTAGGATGTCCAGTAGGTAACACAAACTGGAAGTGAACAACGCCAAGTTCTCCAGACAACGCTAAATGTTGTAGACACGTAATATCGTATGACGTGTACGCACGACGAACGTACACCTCTAAAGATGCGTTGCAAACCTGAAATTGAAATATTCTTACTAGTTTGTTTAAATATATTATATACTTAGATTAATAAGTTTAGATAATATGTATCTGTATGTTTGTTTACAGGTAGCAAAAAGATAAACGGTCAAAACATGTGGTCTTAAATGGTTGTTCCATTGATGGCAAGAAAAAGGGAACTTTACCTACGTTACTGTTGAAGATATTTTGTATGATATAAAAGTAATTATGAAGTAATATATAATAAAAATAGTAAATAGTATAATTGTGTCCAAAATTATTTTTATTATTATATCCTTTTTTATACTTAGTAATCATTCCCTGAATTTGGAGAACACATTACATCCGTCTAGAGTTACCTAAAAGAGTTAGTCTAGTGAAATATTCTGCAACCAGAAACACTCGATTTGAATATTTTTCCAAAACGAGAACGATCTTTAAACGACATTATAGTGACCTCGACACTATATGTCCAGTATAATGTCGTTCAAAGTTCGTTCTCTTTCTCCCGGCGCTTATTATAAAAAATAGCTTTGCGTTGCGAGTCTTTAAAAACTGACAAAACAGATCCAGTATATTCCATTCCATATAATTTAATATAGCTTCATTAGAATTCGATTAATGCCCATAAAATATCTGGCGATATTTAAATTACCGCAATTATTGGCATACTGCGGAATTTCTTGCCTCATGGCAAGCTTGAATAATATGTAATTATCAATTATATCGAGTTACGATATTAAAATTGTAAGTAATTACTTCATAATTATAAAATGATTAAATTACTCTATATATTAGAAAAAATCAGGAAAATTGTACATTTCGTAAAGAGTACTAAGAAAAAATCAAATATGGAAATAAAAAATTACCTGTGTAAGTCTTTAAATTATTTAAGTACACGAAAAACTTTGTTAAATTTTATAAAAAAACAAACAAAATCATAATTTGCTCTCCACATAGTACGTGTTTAGAGTTGAAATAATTATACTCAAGTTTTTATATTACGTATTACTTAAAGTATTCCTAAACTATCTATATTTCGTAACCTAATATTTTTCGAACTAATGAAATAAAATTTTACTCAACTTCACGGTAAAATACAATATTTTTTTAAGTGTTATATTAAAAACGATAAAAGCTTTTGTTTCAATGGAAAACATATATTTACATAGCGACGTACTTTTTAACATTTAAAAACAACAAGTATTATTCTATACCTAATAATGAATAATAAGAAAGTTTATTAGTAATGATAACAATCAAATATACAGTATTAAAGGTACACTGCCAAAGGGACCTTACTTTTTAATTTGTTTTTTTTATTTATTAATTTTTATCTAATTATGAAATTACTATATATATTTCTCCCGTGTTAGACGAGTATCTAATCAGCATTCGCTGGTGAACCACTAACCTTCAAATAAAGTCGTTTAGTTACAATACTAATTTATATACAATGCTAACCTATTTTACGTCACAAGGGACTAATATACGTAATTCTTTATATGAAGAATTATAGGAGTACATAAACAGTATCTTTGGTTTCCACGAATACATATAACTTAAGTACATCATTTAAAGAAGATTTATTTTATTTTTATAATAGGATAAAATATTATATATTTCAGCGAAGAAATACAAGGATTTTTCTCACACATATAAAATTATAACCTTCATGATGCTGGTGGGCTTTCAGTATCCAAAACCGGAGCTACACAGGGCTCGCGCTGTTGCATTAAGTAAGTTTATACTTTTATGATTTTTAGGCATTCTATGCTTGAAATGATGTCCAATGTACAATATTTATAATAATAATTTTATTTGTTAACAAAAATAAAGTGTACGGATCTTGGGTCTCCGGGTGCTTTAAATAATAGAGGACTTTGTGTTTACTCTATATTAACCACTCGCGTACAACAATAGAATATAAGTGAAATAATGAAATGACATAACTTCGTGTATCCAAAATTGTCACTACCACTTATACGCTGTTGATCTGCAAATATATCTTCCTGTTGATAGGGCTTGTGTCAATGACTGCGTCCGAAAAATAAATGAGGACTTGGAACGAATTTCTGTTTGGTCCCATAAAAACGCACTCCTCTTAAATCCAACAAAGTCGAAATTTCTTATGGTCGGCACCAGAAAGCAAGTGTCTGATCTCGCAAGACAAAGTCCCACAATTCTAGTTAATTCTTCGCCTATAGCTCAGGTCCCAATAGCAAGAAATCTGGACGTAGAATTCGATAGTCATTTGAGGTTCGAAGATTATGTTACAAATATAGTTCGTAATTGCTTTTTTCGTCTCAAGGTTCTATACAATATACGACCTTTCTTAAGTATCGACCTTCGTATTAGACTTTGTGAAAGCATTGTGCTCTCCAAACTTACCTACGCTCTTCCGGTGTACGGGCCTTGTATAACTGCTAAAGCACAACGGTTGATCCAGAGAGTACAAAATGCATGCGCCCGGTTTTGTATCACCATACCACCTCGCTCACATGTCACCCCCTATTTGAACAACTTAAATTTTCTAACAATGGGGGGTCGACAAAAATTGTATTTGGCATGTTTATTATTTGATGTGGTATGTACTAAACAACCGGAATATTTATACAAAAAGCTCCTCTGGCGTAGTAATGCCAACAAGCACAAAGTCAGGAGCTGTACTCAGGAGCTGGCCATTCCCCAGCATCGGACGGCTTCATTTCGTGGGAGTTTTAAATATAGCGCGACGAAGTGCTGGAATAATGTCCCTCCTCCGCTGAAGTGTCTTCAATTAAAGTCGAATTTTAGTCGCAGTTATAAGAAACATCTACTTATTCAACAAAAGTCCCACGAAATTTAGTTTTTATCCACCCATAAAACAAACAAATATCTACTTATTTACAATTATTCTTATTTTTAACTTTTAATTTAATTTATCATACACCATTACACACGATTTACTCACACTTCTAACTTTAATATTATTATTTTTCTACTTGGTATTATTATTATTTATTTTATTTTATTAGACGCGCAAACTAGCTGCTGTGGTCTCTGGCAGAATGACCAGCGCTGTGGAACTTTTTGCTCCTCAGCATAATGCTGAGCCAGGGCCAATTACAACCACAGTACACACACATTGCACACTGGAAGCGAACCGAATGGCAAAAGGGAATTTTTTCATTTTAATTTTTAATTTTTATTGTTTTTGATGTCTTATTTTATTTTATTTTTTCTTTAAGTATTGTTATTTTGTGTGTTTATGTGTGTGTTTTCGTTTGTAATAAATGTTATGTCTATGTCTATGAAATGTTAATTGCTATGTAACAGTTGAAGAGAGTTCCTACGTCTGACTATACTCTCGGGGCGTTACTCCGACGATATAAAACTAAGAAAGCCTGAGTGAGCAAAATGGATAGCCTTGACTCGTACATAAAGTTATTCAAATAATATATTTAATCCAGAAATCTCATTCATTTTATTTTCCCATATTTATTCTATCATTAAGGTTAATGCGATAGTACTACACAATAATACACCTGGTTAATTCTACAATAAACAATTATGGCGCTGTTACATATTTTAATCAGTTGATTTTAAATATTTTAATTCGATTAGTCCTGGCTCTGTGTGCTCTTGTCTTAGGGTAAGTTTTATTTAAGAGTTACTTAAAATTTAATCCGAGGCTTAAAAGGTCACGCAATACTTTTACGATTAATTAATTTCAATTATATCATACTTATAGCTGTACTGATACAATATAACCTTTGGCATCCAACTTCTTTAGAGGCAACTAGATGATCAGCCTCCTGTGCCTGATTCCTCACGATGTTTTCCTTATAGAGAAATCTTTGGTAGCCTTGATTTGACGGGACAAAACACTATTACCGAATTTTTAAGAACTTTTTTATATTGTTACAGTTTTTATGCTCCTCTCTGTTACGCCTGTATGCATTTTTGTCTTCATTGACATATATAAGTCCATTCTTGTCAAGAATTTCGTCACTGTCATTCGTCATTGTACTATAGTTGGACCGTTCTTGGCAGTCTTTTTTAAGGTATTAAAAATTCACTTTGTAATAATAAAATTAATATTTAAAGCACAAATATACTTCATAAAAAGCATCTTTCAGTATCAATGTGTAACATTTAATCGTTTAATAGGGTAATTCGTATTTAATAAACACAATGAAGAAAGGAGCGTACCAATTCTTAAAAGGCAACGCACCCAAGTGTTCTTCATGGGTAAATCACTTAATATCAGGCTCAATTCCGGTTTGCACCCTTTTATATAAAAAAAAGTACTAAACTCCAATTTGACTTAAGTTTTTGTATATGAATTAATGAAATGAATTGATAAGCTCGTATAAAATATTACATTGATAGTGAAATCTAGATAACAGTAACCTTTGAAAAGCTGCAATTTTCAAACATCTTTATAAGCTTCATTAAGTGAATTTGTATTTCAAAAATGGACTTACTACTTACTAAATGATTACTTGAACGTGTGTGTGTTTCATTTCAAATGCTTTACATATAATGATAAATACTCGCCATTAAGATGTCAGAATAAATTTCCTTATAAATATTTTACTATATTATATTATTACAGTGAAACCTCTATAACTCAAACCTCGTTAAATCCTCAGTAAGTCGAAAAAAATTGCCATTCGCTTCAACTGAAAAAATACGCTAAATTAAAAGCCCTCGTTAAACGTAAATTAATCGATAAAGCTTTTTATAAATTTGACGAATACTTAAATGATCCTAACCCTTGCCATTGATTTGCTCCAGTTCAAAAAATTTGTATGACTCAAAACTTAGCGATTAAAAAGAGTGACGGAAAGTTTCTTGCCGCTCTACGCCCGGCCCTTGACTTGCGAACTGGTGTCTGGTAGTAAATGTAAATTTAAAATTAATTTAACTTCTTTTTCGACGTTCTTAAGTGTACTTTTTTACCTATTTGAATAAAGATATTTTGAGTTTGAGTTTGAACCCCTAGATACGCGGTATCCCGAATTATTTAGACTTTGAAACACGAACAAACTGTTATTTCCCTACGAAGTATTGATAACACATATTGGCACTCATATATTTAACTCGACTTCAAAAGGGAGACTTCGTAAGTCGTAGTTAGAGAAATATAATGACGTCTTACGTGGAATTATTGAAACTTGAAAAATATACTTAAAAATCGCGCCTCTGTAATGTTAAAATATGTTTTTACAATATCAAAATAGTCTACTTCATACTAATCTGTGTACTACATCTAGTCTGTCTACTATACTAATAAAGTGTCTATTCTCAACTTTGAACCTGCAAGTAATTCGTGTTTTATTATGTAAGACGAAATTTCAGCAGTTAAAATTTAAATCATATGTAGCTCGAAATTCTTGTTAACCCGATTTTCCATTTCCCTTGACATTCGAGTGATAGAGATTCCACTGTATTGCGAGAACACACTAGCAGCAAAATGCTAATGCGTGTGTAATGGGATATGAAGTATCAATTTAATTTGTTTCAAAAGAGCCACCACCATCTTTGAGAAGAAGTTTAAGGCATTGCCATTACTTTGTACGGTGTTTAGTTTTTATAAGATAAAAATATTTATTTCCTCGAAACAATTTCAGATAATGTTAATGCACATTAAAGAAAAAACAGCAATGCAGATAATAAATGAAATCAACCGCGACTACGAGCTATTTAACACGATGTCGCCCTCATACCAAGAAATAATCGACGCATCCATCGCTAACTCCCTGCAATACAGCGAAAAAGGCTGGGCCATAACAGTCCTATGTGTCGTATTGATATTTCCTTTAATGGCCGCTGTTTTGAACGTATACAACTTCACATTTAAATCTGAGCCAGCTAAATATATGGTACACGATCTGCCAAAGCCGTACGGGGAGCCCGAGGAGCGGTTTGATACTCCGTACTTCGAAATCATGTTCGTTTATATGGTGTACTGCGCTTCCCTGTACATCGTCAACTTTGTTGGTTATGACGGGTTCTTTGGCTTGTGTATTAATCACGCATGTCTGAAGATGCAGCTGTATTGTCAAGCATTTAAGGAGGCATTGGCAAGTGAGAATATGTACGAAAAGATCGTCGGCGTTATTAAGGAACAGAATCGGCTTTTTAAGTAAGTTTTAAGATCCAAAAATTTGGTAACAATAGGCTATCTGATTATTTTGCGTGGTCACGGTGACTGAAGACAAAAGGTGTTGAATGTCAAAAAGTATCACAGCTGTAGAAAAAGTTGTGTTATCTGTATTTATTTCGCCGGAGTTGGTATCGACTCGGTAAATCGGTAGATTTATAATAAAACATAACTTCAAATCCGTTAAAAAAGTGTTTTCCTATGTCTAAAAGTTATGTCAATAAAAGACAATACTATCCGATTCTATTAAGTATTGGCTTTCAAATTTAGGTTTCTCTAGCCAAAATGCTAAAGTCCAGTCCCTGTAACCATGCATGTAAACCTCAACAACCTTTTCACGTGTTAATTGTCAATCTTAAATTACACAAAAACATAAATTATTTTATTTATTTTCGACACAAAATAATCCTCCATAGTACAGGACAGTATTATGATAGGACGTATCAATAATATTTTCAATTATGGATTTTTTTATAAATGACTATTCACAAGTTATTTTTAATATTCAGTAAATGTGCCTTATTTATTTTAGTTGCAAAGGTATGTAACCTTTCCAACTAATATTACCTTATTAATGATTGGAGTTGACAGCGGAACAACTTACCTCAACTGAGGAACAACCAGTCCCAATTTGACTATAAAATTTGAAATGGATAAAATCTGCATACAGGAATCATAGATTATAAATCTTTCTATTACATTTATATTGCGTCCTACTCAAAAATCGGAACTTCGAAACCCGGCCTGCTCTTGCTCTGCTCTTTAAAATTTATATTTTATACTCTCAATAACACTTTATTGTACATACAAATAGCATATTGTTTCAACGCAAAAAGCATAACACCATAGGTTACGTTATTGTGTTCTGAAATGAGTTTGTCTTACTGAGATTTTGTTTAGCTAATTTTACAAACTGCAGTGCTACTGTGTACCAAATAACTATGACGTGATCTAAGGATTAATATCGTTTGATACCCGTAGCAATGTCGTACTTTTAATTATGTGGCGCAAAATATTGAAGTCGGTATTAAAATTGACTGTTTTAAAATTTGTTAACAAATATATGTAGAAGTATAATTCAACTCAATTTTTAAGGTACGTGGATCTTATACAAGATACGTTCAATGTATGGCTAGGCCTAATATTGTTCGCTACAATGATACAAATATGCAACTGCATGTATCATATAACCGAGGTAAATAAAATTCATACACTTTACGTGAGTTTCATACGAACAATAGAACAGAATACGAAATTCTACCCGTATCATTTCGACATCCGTCGTACCACAACTGAGAGATTTTTAAGGCAGTTTTTGCCGCGCATCATCACTATATGGAACCAGCTATCCATTGAAGTATTTCTGAACCAATTCGACTTAGAGTCCTTCAAGACAGGACCAGACTTGCAAGCCTTCTAGCAGTGAGTGTCCATGGGCGGTGGTGTCACTAAACATCTGGTGAGCGTGTTGCTCGTTTGTCACTTGTTTTATTATAAAAATACCCCGGGTTTTAAAAACGAAGCGTTTGCGGTTGGCTTACTCAGAATTGTCTTTCTCAAGTTACTGAATGTTTTTAAAATTCCTTTGTTACAGGGTTATGAGCTGGATTTACGATATATTATATTCATAACTGGTACAATCATTCATATATACCTACCGTGTCGATATTCAGCAAAGCTAAAATATATGGTAATTTTTGAAGTTATACTCCTTTAGGCGCGTTATGAAAAATTGATAAGAGTGAAATTTTACGATGCGCGCACCGTGACACAAAATTATCAGTATGAAGTTAGTGGCGCATATTGACACGCACGCCGCCTCTGTTCACTGTGTATTTATATTTATAATATTTATCCACATTCGTTGAGTTTCTACATTAATTAAAACACGTGTTTTCATTATACAAGTGCGAATTTTATATGTGCGTCTGAATTATAATCAGAAGTAATTTAAATTGAATATTTAAATCAATACTAATTAATATTAGAAAATAATAATAAATATAATATTAATAAATATTTATTTATTTAATTTTTCAAATGTAAACTGAACTTTATTGACAATAATGACTCCTTTTCCAGTCTTTGATTATTTAATTGTAATTAATTATTTTCATGCAATCAAAAACTATTTTTAATAATACCAAAGAAGTATAACTTCTTACGCGCGTACATAAGTACACGCATCTTTTTTTTATATAGTTTCCGCCATTTATAACTAAATGACATAAATACCGAACCAATAATTTCTCACACACTATTACACAATTTCCCGAGTGAGTTATATTTTATAGTATAATTAATTATTATAATTCATAAACATTATTGCGATAATTAATTCTGATTAAATTTAAATTAAATATAATAGAGAGATTTAAAGACTTTAGGAATAATATCTAAAGGCACTAGTGTTGCGCACCTCATACATGAGGCACCTCAAATGTCACACTCAAAGTTGTAAATTGTCCCATCTGCATCACCTCAAACACACATTTTGTACCGCTTCAAACTCGTTGAGGTAGTTGCTATTATTTTTACATATGATTTAATTTTTTAAATTTAACTTTTCTTACATTTTTTAGAATAAAAGGTATTAAATAAAAATAGGCATCTATTTTTTTATGTAATACCTATTTTATTTGTTTTTTCGTTTCATATACAGGTGGTTCAAAAGTTTTAATTAAAATTATTAATATCTGTGTGGATCGAGATAAAAGTGGCTTAATATTTTAACTTCATTAATATCAATCTAAATTTATTTATTAATAATCGAAATAATCCGAAATATAGTTTTATTTATTAAAATATCAAAAGATATCTGTTACATCATTTGTCATGTGGCAACATGAGTCACCTCACTTCACCACACCTCACAACCACACGTATGACGTATCGTACATAAAGGTACTAACAGTACAGAATGAGGTGATACAATGTACCAACTCATTTTATAAAATGAGGTGGGACATACAAACACTTCAATTTCGTTTGTCCTACCCATCACTAAAAGGCACTGAAATCTGAATTAATAAAAATGAATTCGAGAATAGACTTGAAAACAGTTAAAACTTAGAACTCTTCAGAAAACCCTATTTTCAAGAGACTATATAATTTAATAAAATATATGATGGGCCGATCCCGGCGGCACTGCAATGCCGGGCCGACCCGTGACAGGAGTGGAGCGAGCCCCGAACATCCCGTCGTTTTCCAAAAATCAGTTTAATATACTGGTCCCGCTATGCGGGAACTTTCAGATATTAAGCTGAAAAGAACAGATACTACACTTTGATCTTAGCCAAAAGGCCGAGAAGCGATACAGTAACAAATTACTCTGGAGTATATAAGGCAAAACGGAATTAATATAATAGCGTGTTTTACAATTAGCGGTACAGCATTGACTGCCATCTACACGAAGTTTTCGCAACTATATTTTATTTGTAATAGCGCCCTCTATGGAAAAGTATAATATTTATTTGTGCTGCTGTTTACGAACGAAAGAAGAGGTTTCTATAAAAATCCGACAAGACTTCATAATGTTACGTATATAACAACAATTTTAGTACAGATTCAATAATTTGATATATTACTATAATGTACTAAAATTAACACACAATTACTTTACAATGGTCTAACAAAGACAGTTTGTTGACAAAACACAAATATGAGTTAAAATAAAAATTCAACAAAATGATATCGACGAAAAACATTTTTAGTCCGTGGAAACGGCAACACTTTTCTACATTTCTGGTTGGGAGCACGTAAACAACATTCCAATAAGGAAAATGGTACTCTTCATGGTTGCGCGTGCGCAGGTACCATTGGAGATCACAGCTTTCAATAAACTGATATTCGACATGGATCTCTTTGTTTCGGTATGTAATTTTTTATAAAATTTATCTTAAATCATTAATCATTTAGTTTTAGCAAGAAAATGTAAATTTTCTATATGAAACTACGCTCGTAGCAATTACGAATTATATAATACTAGCTAACCCGGCAAACATTGTTTTGCCATGAACCTATATTATTTCTAAGAAACATATTTTAGTTCAATAAAAATAAATGTTAAAAGTACCAACGTTTTACATAAGCTACAATTTAATGGCATAACCACCAAAAAAGTCACCATGACTGGTGTTCTCCTACCGTTTCCCTTGAATAGTTTGCTACTATGTTATATAACAAAAACCACAGCAACGCTTGGCCGGTCTGCTAGTAGTTTATATAAATTTGTTTGTTTCAGATATTACAAACTTCTTATTCAATGTACACGCTGTTGCGATCTTAATTTATTAAATTAAAAAGTACATCCATTTATTTATCATATATAAAATGCAAAGCTTTACCGGCACCAGTATTCAATAGAACCCTGTGTGGTATGGTATGGTTGGTGAACTCAGTTTTCGCACTTAGACTCTGGTAGTCCTGGCTAACAAAGCCAGCCTAGCTCCTCCCAGAAGCACAGAAGTCTCCTGGGCACTTCAATGAGCCTGCGTCTCCGAGGATTTCAATAAAACCCTATAGTGATTGCAATCCCAACTATAATGTTGCAATCAGGTATTGAGAACTACACCGATATTGCATACTAAAATCGCTGTTCCATTAGAAGTTACAGAGTACGCTAACTGTATTTCATGCTACATTAATAATTCACAGACTACAGACTCGTTGTTAAAGCCAAGGCCGTACATTTTGATCATTCAGGCTTTCTTAGTTATAAGCGTTGCGATTTCCTAAATCGTCGGAGTTACGCCCCGAGAGTATAGTCAGACGTAGACACTGTCTTTAACTGTTACATTGCATTCATTCGTTACATAACAATAAACATTTCATTATTTCGCTTATATTCTATTGTTGTACGTAAGTGGTTAATATAGAGTAAAAATAAAATCGTCTATTATTTTATGCACCCCGATGGCTCAGCAACCGTACACTCGTATTGCCCTTTCTTTGTTATCAAGTTATACGTAATTAGTAATGTTCGGATATTTTGAAGTGAAACTTCTTTAGGCGCAAAATTTTTAAGGATGAAACGCAATAATAATAATATACGCTAATATTAGCGTCACGAAGATGTGCAACGTTTTTGTCGAAGAAAAGGGAGAGAGCTATTGAGACCGATTAAGAGAGAGAGTGAGAAGGGCAAATTACCTTGTAGAAATTCTATTTTTGAAATTAAAATTTCGTAAAGAGAATTTATGAAATGTTAGTAACTTATATTTTATTCAAAATAATTTATTGAAATCTCAGATGACGAAATGTAAATTAAAATGACACGTGTTTTTATTATCGAAGAATTAAATATAATTTGTATTAATTTTCGACACTTATAATATTTTAATGACAATTAAATTAGTTAAATTCCTAACATATCTTCCTTTTTCCCTCCCTCTTAGTATCGGAAATCTAAACTTTCAGATTTGTATACATATGAACAAGACTTAAAAAATTGTTTGCCAAAGAAGTTTCACTTCTGACATGTGTACTTTGTACGCACGCACTTTTTTATTATATAATAATATATTATAAAATAATAAATCTTAACATTTACTTCGGAAGATGTCACGAATTCTATTGTAAATCATAAAATCTACTTACCGCAGCGTTTGTGTGGTAGAAGAAGTCATGGAGTATATCGAATATGGATGTCTCAGAAAGAATAAGCTTTTGAAGATTCTCCGGATGGAAGTCATGACCGTACATGTCAACTGCTGACAAGAATATCGACTCCATTTGGTTGTGACGTAATTCGTACGCCGGTTGATGGGCTGCTATTAAAACCTGGGAAGATACAAAGATATATATTTTAGATAGAAGATATATATAATTATATATATTTTAAAAGAGTACCGAGAGTTTTTTACGCCGGCCTTTTCTCTCGGCCTACACCCTCGTGTCTTCTTTGCCGATTGGTAGGGATGCCTACAGATTCAAATCTAATGACGTGGAAAAAGTGATACCTGTATCTTATGTTCGATAATAAAAATATTTTCTTTTTATTTTATTTTTATAAATATGAAAAATGGACGGTTAAAGAAAAAAAAAATTGTTTTAGATATGACTGTAGAACATCACTTTGCTCCATCGTCAATAATTTCCACAACCTACGATTAGGTTTTTTTATTAGTGCTTTTATATCACCTTGGGTTACATCAAAATTTTCATACTGATAACGTTTTTCAAAACATTCTACAGTCTATGTTCATATTCATGAACTATAAATGGTGGAATAAATTTTCAAATCAGTAGTTTTGGAGCATATCCAATGCAAACTAACAACCAATTCTTCTTTATAATATTAGTGTAAATAGTGTAGTGAACTCTAAATGTCTACAGTTGAAATTTAAATGTTAGGATACAAGCACAAAAAATTGACTAATTAAAGACATTTCCCTAGCTTGTATATTCTTGATCTAGATTTATTGCACCCATAGTTTTACAGACATTTATTTATTTTACTGAGAAAATGATTGATTAACCGATAGTAGGTAAGTAAATGGTTAAATATTGTTGATGTCTCGAGGCTTCGTACTAAGTACTATTTCGAGTTTTGGATACATATTTTCAGCGCTAGCGCGATAACGTTTGTTTTGAATATTTAACATATGCCATGTTAAATATTGCTAAGCGATTATCTTTCATAAGGCTTGACCAGTTTCATAATAATAAATAAAATAATAAAAACTTTATTTATGACAAAAGGGTTGTAACTGAATTCATTTATCGCTAGTCTCCACACTAGGGAGGCCCTGTGTTGTGGGTAACGAGAAAACAATTATTACGTGATACATGTTTAAAACAGTTAAAAAAATAATAAATAATAAATTTAGTGTTACAAATTAAGTGAATGAGAAAGTGTTTGAATGGGTGTGTATGCGCATGTATTTGAGAGTGTAGCTGAAAGTTGTGTACTGTGTCTGTGTTAGTTTTTGAAACCTCAAAGTCATACCAAGATATGTACTAATGCCTCTGTAGATTCGAATACTTTCGATAACTTGTATCCTTCTATTAAAATATAAGTGGTACACTGATGTTAGTACTAAATTCGACCGTTCAGATTCTATTCCTTGTAAAAGCTCAAAAAGCTAGGAGAAATTCCTAGAGACACAAGAGATATAAGGACAGCAACCACTTTTACGCTTATATATAAATACATAAACAATATACCTGTCTCGCTCTAAGCGCCACTCGGCTGTGTTCGGCGCGATGTAACGAAGTGAGTTCGTTGAGAGTGGCCGCTAGTTCGTCCGTCAAACCCGGCTCGTTGGACCAAAGGTGGTCGATCAGCATTGTTACCTAAAAATCGTATTTATTATAGTTTCAACAGTGAAAACGATTATACACAATAACATTGAGTACAATTCCAAACAAGCAATTTTGTATAATCCAGCCATCAATGTACAGAAATGTTTTTTTATGGACCGCAAGTGCATAATGAAACACTTGAAAAAGTTCTTGCTCTAGAATACTCCAGAAAAAATAAAATCAAAAAGGTTGTTAACAAAGAAAACGTATCAACATAAGGAATACATCTTAATATATATAAATAACGCGTCACGTTGTTTGTTCGCTATGGACTCTTAAACTACTTAACCGATTTCTATGAAATTTGCACACCGTGTGCAGTTTGATCTAACTTAAAAGATAGGATAACTTACATTTTAATTTATACCCGCAATATTATTTTATTATAAATTATTTGACAGTCACAATTCTAACAAATGTCGATTAAAAGTACCAACGTTTCACATAAGCTCCAATTTAATGGTATAAACACCAAAAAAGCAATGTGGTCCCCATGACTGGTGTTTTTTTACCGTTTGCCTTGAATAGTTTACTACTATGTAATATAACAAAAACCTTTAGCCACAGCGACGCTTGGCCGAGTCTGCTAGTTATTTTATAAATAATATACTGCAATCCGAAGACATTCACGGCTATACCTAACTCATTTGTTCCACAAGAGCAGAGGCAGTACCAGGGGCAGAGGTTTAGAGGTTATGAGTAAATCAAGATCCTCTTTACTTCAACTGAGTAAGAATGTTTTCACGGCTTCTAGTGTCAACTTTAGTTCACAACTAAATAACGATAATGGTAAGTATATGCTTACCAATAAATTCTTCTTAGCAACTTGGTTGTGCGAGAATATAATATTGGCAACGACCTGCATGTCATCCTTGTATCGGTCACGGAGCGCCATCACGCATTTGTCGTATGAACCTTTAACAAATAATTTTAATATTTGGTGAGTCTTCCTTCTGTCTTCTCATTGATGATCTTTTTCGAAAGATCAGAAGACTATTCACCTACTTTTATTAACACAACATACAGATAAACGGGTTACATTAGTCTTTTTCTCACCAAGACTAAATACAGAAAAAAATGAAATCCGTAAAAATAAACAAATAATCATTTTATAAAGTAGTTTTTATCAACATAGGTTTTTTATACGATAGACCAAACGAGTCTACTGGACGCTCAGCAGTGATCGCAGCCTATGAATATCCATTTTAATGGGTGCGTTGCCTTTGAGGGCGGAATATGGTGCCAACATTGTGCAAAAATTGCTCTACTAAAAATAATGGAAAATAATTATAAACAAGACAATAACAACTCCTTCAAGGTTTATTGCCAGTTCTTCTCTTCCGTTCTACGCCCTTTGAGAACTGGCAGTAAAAGGAAAATTAGAAGCATGTAATGTATATTACGTTTTTGACGTTCACAAGTGTACATTGTTTTTGTTACCCATATGAAGAAATGATTTTTGACTTTGACTTCATACATAACGCATAAGGTCCATTTTCCTTTCCATAATATTTAATATTTTTTGTTAGCCCAAATTATAGGAATTAGGTAAATAAGTATAACATATTTTTCGCGTACTTTTTTTTTAAGGAAAAAATATCTTGAAATCTCTTACCGAGTTGGAAGTGACTTTCATCTTGATAGTATTGCTTCAATAGATCATGCACAGCTGCCTTCATACGTCCACGGATACCGTTTCTTTAAAAAAAATGAAATATAATACTATTATTAATATATATGATGCTTGGTCAGAGATAAGATTCGTTGCTTTCCTTATTTAAATTTCCTTGTATATTATGCAATATCGTAAAAACCATATCGCACTAACAACCTGAATAGGCTGTTATCGCGAGGTATTAAATTTGTTGTTGCGAGTGCGTTCCCGACGTTCAGAGTTGGTATATTTTAACTCTACAAAATTAGACAATCTCGTGGGAGAGAAATATTGAGCAAAAAGATTTAATGGACAAGGGACATAAAGCGTCTTTCATCCGAACTAAATTTGTTCGTTTAATTTAAATGTCGTGCTTTCTCTGTGTGTTACAATTATAAATTATATTGTATTGGCAATTGAAATAATGGAAGTTTCCCTCCCGCCAATTGTGTGATTTGCTCAAAAACAAAGTATTATAGTGCATTATATAAATACGTTGAAAATACCGTAGGGATGATTTAAGAAAACAAGTGGAACGTTAGAATAACATATCTCGCAAAATTAAAAAAAAAATATATGTTCTATAAGTGAGTCGTGTCTTTATATACAAAAACAACATTATTATAATCTTAAATATTAAATTACACTCACCTATATCTCTGTACGAGCAGAACTAAAGCCTGTGTGCTCATGAAGAATACATCACGATCTGCGCGTTTCGTGAGAGATGCAGCATGACTGGAAAAAAATCATAAGTTTTGTTTAGCTTTGCATAATACTTAATAGTTATCTGTCTGTAACAGTCTCCTGCTGATCACGATTGTAGGCAAACATCGAGTCATGTAGATAATGTTCAATGTTCACTTTAAAAATGTTTCATTTAAATGCTAATTAAATATTACTATATTTTTAATATTATAGTTACTAATTTTTTAACAAGTATCTTAGCTCATATCAGATATTTCGTCATAGTCGTCGTAGAATAGTGACGGATCTGAAAAATAGTAAACTTTACAGGGCAGCCATTACAAAATATGTAATATAATCATGTTACTTTTTTTCATAACAATTTTAATTAATATTCTGTTATTATGAAAATTGGCATACAAGCAAACAAAAGGGTTTGTTTTGGAACGAAATAAAAATAGATAACATTAAATATCACAGCTTTCTAGAAAAATCACATGTTTCTATCAAATCCGTCACTTTACCGTCTGATTAATTTGAAATTTAAATATTTAGTCTATGTAGTATCCAAATATGATAAAAAGTGGATTTTGTTTTTTTTTCAAATCCGACATTGTTTTACGATCATGACAATTTATTTAAAGCAAAAAATAATGCCAATAATAATTGTATACACTATCTAAGCGAGTCAATCCATGATGATATATTTAATAATTTAAATACACGCAACAACAGTCTAAGTCAGTGACGTAGTAGTTTTAGGTTGAAATAGAGTTAATAGCCTCCTACTTCAGTTTTTTAAAATATTTAGTTTAAAATATGTACTATACAAATCAAAATATATAATACTATAAAAACTAAGAGCGATATCTGGGAGAAAATAATTTCTTGAGAGCATGGACCCTAATATATTTCTATATTACTAGCTATCATAATATATTACCCTTATTTATTAATATCAAATACTCACTGATCAATAACGCTAGCGATTTGCTGGCTGGGGAACTGCGCGAGCACACTTGTGATATTTCGCTCATACAACGCCATTAACTTCCGGACTTTCTTCTCCACGGACAGAGGAATTCTACCGGAAGTAGATGATAGTACCTGTTACACATAATTGCAGTTTTAAATTTGAATATTTATTTGTTTATTAGAATTTTTTTCGTATGTAATATGTGTAGGTTCAATGTTAACAAAAGGTGAAGCGTTGACAATTGATGTAATAGTAATAGTAATTTTTCCTTTCAATGGGTTTAACGCCTTTAGTACACCTACGCGTTCGTATGCGGCTGCGAATCTTTGCGAAATAATTGCGGTAGCAAAATATCTGCGGTAGTACACTGCAGGTTTTTCGCAAGGATATGCACTTTCGTGTGCTTAGGTCAACGTTTTCAGAAGGTCATCTGAGTCGTCCCAGTGTAGCTTTCATAGAGATTTTATATTATTAATTCGGGATAATTTCGAATCAAATTCAATAATAATTCAATTTTTCCGCCCCCCTTTTTGCTTTTTTCCCCGTCCTCCTAGACAGAACTCGTGGTGACGCCTTGCGATGCGAAACTCCAGTAGCGAAACGTCTGCGTCTGTGTAACAGCCATTTCGCAGTTAGTTGCGAAACAATACCGACAAGGACGCAACTATTTCATCTAGCTATATATTAGAGCGAGACAAAACACATGCGAAACGTTGCCATACAACTTACAGTTTTTTCGTCGTTTCGCTGCCGCATGCGATTGCGTAGGTGTACTAAAGGCGTAAGTAACGAAAATTACGTGAAAATGTATTGAAGTCATAGTTCGCTCTAAGAATATTAGGGTAAATCACCAGAATATATGTTATATATATATTATTGCATTAAAATCGTATTTTTTATAATTTCTTCATAATTTTGTTGACGAAGTTCATTTATGTAAAAAAATTTTAGTGTAGGCATTTTATTTTCGTAAATATTTCAGTTTCCAAAATTTTTATTTACACGTGATCGATTAGAATTTTCAAATATTCCAATAACCTACCTCCTGTAGTTCCAATAATGGTAGAGAAGGATCACGAAGACTTTGCATGAACTTTTCCACTACTTCTCTCAAACGGGGCGTGTTGTATGGATCCGGAAGACAAAAACCTATAAAAACATATTTCTTTTATCTACTATATATGTACCTCGATTTTTTCAAAAATACTATCTCTTAACTGTAATTCGAAGCTTAAAAACTGTATATATGTCGCTTTTAATTTATATATAACAGAAAAAAACTGTGGTTTTCATATTTGGTGATTACGTCAACAGTAATTATTTACTTTTTTACACACAAGACACATTGTCTATGCTTAGAAACGATTCGAAAAAAAATTAATACGTTTAGGTACTTTTATTTTTGAGAGGAGAGGTGGGGGGGAGGGTTAAATAGCAGTAAATCTGCTTACGTAATACTTGAACGGCCCCTAACACATGAATATTAATAACAAAAACGCACACAATTTGGTACTTAAGATAAGTTTTGGATCTTGTCAAAAATATTACTCACCGGCCAATGTATTCTCCAAAATAACTCTATATTTGATGTGCGCTTGATTCAGTTTCTCAGAAAGAGATGTATTGTCGCCCAGTGGGAACTGACCCTTGTAGGGCACAGCCGTCGTTACTAGCGAGGGGTCATCTAGCTCTGAAATTATTATTTTTTATATTTAGAAAAGAGTGAGATGTATACGGAAACGAGAGATCAAAAAATATGTTTTTACTAAAATTAATTTACAAATGAATATAAGTAGCTTTCTTATATTTTAAATAAATATTTTAATTAACAAATTCATATTTATTTGATATTTAAGAAAAATATTATGTTTAAAATTTGTTTATGTTTAAAAATTACAGTAAATAGAAAGGCGAGGCACTTACCCAAAGTGCCCATAAGTGATCCCTGATCTAGTACAGCACCAGGTCTCATACACCAGCTGACGTTACCGGCTTCCGGAGCTGATAGAGTCATCACCATTTTCATTACCTTAAAACATTAGATGAAATTTACATATTTTATTTTGAGAATTTTTTTAAAGAGTTTGAAAATCAAACATAATTTTTATTTATTTATAAATTGATTTATCATTGAAAACATATTTTGTATAGTCAAAAAGACCCTTAATTCGAATGACCCAGTGGGAAGGAAAACGAGAGGACGGCCACTAGAAAGCTGGAAAGATGAAATAAGATAAAGCGAAGATGAGAGACAGATGGAAGAATTTGGACGACCTTCCGTCGGAGGTCGTGTACTAATATTAAATATAATAACATACACTTTATGCAATCCTTAGTATACTACTCGAATATTCTATTTTTTTTAAATTGTAATATACACTTCTATTTACACTAACTAAATCAGTCTTAATGGAACGAAGTTCTCAGACGGGGCTAGACGGGAAAAATTAAGACCAAAAGTTGTAACGACACTTTTTGCTATAGGTGTAAGCCGTGTGACGTGCGCGTGTTTCTCTGTGTCTCTCTCTCTCATAAAAAGCAAGCCAGTCATTTTCGTTACGTCTTTCTATTTCGCATTGAACAGTGTGATGTCAGGACGATTATTTTGTTAATAAAAAAAATATTATTACAACTAAAAAAAAATATTACAATTTCTTCACTAATTAATCAAGTTTTTTTTTAAATAAAGTCCTACAAGTAGCATTTTCTCTCTTTCTCTTAAATTGTGTTTCCAGCGTGTTGAAAAAGAGACAGATAAATACTTTCTTCAAAATGTTTCAGCTTTTTTACAAATAAGGGGGTTAGAGTTTTCTAAAAAACCCTTTACTAGCAAAGGACCTAAATTCGTCTCTTGCGCATTTAATGACGTCTTTAAAACGAAAACGTTTGTCGAAACTTTCAAAACTTGACAATTTAAGGACGTCAAAGCATTATACGAATTAAAATCACCTCAATCTCCGCGTACGGTTGCCCCTTATCTACATGTCCACCATCTTCCACCAGGCAATTGATAAGTTTCCCTGCAGATGGCGCTCGTAAATTCGAAGGGTCCTTTTCCTTTTCGAAGACAACGGTCTGATTTCCAATAACAATACGGTATTTATCGACTTCTTCTTTAAGATAACTCGTGTATGATGCACCGTCCACGGAAAGAAGTGTGCCTTAAAAAAAAATTGACCGAGAATCTTACTAATCAATTATATTAAGTAATCTGTTTAGTAAAGAGGCTAGGCTGTTGATTGAACGGCTAACTAAGCTAGTTGGCTGCGACATATATTGTGTCTATGTACGAATGCGTCTAAAAATTGTAACAATTATTATCATTTAATAAAGTATTTCACATTTCAGACCCTTTTTGATGTTTTACATGTTCAAAGTTTCAGTTTTAAAAGCTCCGTTTGTTTTTTAATCTTATCCTTTTTATTGTACGGGTAGGTACTTAATATATATGTATAAAATAAAATGAATATATTATTCATATTTGATTGAGCAGTGTTGGCCTAGTGGCTTCAGCGTGCGACTCTCATCCCTGAGGTCGTACGTTCGATCCCCGGCTGTGCACCAACTTTCTTTCTATGTGCGCATTTAACATTCGCTCGAACAATGAAGGAAAACATCGTGAGGAAACCGACATGTCTTAGACCCAAAAAGTCGACGGCGTGTGTCAGGCACTGGAGGCTGATCACCTACTTGCGTATTAAATTGAAAAATGATCATGAAACAGATTCAGAAATCTGAGGCCCAGACCAAAAGAGGTTGTGGCGCCACTGATTATTATTATTATATTATATTATCATTAGTTATGCATATAATTATAACTACGACATGGCAAATGTTGTTTTGCCATGGATATTATTATGGATGGCGTAGTCTTTCTCTTTCTCGAATTTTGTAAACGTTTTTGACATTCATAAGCATGCCCTAAGACGCATCTAAACATTTACATGCGTATTTTGATTTGATTTCTAGGAAACATTTTTTTAGTTAATTAAAAATAACTATCTACAATAATAAAAAAAGGGGTTCATCGAAGAGGGGTGAAAATTTATTTATTAAATTATTGTGTGTTTTGTATACTGTATCATAAAAAAATGGTTTTTCAAAAAATAAAAATTTGTTTGGGGTGGACACCCCTTATCAGTTTGGTGTTTGAAATATAGATAGTAGCCGATTCTCAGACTTACTGAATATGCATAAAAAAATTCATAGGAATCGGACGAGCCGTTTCGGAGTTGTATCAGAACGAACATTGTGACACGAGAATTGTATATATCAGATGATAAATATTACCTCCATCAGCCAATTTATGAACCTCCAATTCCTTGAAACTCCCATTAATGGCAAGGAAATAACTGGTCGGACCCGATTTGGTCACTTGGACCTTGTATTTGTTTCCACCATGGATCAACTCTACTTCAACTGTGTTTGAAAGCTGGCTTGCACTCTGGATCTGACCCCTGTAAAAAAATTTACGTTAATTTTAGGAAGTTTCTTGCCCATTCTTCTCCACACGAAACTACCTTTTGGAAGGGGCAACTTCATCATCTTTATATTTTACTCAACATTAAAAAGTGCCATTTTAGGTGGTCTAATTGGAATAAATGATTTGACTTTGAAAACTTAACCTATAATAAAATAATTAATTAATATTTTTTCATACGAGAGTGATAAAAATAAAGCAGACTTAAGCACCTAAAATCTTAAAAATCAACATTATTTAACTAAATAAGGATTATAGTACGCTAGTCTCACTTTTCTAGAGCGCTCTTGAACTCCTGGAAGTGCGTAGTAATGATGCTGTCAGCGATTAGTATGGAACCGCAAAGGACTCCTAACATCACATCAGGCTTCTCCGATTGCACCTAAAAAAAGATTTAAAAAAATTATCCAATAAACATACAAATAATATAAAATAGCATCGAATTTGATCTGAACCCGAGTATCGTAAAGGTGGTTTTTTAATTCCAAAAAACACTACGTATTTGGGAATGAATATCAGGAAATTTTATGCTTGACTCAATTTACAGTTGATTTTTATTTTTGCTTTGGTTAATTTGATTTCTCCTAATGCTTTTAAGAATCATAGTTTGATTTGTTTTGTTTTTATGAACATTTACTTAACGAATGAAAGTACGAATATTCTTAGGACCAATCAGAGCAGAGCAAATGCGCCGAGACGAGTCGGACAGGAAACAGTTTTGATTGAGTATATAAAGGAACATTGGACGGAATTGGGTCTGGTAGATTGTGATTAAAAGTGGGATCAGTGCCATGACCCCGCTGCTCGTTATAATTTAAGCTAAAGTGTGTGTAGTGTTAAAAGAAGTCTAAATTAAATGTTGCACGATAATTATTCGTGTCTTTTGTGCTAAGTGTGAGCACCCACACAACGCTATCTAAATCCGGTAATGACGATGTCAATTTCGATGGAGTGACGATATTTCTCCGACATATTTAATTACATATATACGTAGTTGGTCCCAAAGTTCTGTCACTGGCACATTATTTTTAAATTACGAACATGATTTTATAAAAAAATTATTGCATTCTATTTTTGATTGTTTGACTATTGTTTTAAAACAAAAAACAATCACTTTCCGTAAATTTTCAAGATGGAGTGGACATTGAAAGAAAACCGAATAGCTGTTATTGCGTTGCACCGCTGTGGGCACTCGGCGAGTACCATTTTCAAGTTGGACAAAAATCTATAATCAGTAATGGTCTGGTTTGTGTACTGTCCTATTGATAGGGACATCACTGAGGTTGTTTTCCAAAAGGGAGTCAGAGCCAGTGACACAAAGCCAAGACTACTCAAGACCTGGTTTTGGAGCTTGTCAAAGACATGCCGACCTAATTGGGACATGACTTGGCCTGTCCTCCAGTCCAGGACTCTGCCTTGGACTATAAAATTTGGCAGGTCTTAGAGAGGAAGGTCTGTGATAAACCCCATAAAAATTTGGAGTGTCTGAAGTCATCTTTAAAAAAAGCAGTCACTGAAATCGACATGAATATGGTGCGTGCTGCGATAGACGACTGGCCGCGGCGCTTAAGGGCCTGTATTAAAAATAAGGGTGGTCATTTCGAATAATTTTATGCTATTTCTATTTCTTAATTTATGTACTATTAATTGATATATCACTCATTAAAAACTGATCAGTACTTTAGTTTTTATCATTATTTCTATTTATGACAGAACTTTGGGACCGACTACGTACATAGTTTCACTGATCACTGAATGGTGGTTTACGGGACTTAATTAGTATTTAATTAATGCTGCTTCTGTTATGTCACTCATTCGAGCACAGTTATCCCATATATAAGGGGAACTATACTAAGTTATAGTCTGACTTCCAGACGTAAAAATGTATTCGATTTTAACATATGGGAATCAGTCTCGTGTTTGAAACTCACCCTAAGCGTCTAACAAAATATCTTACAAAACGCAAATTTTATGAAGTGAACTTTTTTAACTTACCCTTTCAGCGATCAACGCATCCAACCATGCCGTGTCAATATTATTTTCCTGAAAAGCCTGCGTCTCCAAGAGGGTGATGAGATACTCCACTGTAGTACGGAAGTCACCACGGATGCTCAACTCTTTGAGTGCTATCACTAGGTTTCTGCGAACATACAAAACAAATTATAAAAAAAAATCAAACCCGGTAGATTTCGAGATATTTATTGGGGCTTCTATGACCTCATATAACGCGTTATGTACAAATGATTGGCGTTTAACTTTTCTCGTAAAAGGGAATTGAAATCGAATACCTACTAATAAAAAAACTATGTTATGAACGATGCGCGTACTAATCATTATAAATTTCACAGTACAAAAATAAAACGAAATAAATCTCCGCGTTATATGGAATACCTGTGTTATACCAGTGACTGAAATCGCGTCATATGAAAATGCGTTATAAGAGTACCGTGTCTAATGGTTACCATACGTAGTTTATTATTTTAGATTTACTCCCAATTCCCAAATCAAGGGCGTCAAAATTACCAAATATTTTTTTTTTAGATTGAAGTATTAGTAACCCAGACATTTTTCTGTTATAATATGTTAACTAATATGGATTCCATGTTGCGTTATAAACCATGTCGGAAATTTTTAAACCCTTATAAAATTATTGTACCAACCAAGGCCAAGTGTGTCAAAGTTAAAGCTATTTATATCTGTAGCATCCACTACTGAAATGGAGTTTAAAATTCGGACATAGGGCAGATAACATAATACTACCTTTTAGGGCTGACACACAAATTTATTTGACCCCTCGTGCCCTACAAAATAGAAGGTAAACTCACTCTCTAGCCTGTTCCCTTGTCTCTCCCCACGAGAAACAATGCCCAAATTGGGAATCAGCAAACTCGTGAAGACCACCAGAAGCGGCGACACTGAAGTAACCCCACACGTTCTTCGACGAGCGGAAGTTCAGCTCTTGGACTGTACCAGACGATGGTTTGAAACCTGAAAAAGAAAAATAATAATTTATTAATCAACAGATGGCGTTGTACATGTGTAAAACGCGATAGCAACGATGCCATAGCGTTCCTCCTAAACTCTTTAATTTTATTAAGTTTTATTGTAGATGTTTACAAAATATATAGTAATATAAGTGTGGTATAGTGAGTAAGAAGTTGATCTAATACAGGGATGCCAACCTGGGAGTTTTCCCCCAAATTTAGGGGGAATGAAGATGCCCAGGGTCTTTTTTTAATATTTTGTTTTCTAAAAACGCGCGATTTTTACAATTTATACTAAGCCTCGAAACTAACGAACAAACTTAACCAAATATAAACAAACAAATATCCTAGCGTGACAGTAACTGAAATATGAAAAAACTATAAAACTACAAGATCGAAATAACAGCTATTTTATAATACTCTGTATTTATAATTCATATTAGAAAATAACTCTCAAACCGAGTGTACAATAAAAACCGTTATTTTAAATCGATATTTAAATTTATGGCCCTAGGGGGAACATTCTGTAGTTGGGATTACTAATCTTGTGTAGTATATACACCGTACCGTTGCACCGTGCGTCAGGCAAACTTCCAATATAGTACGTATAATAATAAACAAAATAAGGAACACGGTACATATAATAAGATTATGGTTCTTTGTATAAGGTATATCTATAAATATTTTTCTTAAGAATTATCTTGATCATCAATTTAAGAAATGGTTGTCTGTAAAGTCGGATTACGGACGATAGACGATAGTCGGATACGGATTAGTCTTCACACATTTAACCCACAGTTGACAGTACCGCATCAGTGATAATTATTCTTTCAAACATTCTCTATGGATGTATTCACACTTGTCAGTGTCAGTGTCGTCTCAGTACCGTCTGTGTCCGCACCGATCAACATCAAACATATTTTATCACATACACTTCGAAATAAAAAATATTATACATTTTAAAATATTCAAAATACTTTCTTTCGTCTTTAATTAATTCTTTGTATAATGTCACAATTCTCCTTCTGTTTCTCTTAACTTCCATCTTCATTACCCATTTTTTTTTTTCCTCGATTCTCTTCTTCTTCGTCTAAAGCAATGGCTATCATAGCTAATTCTGTGTTATTGAAGAGTGCCATCAAAACAATCGACTCAACCTAGTCTGAAGGGAACTCGTCACAAGACCCGAAGATCTTACTGATATGTTGAATTGAAGCACTGACGCACCACTGTAGACATACGGAACTGTAACTACTGTGCCGGAACTGTGGGTTCACTGATATGTGTGAATCGACCTTTACGTGACAACGTCATAACAAAACATTGATGAAATGATCGCATACTTATAGGAATAAAATTGAATGATATTTATTAAATTACTACTATTTTGTATGGATACAAAGAAAGAGTGAATCCTCGGAAACATAGGCCAATCGAGTGGAAGAGAGGCGCAAACGTACAATGAGCGTAACCGAACATTGCGTTTATCGATTTATCAGGCGTTTTCACGTCAAAAATTAAAAGTAAATAAATTTCAAAACAATAAAAAAAATGGGTTTAATACCTTCATCAGGATTCTCAGAAGTGATCCTAGCAGCAATAACGTGACCCCAAGGAGATGGTCTTTGTACGGGTTCATCGAAATCAATCTGAGAGCTACCCCACGGGGATTCCCCATAGAGAAGACGAATGTCCTTTATCTGGTATAGGGGGAGACCCATAGCAATCTGAAATGGAATATGAGTTGTAAAATAAAAAATATTTTTAATTCAGCTCTAAAATTTATATTAATGATGCATAATATAAAAAAGGGTTCTAAGATGTCGTCGCAGCAGTCCTATAACGTAACATGCCTGTAAACACGTAAATAAACATCAAGTTTGTACATGTTAATTATAATTTTAATCACATCAATAAACAGAATTTAACGAATAAAAACAGTCTCCAACGAATTAAAAATACAATAAAAAAATCAGTGGCGCTAAAACCTCTTTAGGTCTTGGCCTCAGATTTTTGAATCTGTTTCATGATCATTTATAAAGTAGCAAGTAGGTGATCAGCCTCCAGTGCCTGACACACGCCGTCGACTTTTTGGGTCTAAGACAGGTCGGTTTCCTCATGATGTTTTTCTTCACCGTTCGAGCATGTTATTGTTAAATGCGCACATAGAAAGAAAGTCCATTGGTGCACAGCCGGGGATCCACTAGGCCAACACTGCTCTCCAACGAATTTAAACTGCAGGGTCATTATCATATCGATTGATCCGTGAGCATTTTGTGTCACGTGACTGACGCATAAAAACAATATTGTTAATTATTGATATTTTGGTAAAACCCCCCCGCCCCCAAAAAAACCCCCCCCCCTTTTTTTTTTTTTTTTTTTTTTTTCCCCCCCCCCCCCCCAAAGAAAATTTTTTTTTTTCTCTCAATAAAAACCCCCCCCCCTTTTTTAAAAAATTTTTTTTCAATTTTTTTTTTTTTTTGGGTGCCTTTTTTTTTCCTTCCCTTGGTTTGGTTTGCCCCCCTTTTTTCCTTTTTTTTTGTTTTTTTTTGTGGTTTTTATGGGGGGGGGGTTTTTTCCCCCCCTTTTTTCCCCCCCCCCCCCCCCCTTTTTTTTTTTTTTTTTTTTTTTTATTGTATTTATGATTAATTTAACTTGACGCATCAAAAGTGTACTTGGTTACCCACTTGGGAATAAAGATATTTTGAGTTTGAGTTTGAGTTTGATATGGATATTTTGGTAAATAAATGAATATTTACAAATTATTTTCCTGCCATATAGCCAGTATGAAACATATTCAGATAACTTATATTAACACTGGCAAATAGCCTATTCCATTGTAATTACAAAACCTAACTTATTGGAATAGCCCAAGAGTTTTAGTTACTTGACTGCCGAATGAGTCGTAAATATTAAGTAACTTATGTGTAAAATCAAAGTTTATTTTAACTGTCACGCCGCGTCCGTTTAAATATTAAAAAATGGGTCATAATATTACAAAAAAAGTTACCTGTAACTGTGCAGCGGGTAGATTGACATCAGCGACCATCTCAGTGCAAGGATGCTCTACTTGGAGACGAGGATTCAGCTCCAGGAAGTAATATTGTCCAGCTATTGGGTCGTATAAGTATTCCACCGTACCAGCGCTCACATAACCCACCATTTTTGCTAAACGAACAGCGGCCTGGGAATAGTTGATTTTTTTAATAAAATATCTTATGATGGATGTAGTCAAAGACTTTGAATAACAATTATGTAACACTTATAATTTCTAAAATAATAAAAACATACAAAAGGTCAGGGGCACAGGTCAACTAGTTATTATACCTTTTCCATTTCGATAAACACGTCTGGCTTAGCAATAGCGGCGGGAGCTTCTTCGATGATCTTCTGGTGACGTCTTTGTATGGAACAGTCGCGGCCAAAGAGTGATATCGCGTTACCTGTAAATATATGTTTAAAGAACGGTTTTGCAACTATATATATATACTATATTTATATATATAGTATATATTTTTATATAAAAATTTAATTATTATAAGAAATTGCTATTGGATAGTTTTATTATTTTCTATCATTCTCTAGGCTCAGAATGTGTAAGATACACTATTCTCTCGCCCTCTTAAATAATTGTTCATAGTTTAGTAGATTTCTTTATATAATTTGTGCGTATGACAGTTTCAGTAACGTTTCGTTTCATTCTTGAAAGTTGCCGCGATTTACAAATCTATGACTTAGTATGACAGCTGTACCACACTCGTAATATATTAAATCAATAACTGTAGTAACTTTAATTTAACCCAGCAACTGTCACCCGCACCATGCTACAGCGCACATTGCTATAGTCGCATCATTTGTATAGCACAAGGCTTTTGACATTTAGCAACAATATAATTTGGCTTACTCTCGGGTCTAACTTTTTCGTGGGGAATGCGTTAAGCATACCCACTAGAACCGCCACGTACCTTGCTGTGGGACTCGCTACTATGGTCCCATTAAAACCCCACGCATCGGTCAATGCCTGGCTCCAAGTCTATTCAATCCCCACCTTTACAAATACTAATAATGCTTGCAGGGATTATAAGTATTTGGTCAGCATCTCCTCTTTCCATGATGTTAAATACTATCTGACGTCTCAACCTCGAGGTTTTGCGTTCGTATTTCGGATATAGACCAATGGATATCGGAAACTGAGTCCTTATTATACTATACACTAGCTCGTCAGATGAAGGTGACAAGGCATGCCAGAGCTGCATAGGCTATCTAACTATAACTGCATATCATAAAAACTGCAACATCGAGTTTGATGAAACTTGGGACTGTTTCCGAAGTTAAAATATACCTTATTTCATCACCTAACTATCGCTTTTAGCTTCAGTCTAAATTCAAATTATGCGCATGAAGCCGAAACAGATCATTATGCTATTATCGAATTACACATAGGGGTCGTTCAAGTATTACGTAAGCAGATTTACTGCAATTTAATCCCCCCTTCCTCTTGTAAAAGCTCCAAAATAATAGAACATAAAACTATTTTTTTGTAGGAATCCTCAAAAATTCATTTCGCTTTCAAGCATAGTGTGTAGGTAATATGTGTAAAAAAGTATTTATTACTGTTGACGTAATCACCAAATAAGAAAATCAAGGTTAAACTGACATCCTCCATTTTTTTAAGATGGTTAAAATATTGTACCCACCATACTGATCAGCCAATAGTTGTACTTCCAAGTGACGAGCTGACTTCGCTAACTTCATCACAAATATCGGTGAACCAGGTACTTCAGCTTGGACCTAGGTTTTATAAAATTGGTTTTACATTGAAATACACTAATAAAAAGCTTTAAATTGAAAAGAAATATTATTCCTAGAGTCAAAATCTATTATTTATTATTTTTATTGTTGTATATTTTTATATAAACATATATTTCAAAATTATTATTTAGTTTAAAATTTAATCTCAAGTATGCCAATCGGCCAAAAACATTAGATTTTCATTACAAACCTGTCGGAACATATTGTTGAAGTCATCTGGGTTTTCTACTTTCCTAATACCCTTTCCACCACCACCTTCTGATGCCTTAATCATCACAGGGAATCCTGAAAAGATGTCCCTTATAATATATAATACCCTAAATTTATATTTATAATGAATAATAAATTAATACTAGCTAATTTTCTCGGCATGAAGTTAAGATTTTTGATAATAATAGATTGTGACCAATACTTAATATGAAGACCGAAAATTCAGCTTTTGTACTAAAATAAACATTTTATTTTTATTATATATTTTATTAGTTAATTTCTGTATTTGATACTGTTAAGATTTTCACGTCATTTTACCTTTGATTATACGTTTTACTAAAAAAAAAAATTGTGCGTGTACTAGGTGTACACACGTAAGAAGTGAAACTAAGAAATAAGATCTTATTTTTTGAAAAATGATCTACTATGCAATTTACAGAAATTCGTCGTAAATTAATAAAGTTTAACAAAAGGCTTTTATTATCATAGAATGAATAATTCATTTTACCTTATTACTACGAAGATTATTATAGAATTTCATAATTGATAGAATTATTACTATCATTGAAAAACTGAGATTGCTACAAAATTTCTCCCATACATCGATAAAGAAGTTTCATTCCAACGCCGATAAAGAAGTTGACATCAAAAGCAACATGGGCGTAACCGAAAAGTGACGCCATAACGAAAAAATGTTACACGACATTTTTTCCAACCCCGGAGAGTTCTTATTTTAAGTATTTCCCTTTCATGTATATTTCTTACCGATTTTAGTCGCAGCTTGCAATCCCTGTTCAGGCGTAGTCACACAGCCTCTAGCAAATAATTCTGACGAAATTTTTATTTTCTTTGTGTTGTATTCGGCTTTCAATTCTGAAAGTTAAATTTATTTTGATTAATTCATTGCTACACTAAAGGTTTCAAGAACAAAAAAAATAATATTTGAATATAATATTTATATTAAAAGGTCTCTAGCAGCAATTACCTAAGAGTCCATTTCACTTTTATATTGGATCGAATATCCTTCAAAAATAATAGACAAGATTTTTTTTGTCTTTTCTATGACAATATGTCATTTCGGTAATATTGAAGTAGGGCTAGAAAAAAATCAATACTCACCACTACCACTCCATGGTAGTGTAGGTATATTAGCTGTTTGAGCTACTATGGATGAGGCAATCTTATCACCGAGAGCCCACATAGCTTTTTCAGGTGGACCTATAAAGACTACTCCAGCTCTGTGAAGAAGTTCGGGGAGTTTTGGGTTCTCTGACGCGTGGCCCCAACCGGCCCATACCGCCTTAAATAGAAATAGAATGTTAGGTATTTTTTTTAAATTATGTTTGTAAAAATGTTCGTTGAAGACTTCTTTTATACAAGAAGTATACCTCCAGTAACATTACAACGTTCACGACTTCGAATAACAACTATTATAAAATACTAGCTGACCTGGCAAACGTCGTTGATCGTAGAGGGGTGAAAATTAGGGGTTGTATGTATTTTTTAATGCTGTATCATTTAAAAAAAATATCTAAAAATTAAAAAAATTTTCGGGGTGGACCACCCTTAAATTTAGGGGGATGAAAAAAAATGTTTTCCGATTCTCAGACATACCCAATATGCACACAAAATTTCATGAGAATCGGTTAAGACGTTTCGGAGGAGTTTAACTACAAACACCCCGACACGAGAATTTTATATATTAGATTAACAATTTAGTTTTTCGTTTCTGTATTTTGCCTATAAAAAAAAATGATAATGACTACAAATAAGTTTAGGCTCTCAATTGAATTTTAGATTGCGAGTTTAGGCTAATTTTCTCTGTACTACAAGACATACAGAGTACAAGCTAGTTACAATTTAACCGCTGTTTTGGTTACTGCCAAGTTTACGAAATTAAATTAACAATTTATGTTAGTAAAATTTATGAAATCAGCTTATTTTTAATTGGTTGAAAATAACCGGGGTAGGTTTTCTCTACGTGTAACTAATAAGTAATAACTATTAAATAATGACAATCAGAATATTAATATGGCCTTTACGGCCGTTCAAAAATTGCCATAGCGGACGGTATTTCACGTCCACACGGCGGGGTATTGGTAAAGTTTTCAACTAGCAATAATCGCACCTCGGATAAACCTCATTGGTTACGATATTGCCTCTGCGCAAAGTTAAATAAGTTAGCAAACTCAAAACACTATATACTATTTATGCATGTCTGTAACACCGCGATTCAGAGGACTACTAACGCCATCTCTTGGACATTTAAAAAAGTTTAGTCAATTTGACTCAGACCTTCCAATACTAGCGAGTTGCGGGTTGACGCTCTTAATACATAGTTGGCGTTATATTATAGCGACTTACCTAGTGCCCTATCTATCTTTAAACTAAACTTTCTCAAAATTGCACCGAGCACAACAATATAAAAAAGGGTTTTAGTTAATGTCTTGTCAGATTCTGTAAAGTATTTATATAAGTGTTAAAATTTACCTGAACTTGAGTTCGAGTAGCTATGTCAACTATCAACTCAACATTGGCATAGTTATTGTTATTAGACCCGCCAGGTACTGGGACATAATGATCAGCCATTTTGATATATTCTGCATTTGCTTTTAAATCTTCTGGTGTTACCTTAAAAAAAATGCATACACATCTGATACACAAATAGACAAGAAGAGTCTTGTAATCCCCAATTTTTCTATCTCAATTTATATTTTTAAAAAGTACTATCAAAACCTACCTTTTTATAAATTTATCATGATAACGATCTCGTAAGATAAGCAATAAGATTTAATAACTTGTAAAAAAATTAATAAAATGTATGTAATTTACTGACTATGAAAATATGTTTTCAAATATTATACTTACCATAACAACAAAGCGCACAGCCCTCTCGTTCTTGAACATTTCGTAGGACCATCTTCGTATTGATCTCATACATTTTACAGCACCTATACCATTGTTGGCAATCAGAACCTGTAATAGGTATTTATAAACAATTATTTTTTTACTTTATTTATTACAATAGATCTGCAACTTGTATAGTGGTAGCACTTTTTCAACATCTCTAAACATTTTTAGCAAGAATTAAATTTTTTATCCTTAACTTATTAAATGATAACTATTGACTCACTTTGTTTATTGCTTTTGTTCCTTGGAATCTCCGGACAAACTCCTCTGGTGTGGCTACTGTGAAGTCTTTCTCTTGGAACCGTTGGCTGTGAATCACAGTTCCTTGAGACATTGACGGCCTGAAATAGTAAAGTTCTTTAAATAACTAATTAACTTACATAGAAATTCATTAATTGCAGGTATTTAGCATTTCTACCGTAAAGTTATTAAAATATTGTGACTTTGGGGATTAATACAATATTGAAATGATAAGGCCTTTAAAGTTGTACAATAGTATTAGGGCTAACTATCAAAATTCAAGCTTGGACACAATGCCCTACAATAGTAAGTTAAGCAAAACATTTGTTATATCATTAAAACATTTATTCCTGGATTTATACCTGTTACTCATTCTGTTACTGAAGAATATAGACAGATTAAATGTTAGAAAGTGAACTGTGTTGTACAGTGGTTGGTGAATAGGTAACAATAATTATGTCAAGTAAATAGTGCTAACTGAAAATGTAAAAAAGGATATACATAAATACAATTTAGTAATTGACATATCTTATTTTGATTATTATCATATCACCTGTGTTATTTGATTGGTTTGATAAAATCATTGAATGATGACATGAAATCTTGAAATGATAAAAGCAGAACATTTGTTATGTTAATTTGTTAAGTTATCAACAACTTAATTGTTGAAGAGATTGTACCGAATTTGCGAAAAATTAAGCTTGGCAAAAATTCCTTGGTAAATTTTGAAGTCAAAAATATTTTTTTCTTTAAGTCTCCTTTAATTTATGAGTGATTTCTACAAACACGTAAAAAAGAAAGTTAAAAGTGAAAACTTTATTTCGAATTAGGCAATATAAGAATATTCCGCACAAATAAAATGCCAAAAAGATTATTAACTGTTTAAAATGTATACTGAAAATATTTAGTTAATTTATAATATATTTAATATATGGAAAATATAGGGAATTTTCTTTAGAATTAATTTTCTAACCTGTAAGCGCTCTCCGTATACAATCCATTGATATTAGAATACATATTTCACTTAACACTTATTCAATAAATAACACATCAAAGATAGAACTCTATAATATTACTAAATTTATAATAAAAACAACAAACATCGAACATTGCTACGCCGATTGAAAATACAGTTTGTTATTATATGATTTGACACATGACATGACATAGGGCTCTCCAATCAAAATCGTAATACGAATCGTACGATATATTCACTCTCTTGCTCTAAACTCATTCGAAAGTACAAGTGTAAAAGAGATAGACTACTATAGGTAATAATTTGTGCTTGCGCCTTGCAGGAAACTGGAAAGGCATAATATATTAATTGAAATTTAGAGTTCTTATTGCGAAGAGCGATTGCATTATTTATTACACAGTGCGTGATATTATAATAGCTAAGGTTAATTCGATATCGATAAATAATTCAAATGCAATAATAACAACAACGCGCGTAATAAAACATATAAATATAGTATGTGAGAAAATGCGCACGGAGTCTACTAGTAACTAACTGTTGCTAATGAAACATTAATATCTTATTTTATTACATATTAGAAATGTTACATAAAATTACTATAATATAATTGCAAACTTATTGCAATTATAACTTCTTTTTAATTCTCCTTTAACATAGATTAGCAGTAAGCGATTTGTGTTTATTGTGCGCGGAAAACTGTTACCTGTGTATATAAGTCAGTGGCGGATTAAAACATTTGCCGCCAGTAGGCTATTCGAATTAGCCGCCCCTTCTGACCTCTGCATTTCGATACATGGACAAAAAACGGTGGACGAAAATATTTTAGAATTAAAAGACTAAAAAATGATTCTTTGTTTTTAAAAAAAAATCATATCAGACCTTTATTCTTTTTTTTTTTTTTTTTGTGGGCGGGTTTTTTTTTTTTTTGGGGGGGTCATATTACTGGATTATAAAGGTTTAGAATGAACTGATTACAGTTCATTCTAAACCTGTCCAGTAAATTTTCTGAGCTTTTAAATAATGTAATCCATGAAATCAATAAATACTAACATACATACGAATCTCTAGTAAGCAAGATACTGATATTTAACATCATTCTAAGATGTCATGTGGAATATGGTGTAATGGTTGCAGCTCCTTACAAACGTTGTGTAAAACAAAAAACTTGGCGATTAAAAAGAGTGGCGGAGAGTTTATTGCCAGTTATTTTCTTCTTCTTACGCCCTTTGAGAACTGGCAGTAAATGTAAAATTAGAAGCATTTAATGTATATTTCTTTTTAGACGTTCATAAGTGTACATTGTGTTACCTATATATACCCATATGAATTAATGATTTTTGACTTTGATTGGATTCCAAATTAACTGCACAGTTTCTAAAAAAATGGTCACACATCACAATTAATTAACTATAGGTCTACCAGGATCTGTGCAAAAGGGAAAAAAGAAATTTACGCTAGCAATACTGGGGAAATTTTTGGAGTAAAACGTTTTGTCCATAATTTTTTCCTTATAGCGGCTGATTCTGTGTGTGATACATGTAAATATTAAAAAAATTTCTCCAATGAACAAGGATAATTTTTGAAAATGTAGGCGAATGTGGGATTTGAAATTTAGATGAAAACTCAAATTACTCTGTTCATGCAGTTTATTAAATTTTAATTAAGAACTTGAAAATGGTTCCAAATACTGCACATCCATAAAAACGTCTTCAACGCAGTATTTATGATAAAGCCCCTTTCCTCCTGCATCTCAATTAACCGATCTTGATTCACAAGATTTTAGCCATTCATCGATCCCTATTTGACATACAGAGCCACATAATCTGCACTTTTCAAAATGGCCCCACTTTTTTTCTCCCCCTCCCCGCCACCCTTTTTGTGGTGGTGCGTAACCAACACAACCTTTCCTTTTTTTTTTTTTTGTTTTTTTTTTTTTTTTTTTTTTTTTAATTTAATTTTAATTTAAAACTAAAAACCAATTTTTTACCCCAACCCCAACTATTCTTTTTTTTTTTTTTTTTTTTTTTTTTTTTTTTTTTTTTTTCGCTTCAGAAACGAACACAGTGTAAAAACTCATTTATCTGCCTATTTCTGAATCAATCTAAATCAAAACTATCCAAGTTTATTTGTAGTATAAGAAAACCCTGAAATCAACAAAAGTTTAGTGCCATAAGTACATAATATAAAATAAACACTGAAAAATCCCATAAAACCAAAGTATCCCTAAGACGTGTCACTCCTACTAATCAGTCAACGCTTGCACATGGCTCAATATCGATATTGCCCTGTATGTTCTGCATCTTGTTGACCAATTATTCTTTGATAAACATTGAAAACAATTTGTCTTTCTTTTAAAAAATCTATCTTATGAAAAATTAAGAAGATTACAGGTTTCTAAACCTGTCCAGTACATTTTCATGACTTTTTAAAGGAAATTTGAAGCCAAACCAAAAACAATTCCTCAAAATTTCAGTTGACAGATGAATTTTTCTTCTTTTTATTGCCATATGAAAAATCGCTAAATTTTTAAACTTTTTTTAGACCATCAGATTCTGGTAGACCTATATATAAGAATACTTGTATGGTTGACAAAAAAAGATGAATACTTTGGAAATTACTAAGCCGGTTTGTAATTGTTTGAGTTTCCAGTAAGTAAAGTTTGGAGAAATATAATTTTTGCTGAAGCCTGATAATTATTGCTACATTTTATTTATGATTCAACATTAGAAACTGAATATCACTGCACTGAAAAAAATTTTTGCTATCGTAACAAAAGATCAGGATAACGTATCTATTTGTTATGATATCAAAACTATCTTGGTTAACACAACGTAGTGATATTTGTTGTGGTAAGTAAAGTGTAGATGCTGTTTTGACAAGTAATGTGTTGAGGTTTTTTTTTTTATTTTTCTGTTTGTAGTAAGTTTTTAGTTTTTTAATTAAATATAATATTTTAAAAGTTCGTGAAGTTTTTAGTTTTTTGACTTAAACAAAAGCTAATACTTAGCATTCATTAATGCTCGAGAACACAACATTTGATACAGGCCTTAGGTAAGTGTTTTTTTTTTTCTCGCAGCCTTAGTATTTTTAGTTCTATGTTCTGCTAACGTTCGTGGGAAACCGGCATGTCTTAGACCGAAGACTTGTCTATAAAAAAAAAACCAAACATATATGTATGTACTGTTAAAGAAAACACTTTTAACCGGATTGAAGTTATGTATTATTATAAATTTACAATTATTTTACATAATTTTAAGTTTAATTTTTTTTGTTATGTCAATAACCTTTACACAAAAAAAAAGTAACTATATATATACTGTGTAAACTATATATGTACTGTGAATCCAATACATTTATTATATATTTATATATAATTATTATTATTTCAAGTTATACATATAAAGCATACATGATATTTATTAAGTAAATTACGTGATTCAATTGAGTGTTGTCGTATCAGTATGCGTGCGGAAAAATACAGTTATATTACCTATTTATCAAGATGATCGCGAAAATGTTAAGTAATTTATATTATTATCAAAATATAAGCGTCCTTATCTTTAATTTTCATCATACATTACGAGATTATCGTTAAATAAATTAATAGAAAAATCAATCGTTTAATATGCCATAGCTTATATTTTTTGACTATCTCACATTCTTAGAATATCTAGGGACTATGTAATTCCCTTAGTAAACATTAGGGTAGGATGCAGAGTCGAGACTTAGCGTGAACTATGTCATGTCTACATCCATTACGTTGACCTATGGGGGTCATACTTAAAGGGATCATTTATTCTTTGACTCAAAACGGGACATTAGTTTAATTTAGGACAAATAAAAAGTAGTCAATGAAAAAAAACACTTTTTTAAAGTTTTTTAGAAAAAGTTAGTTGGCTTAAAAGTTACGAATCACAAAATATAGGTACCCAAAATGTTTAGTAACATTTATCAGAAGAACAAATTTGTCTTAATATAGCTGGTGATGATTTAAAATAAGAATCCGAAACTCTTCGCCCATGCCCCTCCTTTTATATTTTGCTGCTTAAATTTTCGCTGCGTGATTCTGAAACGGCAATTCTGCTGTCAACCACAACGTATCATGGGACACAGGGTAACGTATTTATTGGTTCAAGTGAGAGTCCGAGCCTAGGCGTTATACTTAAAAATGTCAACTCAAAGGCAAACATAAGTTACCCAGATTTAATGGTATATACAAATTATTATGATTATACAATAAATCTATACGTATACCTTTACACAAGACTTCATTAGTTACACTGCTGACTTTTACTAATATTTTTCTACTAAGTATTTATTACATTCCTTTTATTTCTTTTTTTGCTACTGACGCGCAAACTAGCTGCTGTGGTCTCTGGCAGAATGAATAGCGCTGTGGAACATTCTCCTCAGCATAATTCTGAGCCAATTAAAACCACAGCACACACGCACTTGAAACGAACCGAATGGGATATTTTGTTTGTTTTGGATATCTCTCGTTTTATTTTTTCTTTACAGGTATCACATTAACTACCAATCCTTTTTTTACAAGGATTTCAAAAAAGGGAGAAAGTTAGACGGAGTCATGTCACCATTCAATACATTTTTGACGTAGCGCTAATTCTATCTTTAGTCTAGTCTATGAAGATCATAGTAAATATATTTTTAATCACTGAGGCATAGTCAGATGACACACAGTACATAATCGAAAACACATTAGTTTACCATCCACATTCCTGTTTTTCTTCCTCGCTAGACCTGTGTTTAAATAAACTTATTATATATTTTGGTAAGAAGAATTAAACATTAATAAAATATATATATTACTTTTAGTTTCACTTTAGCACATCTTAAATACGTGAGTACTAAGGTCAAAGTAAGTATGACATAAAATATTTTATAACCGGTTCTCAATACTGTCAATAAAGAAAACGGCAGTGTAAATGATTTGCCTTATGACGTCAAGGTCTATACTAAAAAAGCATTAAACATTTTATTTACGATTATTTTTTTATAGAACAGGGCAAACGGGCAGGAGGCTCACCTGATGTTAAGTGAAACTGGCGCCCATGACACTCTCAATGCCAGAGGGCTCGAATTGGTTCGGAAATACTTCAGCGGGCAGCTGGTTCCACATAGTGGTGGTGCGCGGCATAAACTGCCTTAGAAAACGCTCAGTTGTGGAATGACGGACGTCGAGGTGATACGAGCGGAATTTCATATCTGCCTTGACGTCCGATGATGAAACTCAGCTGCATTAAACCGAACAGCTCCTCGACGATTAAATAGTATTTCTCTCGAATTATATTTATTTAACTCCCACCCATAGGGCGTTGCCAGGGAATCGAAAACCGCTTTTTATATACAACTTTTACAACTCCGTACCTAATTTTACCCCCCCCTGACAGTCTGTTGGCGACGCCCTAGTTCACGTCTGCTTCCCAAGATTCCACAGAGCACTTGTTACGATTCCTACCCTACAGGCCTACCCTCGAATATCGTATCCCAACTTCATCTTATCTTATTTTTTAAATGCAATAAATACCACAAGAAGAATTAATATTTATTATGGGTGATAAGAAATTTTCATTTCTCGTTTATGTTAATGAAGATTTTTTTTTGCAAAACAGTTTGAAATCTAAGTGACTTACTACCTTATCAAGTGCTTTGAGTAGAAAAAACATCGAATTATAATCCCCGTTTTTTAGGTCGGTTAAAAAAGTTAACTAACTAAAATTTCGTTAATACGTACGTCAATGTAGGCTTTGGTAATCTCAGCAATTTATTATCCTGTTCTTGTTTTTCATCCTTATTCTCATCATTTGCCTCAGCATCAGCTTCTAGAGTCATTTGAAACTTCTGAACTATCTCACTAGGAATCACATCCAAGGCTTCATCATCATAATTTGTATCATCTGTGGTCGTATCACCAAGTACGAACCGCTTCGACGTTCGTCTCTTCATCATCCCGAATAAATTTCCCACACTAGTTGATATTGATACGAAGGATTCAACCGCAAAATTCATAAATGCATCACTATTCAAAATTCGAATTAAAATTGTTCACTATTCAAATTCCGAACATCACTCATACAAATAATTTAAATTAAATATCGAACAACAAAGTACATCGAACACTGTAACGTCAAAACGCAAACTAACTTGTTAAAGGAAAACTATAAGTTAATTTATTGTACTTCCATTTACTGAATTTCTCATCAAAAAGGCTAGTGATGTCCACACGTCTGTTCGCAACAAAGATGATACTTGAAATACGTGATGTTATTAATAGATAAAACGCACGTGCGATTCGACTTATTTATATCTGATATTGCAATGATACAATCAATAAAAACACACACCCACTTCGTAGGAGATCAATTGTAAATATTTATGACACGTCACTAAGTCAGGCATAACTTAAGTTAGCTTATATAATAACGCAATAAAAAATTATATTCTCATCCAGTGTAAATATATTATAATACTAAAAAAATATCTTTATTTATATTATAACTCTTAATTTAAGTAAACACACATTTGAGGGGTAGTTCTTTAAAACTGAAGACCACTATAACACAAATCCATTATATTATTATAGACGGCTCATTGGTCTCGTGGTTAGTACCCCTGACTGCGAATCCATGGGTCCCGGGTTCCCGGGCGGGTGGTGTGCTTAGGTCTTGGGTGTTTAAATATGTATTTATATGTTTATCTATCTATAATATGTATGTATATCCCTTGCCTAGTACCCATAACACAAGCTTCACCAGCTTAGCATGGGACTAAGTCAATTGGTGTGAAATGTGAATTATCCAATCATAAAATTAGAATAGACTTCCGAAAAGTGTAATTAGTGCACCCTCTTTGAACTCTTTTAAAATAGGTTGGATAATTTCTTGAAATGCGCAAATATGCGCGATTCAGCTTATTTAGCTGCTAGTGTGTTTATCTACTCAATAATAATAAATAATAAAGCAAAGATTCTATTTTTCCAGGCAAACGTGTATTAATTAAAATACTATCTTTTCTTTTAATAAGCCTTTTAATTGTTGGTACTAATGTACATATAAACATAAAACAGAGCTTTATTTCGGATATTAAAAAAATCACAGATAAAAATACAGACTCACGATTTCTGTAATTCACTCATTTGCGTTTGCGTAAATCGAACACAATATTCATTCTACAGATAAGGCAAAGCTTTACATACAAATTCTTGCTTGAGCAAAACCTGGTTAAATTATTTATGTTTCTAGGTCGTCTAGGATTAGTCTTCCAGTCTCCTAGATTACACTAATTTTGTTACTCTGGGGCTATCACTATCGTCTGTTTTACTTTAAATTTATCACGTGAATATTGCTTCTGGATAAGTTTAGTATTTGGTCACTACTTTTAATCGAAGGTAAAGGAAATCTTAGGAAATAAATTGTATAGATGTGAATTGACAGCGCAATCTATCTATATAGTAATATCCCTGATCAGCCCTGCGATTCTGTAACTCACTTTTCGAACTCACACAGCGGTTTTCGCATCGGCGGTCGCTCTCAAATCAGTCGTGAAGCAGACATTTTATGATTTGGCATTCTGAAAAGGTGGGAGCTTGTAGTTTATTGTTTATCAGAATGCCAAATCATAAGATGACTGCTTCACGACTGATTTGAGAGCGACCGCCGATGCGAAAACCACTGTGTGAGTTCGAAAAGTGAGTTACAGAATCGCAGGGCAGGTTCTTGTAGCATGCAAGGGTGCCTTTGTAATGGTACCTGAAGCTAAGTACTTGGTTTAGAGGTTTATATATAATAATGTTCGTGCCGTTTAACCCCAGTTTGAATCCTGCTTTGGTTAGATAGCCACAGATGACTGAACAAGTTTGCCGCTGATTATTAAAGACGCAATGATGATATAAATCCAAGCTAAATTATTCTATAGTATTAAAGTAAATGCGAGAAATTGCGTAAAGCGAAGAACGCCCGAATATTTAATACCTTTTAATTATTCCAACCTTGATTGTATTACGTAAATTATAATCGTACGTTGATTTTTTCGTTTATACAAAAACTGGTCATAATTCGATTTTACGCTCGCAAGATCTTATGAAATTTTTATTTATTGGTGACACTTGTCATTGTGTTTGTGAAATAAGTCAAATTTAATCGAAGTAAGAATTCGCATAGCGCCCACAGCTGCTATAAAATATTATATTTATTAAAGTACACGACCCAGTGAACTTTGTATCACCTACTTATATTTGTGTAAAAAATTCATAAATTGTTTTAAAGCAAACCAAAGAGATCGGACCTCATACTGCTATAAAACATGAAATTCCTAAGTCATCTATAAATATATGATAACCAGCTAGCTATCAAAAATTAAACTCGTTTTTTGTTTTTTTTTATTACATACTTATGGTTTCATTTAAACCTCCCTCACAAATATTTCAAGATCATAATTAGCCAAATTGGTCCATTCCCGAGTTTTAGCGAGACAAACTAACAGCAATTGATTTTTCTATATACATATTTCATACATATATAACACTAAAACAATTAAACTTTTGAGTCTGTTTCATTACTTGCTATATTAATTAATAATTGCAAAATCGTTTAACGCAATGCGGTGGTTTTTAGGGGTGGATATTATATTTATTATTATTATAGTTAGCTGAGATTAATAGGATACCTCAGCTAATTTAAATAATTTAAGCACGTTGAATCTACGGAGATTGGATATGGATTTATGATGGAACAAAGCAGGCTCTAGCGATTAACAAAAAGTTTTTTTATAGCACGCAAATCTCGCACAGCAACTCCTATAGGCTTCTTGAAATAAACTATCACGGTTTATTAACATGGTGTAATAGTTGCAGCTCCTTACAAACGTTGTGTAAAACAAAAAAACTTAGAGTTTATTGCCAGTTCTTCTCTTCCGTTCTACGCACTTGATTTGATAACTGGCAGTAAATGTAAAATTAAAAGCATTTAATGTATATTCCTTTCTTGACGTTCATAAGTGTACATTGTGTTGAATAAATGATTTTTGACTTTGACTTTATCGTGAGTATCTAATTATTATTATTTTATCTACTTTCTGTAGTCTATGTAGTAGTCGTGTCCTGTGGTGTAAAAAACTGTATCACCAAGCACCTTATCGATGTGCCCCCGAAAAAAAAACAGCATTTTTTAAAAAAAAAAAAAATACTTCTCCCCCCGGGGGGAGGAAAACAACCCGACGAAAAAACCCCCCGGTTAAAAAAAAGGGGGCGCCCTAACCCCCCCCCCCCCCCACCTCCCTTCACCCCCCAGGGCGGGGCCCACCCCCCCCCCCAAACCGTGGCCCCCCCCCCCCCCGGCGGACCCACAAAAAAAAACACCACCCCCTCTTCTCTCTTTTTTTTTATTATTAACAAAAAAAAATATTTTTACACTCCAAAAAAAGGCAAAAACCCCCCCCGCCCCGCCGGGCGGGCCCGCGGGCCCGCCCAGCCGGAAAAAAAAAAAAGCAGGGCACGACCCCAACAACAAAAAAAAAAGGCCCCCCCCCCCCCCCCCCCCCCGCCACCCGCCCCCCGCCCCGGGGCCGCCCCCCCAAAAAAAAAAAGAAACCAGCACCCCCCCCCCCCCCCCCCCCCCCCCCCCCCACCCAACCAAAAGGGCCCCCCCCCCACCCAAAAAACACCACCACAAAAAACAACACCCCCCCCCCCCCCCCCCCCCCGCCCAAACCCCCCCCCCCCCCCCCCCCCCACCCCCCCCCCCAATTTTTTTTCAACCCCCGAGCAAACAAAAAAAAAAAAAAAAAAAAAAAAAAAAAAAAAAAAAAAAAAAATAAAAAAAACCCCCCCCCCCCACCCCCCCCCCCCCCCCCCCCCCCCACCAACCCCCCCCCCCCCCCCCCCCCCCCCCCCCCCCCCCCCCCCCCCCCCCCAAAAACCAAACAAAACCCCCCGCCCCCCCCCCCCCCACCCCCCCCCCACACCCCCCCCCCAAACCCCAAACCCCCCCCCCAAAACCCCCCAACCCCAACCCCCCCCCCCCCCCCCCCCCCCCCCCCCCCCCCCCCCCCCCCCCCCCCCCCCCCCCCCCCCCCCCCCCCCCCCCCCCCCCCCCCCCCAAACCCCCCCCACCCAACGGGAGGGGAAGGGGGGGGGGAAGAAAAAAAACCCCCAAAAAACCAAAAAAAGAAAACCCCCCCCCCCCCCCCCCCCCCCCCCCCCCCCCCCCCCCCAAAAAAATCCCCCCCCCCCCCCCCCCCCCCCCCCCCCCCCCCCCCCCCCCCCCCCCCCCCCCCCCCCCCCCCCCCCCCCCCCCCCCCCCACACAACAACAACACCCCCCCCCCCCACACCCACCCCCCCCCCCGCCCCAAAACCAAAAAAAAAAACCCCACCAACCCCCAAACCCCCCCCCAAAACACCCCCCCCCCCCACCCCCCCCAACCCCCCCACCCCCCCCCCCCCCCCCCCCCCCAACCAAACCCACCCCCCCCCCCCCCCCCCCCCCCCCCCCCCCCCCCCCCCCCCCCCCCCCCCCCCCCCCCCCCCCAACCCCAACCCCCCCCCCCCCCCCCCCCCCCCCCCCCCCCCCCCCCCCCCCCCCCCCCCCACCCCCCCCCCCCCCCCCCCCCCCCCCCCCCCCCCCCCCCCCCCCCCCCCCCCCCCCCCCCCCCCCCCCCCCCCCCCCCCCGGCCCCCCCCCCCCCCCCCCCCCCCCCCCCCCCCCCCCCCCCCCCCCCCCAACCCCCCCCCCCCCCCCCCCCCCCCCCCCCCCCCCCCCCCCCCCCCCCCCCCCCCCCCCCCCCCCCCCCCCCCCCCCCACCCCCCCCCCCCCCCCCCCCCCCCCCCCCCCCCCCCCCCCCCCCCCCCCCCCCCCCCCCCCCCCCCCCCCCCCCCCCCCCCCCCCCCCCCCCCCCCCCCCCCCCCCCCCCCCCCCCCCCCCCCCCCCCCCCCCCCGGGGGGGGGCCGGGGGGG